GCCAATCCCCAACATCGTCCTACGGGCGGGTACATGTCGTTTCGTGTGTGACACACATCAGAGTTTGAACTAGTCGTTTTGTAAGTTATTTTTTACATGGCGCCTCACATATGGCGCCAATCCCCAACATCGTCCTACGGGCGGGTACATGTCGTTTCGTGTGTGACACAAATCAGAGTTTGAGCTAGTCGTTTTGTAAGTTATTTTTTACATGGCGCCTCACATGTGGCGCCAATCCCCAACATCGTCCTACGGGCGGGTACATGTCGTTTCGTGTGTGACACACATCAGAGTTTGAACTAGTCGTTTTGTAAGTTATTTTTTACATGGCGCCTCACATATGGCGCCAATCCCCAACATCGTCCTACGGGCGGGTACATGTCGTTTCGTGAGTGACACACATCAGAGTTTGAGCTAGTCGTTTTGTAAGTTATTTTTTACATGGCGCCTCACATGTGGCGCCAATCCCCAACATCGTCCTACGGGCGGGTACATGTCGTTTCGTGTGTGACACAAATCAGAGTTTGAGCTAGTCGTTTTGTAAGTTATTTTTTACATGGCGCCTCACATGTGGCGCCAATCCCCAACATCGTCCTACGGGCGGGTACATGTCGTTTCGTGTGTGACACAAATCAGAGTGAGCTAGTCGTGTTTAAACGTTATTTTAGAAGTGTTGACTACTAATTTATGATCTTGTTTTAATAGAAGGTCTCGCATGTGTCACAATTGCCATCTGAACGCTTTTAAAATATACTGAATTTGATTTTCCAATTTTTGAAGTGTCGTCACTATGATCTAATTCCTAAATTAACAATTAAAAAAATGTTTCAGGATTCATTCATACATCATTTAATTTTAGCCCCGCCCCTCCCTCTTGTAAGTTCTACAGCCAACCAATGGACGGAAAAAGAGACATAACGTTTTGATCGATGTCGGCACTCTAGGTCCTGGGGTTGTACATTGCGTAATAGCTTTTGTCATGCATTGCACAATGACAATTACCGATTCGCGTCTGTAGGCCCAGAATCGATGCCTGCATGGATGGAGGAACCCCATTGATGCAATAGCCCCGTTCCAGTCCGTTTCTAAGCCCCAATTGTTACGATTAGTGAGGCAGATCGTCTCCTTCCTGGAAGGGCGTGACCAAACATGACACCAATTGAAGTTGGCTCGGGTGTTTTTTAAGCCAATCGCAAAACGGGCAGGGAGGATTTTCATCGACATAAAGCTTATTAACCCCTCGGAAGTTACATGTTTAGGTTAAAGCGATTAAGAGGTCAGTACTCCCTTTAAAATCAATAAATAGGGTTAAAGATGACCTCCTACACTATTTCATGAAGATAAGTGAACTGTTTGACAGATTTAATTGGATATTAGGGACCAACACATTTCAGGAGAATTCATGGCAATGAAAGTAGTTCCTTCGTTCGTATCACGACTCTACTTACGTCACGATGATTGGGTGAAATTCGTTCTCAGTTTAATCCTCAGTACAGTTCTCGTTCAGTTCAGTTCTTTTATTCTGTAATTCCATTATTATATCAATTACGCCGATTTTGTCAGTAATTGTTAAGCATCCTCCACTCAAAACATTGTGAGATCGGTACAAATTGAATAGAAAGTGCACAATTTGTAAAGTTTGTAACAAAGATCTTGAAAGATTGAAAGTTATCGATGATCCAAGAGGTATAAGCACGTTTGTTAATATTACCAGAAGATGAGCAAATTGCGAGGTACAAAACCCCTAGGGCAATTCCCCATAGAAAAGTGTGACCATCGTAAGACATTATGTATCCGAATATATTGTGTAAAAGACACACAGTAAAGAAACTTGTTATAACAGAATATGATTTGACGTTTGCTAAAGTATTTAAGAGAAAGATTTTGAAGTGAAAGGGTTAAATACATAGTTATGTTGATCGTAAGAGTAATTGTCGTTTCCTTTGTCGGGGCCCCGAATACACCCTCTCCCCCTGCCCTGCGTAGCTAAATTGGCTCCGACAGGCCAGTGAGTGTCAAACATTTAAAAAACTGTATGCATGGTACGCAAATTTCCTAACTCTCTCCACCAGAAAAACTAATACTCAAACTTTCTCCTATTGTAATTACTATGCATTTTAATTGTATGTTCTAATCGTCTTATTAGTGTTTTGATTAATAGCTTTTATTAGTTGATAGTTGCTAGGTAAGGCAAAATAATAACCAGACAATCTTTGAAGGTAAATTACATAAACACAACGAAAATGGCATACTTCCGATATGCTACCTAGCTCGTAGTATGTTTCTCCATTAAAGGAAACCTCACCCCAAGAATAAGTAAAGTTATTTTGACAAATGAGATGTATTCAAGCCCTTTGATGTACAATCCCTTTTATGTACAATCCCTTTGATGTACAATCCCTAACGAAAACGTACAAGAGATTATAAATGAAGATTTTCTTGGCATTATATGATGCCTTTTAGCATGACCTGGGCGCAGCCGTTTTCTTGAAAATGTGACGTACCAGTTGACGTTTTACATGTATCATGCACCAATCTTTAGTTGTAAAGAAAGAAAGAAAGGAACAACAAAACCTTTACTTTTCAATGAGGACAAATCATAGCTGAGAAGATAGAAATTATATTTTGTGAAAAATATATAACAGGGGAACAATTTTAACTAATTCACTTAAAATACTACAATATAGCAGTTGACAAATCTATTTCATTTATGAGAAACCTTCACCCCAGAGGAGCAATAACTTATTTATGCAATTTGCGTTCTGGCAATTGTAGTAAAAAGGATAAAAGCAGGTGAAACTGTACACAATGCTTGCTTTATGCCTTTCTCATACACTTTGGTGGGGAATCTTGTAGATTAATGGGCAAGAATCTAATAAATCTCTCGGAATAAGTAAAATTATTTCTTGGGTTGAGGTTTCCTTTTAAAAGACAGAAGAATTAACAAGAGTTGACAACGAAATCGTACATCCATTATTTTGTTGCATCCTGAATCTTGAAGGGTTTCATTTAACAATAGATCCTTAAACTTTAATTGGAAATTCACCTGTACCTAGGAAGGAAGGGGTCGATGACGTTGTGAAACAATCGCAAAATTGGACACGACCTAACATTCATGTAAAAAACAACAGTACACGAATCTTAGAATATTGAAGGCACACTTAAAATCTACGACCTAAAGACGGGCTATTCTTGATTGCTAATATAATGCGTTACCTGCCACATCATCGGCTAAGATATGCAATCAGTATATTAAATTAAGAACACTTCTAAGAGCTTAAATGCAGTATAAAGTGAAATGTTCATGTCAATTTAAACTACACCATTCGGTAACGTTTGGACATCAAATGGTCAAAATAGGCCCTACCTGGAATTTGCCAAATATATTTATTTATGTATTCGAAAGGGTCAATGTTGGCTTATCTGGTACACTTAACTAGGTTCCATTAATCCTTCTAAGAGAACTATCATCATTCACCGTCGGGTATGCATTACAAAGCACGAGTGTGAGGAAAGTAAATGTTTGAAGCCTTCTTAATCGGTTCTTATTTCTAAGAGTGTTTGGTTTAGGTTGGAACAATATCCCACTCAAAAAGAACAAACTATAAGTATTCTAAAATCCAAAAGGCAAACAGATGAAAGGTATTTATCTTGCTTTTGAAAAACGCTTGGTAAAATATGTTACGTAATTTGTAATCATCCTTCAGATTGATAAAAAGCCTTAAAGGTCTGGTGACATCCAAATATAAATTGATTGCTGTTGGTGTGCACGGCTGCAGACACCTCATTTTTGTTTAAATTTGAACATCTAAATATTTTCATAGGTTTTGATTTCTTTAAAATGATTTCTCAGACCTGCTAAGCCCCACCCTATAAAAAGTTACAGATCTCATTCATCCTGTGACATCATCTGTCAATCATTAGTGACCTAACAAGAGACAGTTGTATGTAGCTTCACCAGAGATGACTACTTGTTTACAATAGACCATACAATACCAACACAGGAGTTGCTATGTCAGACGTGCTATAGCATCTCCAGGAAAGGAAAGGTAATGCGGAGGTATTGTATGAATGCAATTCTTTCGTGCTGAGCTGGGGAAGTTACATTCCATTGTCTCTAGTTCACTAATAAATGACAGATGATGTCACAAGATTATTGAGATCTGGAGCTTTTTTAGGGTGGGGTTTAACAGTTCCGAGCAAATTATTTTAATAGATATTTAAAACTCTAGGAAATATATTTAGATGTTGGATAACAAAATATGAGTTGAAAGCAGCCCTGCATATCCACAGGGATCCCAGATTATTTTTTTCTTTCACTTGAAAAAATAGTTAATTATACCAAATATTTACATTGAAATCACTTTAAAGGCATTCTTTGAAATTGAATATTACATGCATGCATGATACTTGATTGTACATAAACTTATCGTTTGTATGTACAAAATTAAATCCCAACATGCCCATGCAAATTCAACATTAAAACAGAACAAATCTACCCCCAACGGCTAGGCTCGGGGACCATAAACAAAATCTTGGGCTACAGGTACATCGACCCTCGTAGCCGGTAATGTATAGAGCATTAAGAAAATTGATTTCTGAATTCTGAAAACGCCAATCGCTGCAATGGGTTTTGTTTCTTAATTTTCTCGGATCTGTATGGGGAGTGCCTTGTGTTTTCATTATGTTTCGAGAACAATTGTGAAAACCGGCTATTGCATGAGATCATTTACTTTTATATGATGAGCTGCAAGTGATTTTTTATAGTTGAGCTTCTTATATAATACAAACGCTGATTCAGTCGCTAATCGACGTTAGTTCCGCTGAGACTACGTGTGGCTCCACTGAACGCCTCTATAGGTTAACAAAATGTCAGTTTCTATTAAACCAGACGGTTACCAGACGGTTATTTCTGTCTAGTCGATCTAGTGCACCGCTGTTCTGACAAAAACCTACCCTTCTTTACTCATTTAACCCTTTTAACAACATCTCATCCTCAGATTCAACGGCACCGGAGATCTTCAACTGCCCGACCGGTATCTCCACCAGGGTCGACAACCTTGGGGACACCGGGGTTGTTACCTGGACCCAGCCGACAGCAACTGACAACAGCGGTCAAACCGTCACCACCACCCAGTCGCACAACCCCGGTTCTGCTTTCCCGGTGGGCTTCACGGCTGTAACCTACGTCTTCCGTGACACGTCGAACAACGCGGCGGTCTGCAGCTTCGTTATCAGCGTCGGATGTAAGTAACCATTACGAGATAATTAATATGCACAATCAAGCGGAAGGCTTGGGAAATCAATTAATAATATAAAGTACAATCTTAATACCCTATTGTAAACTAGAGATCATGGTCGGGACGTTCGGATTTCATAATAAGTCTACATCATTCGTTGTAATATCCGCACATTTTATTAGGTGATGACAAACTGTATGTAATAATGCTAGTATAAATTGCTGTTTCTAAATTCTTTGCGATTGTTGAGATGCTTCTTAGTTTAGCTACTTATGGTAATTCACTGATTTGTTAGCACACTAACTCTACTAAAGCAAGCAAAAATTGTTGGGTTTCTGATTGTGAACATGCACCATTATCATAAGTATCAACATCCTGAATATGGATTTAGATCTAGTATTAATTTCTCCCGAATAAGCCAGCGAGTGTAATCCTATCCGTCACTTTTCCTTAAATAAAAAACACGAAACTTAAACAAAATATAAGTCGAAACTCATTTGAGTGATCCATTAATAGATGTTGATCTCGTCTATGGTCTATTCTATCCTACCAGTGAATGGAGACGACAACCCTCCAGTCATCAGCAACTGCCCAACGGACTTCACTATCTTCGTGGCAACCAGCAACACTCTGGGGACACCAACCTGGACAGCTCCCTCTGCCAGCGATGAAACTGGACAGACCCAGTTCACATCGGACCTGTCACCCCTGACCAGTCTTCCGGTAGGAACATACCCTGTCACGTACACCTTTGAAGATCCCTCTAGCAACGAGGCATTCTGCAACTTTGAGGTGACAATTGCAGGTAAGTTGAATCTTTATTCAGCAATACGAAGCTTCAATTTCAGATTTGGGCGCAGTGTCTCACAAGTCTGTCATAAGTACAGGTTGGCTGACATGCTATTGAATGGGTGTGTTAAAAATTAACATGGGCTTCAGCGATTTTGTACCTGTGATGGTTTTATTAAACAGTCGTCATCTGGTGGGCGAATGGGCTACTGATATTGTCATGTGTACATGGTGTGGACTAAATACAAATTGATTTGAGAGAGGCATAGCAGTTAAAAACTATGACATAAAACAATATAAATTAATATCATACCATGAGTGGCTTTGACCACATGATAATGGAGCAGAAACATCTCTCCACTCTACACTTTTTTGTTTGATAATGGCGGTTGATTTCGTTGTTGGATATGCTCATAAGTAAATAAGTTTCTATGATAACTACACCCTGAAAATATATATTCATTATGAAAAGATATTAACGTATTTCAAATAAAATATTTATGTGAAGTTTCTGGTTGAATTGACTAATGGAAGCTATAAAAAGTTCTGTTAACATGACATTTTTTTGTGGTTTCCACCTGCAGTTGGAACACCAGACACGACCAGCCCTTTCCTTATCACCTGCCCGCAAGACATAGCGGTTGCCAACAATGGCCAGAACTTTGTCCTGGTGACCTGGGATGCACCAACCGCATTTGATGATTCTGGTGTGATCAACCAGCTCTCCGGTCCAGCAACGACCTCCCAGTTCTATCAGGCTGGTACCACCAACACCATCAGCTACACCTTATACGATCCGTCAGGCAACAGTGTGACATGCTCATTTTCTGTTACTGTTGCGGGTAAGTTCGTGTTCAGCATTTTTTTCCTGATCACATGTAGTTGAAATCAATGTCAACAAGTTAGGAATCTCAATACGTCTAAATACGTTTACAATAGACGCTTTTAGGACTCTGTATAACACTTGGCTTATATCTTTCATTAACATGAAAAACAGGACAAATTTTGGTGTCTTATTTTTCCGGAACAGACGGTTGGTGAAAAGCAGTCTAATGAGCAAAAGCCGTCTAATTCTGGATATTGTCTTATATCCCATGCAATAGACAAGCTTAATAAAAAAAAAATTAAAAAATCAAATTTGATGCATACTAGACTGAGGATTGCCCGAGGCTTGCCTGACATAGCAACACATTATGTATGCAGACTGGATCCAAGTATTGTATTTCATTCACTAATAACAGGTAAATGGAATAACTCGTCACTAGATCCCCAAGAAAGAAATATCCATAGATTTAAACATGATTAGTAAACCGGTAACATGGTTAATTGGCCCGTTGAAGATGTCTGATCCACGATATCCTCAATTTGTTATTTTTTCTTCATATTACAGCTGTTGGTGACAACACAGCTCCTGCCATCTTCAATTGCCCTGCAAATATCAATGTTGTGTTGAGTTTTGGGGAAACCAGCACTGCTGTCACCTGGACCGAGCCCACTGCCACCGACGACTCTGGCTCTGTCTCCATCCTCAGGAGTCATGTCCCCGGCCAGTCATTTTCGTCGGGACTCACCACCGTCACATACACTTTCACTGACAACTCTGGAAACTTTGACACCTGCAGTTTCGATGTCAACGTTTTCTGTAAGTCCATATTTTTGGCCAAAAAGGTCTAACCTATAACATGACCAGAAATAAAGTTGTGTTTTGGTGTCCCATCTGTCTGTATTTTTCTTCTAAATCCCTTTAATGTTCAGCATGTATTGTACGTACATGTAATATAGTGTTCTTTGTAATCTTCTGTAATGTTCTGTCCTCTATTAATATCCAATTTATTATATTAATCACTTTCCATGAACTCATTAGCAAGTGGTGATACAACACGTCCAGTTATCACTGGCTGCCCGGAAGATGTCAATCTTCAAATCCCTTCTGATACCATAGCAACCGTCTCTATTTCATGGGAAGAGCCCACGGCTATGGACGACTCTGGCCCTGTCACGTCCTCTTCTACCCATCAACCCGGCGATGCGTTTGATGTGGGTACCTCGACAACTGTCACCTACACATTTACCGATGATGCCGGAAACTTTGCTACGTGTTCTTTTGTCGTTACTTTAACCTCCCCTGGTATGTGCTCATCTTACCTCATATTGTTCTGTTAACTCATTCCCCCTAATCTCCATTAAGTCAAAGATTTCAAAACTATCAATGTCTCCATATTGTGTGTAACATGTTTTATATTGAATCGTAATGAACTGGTTTCCTAACATTTTTCTACATCCATACAAAATTAAAAATGTATGCAGCTTTCTAATGATATATGTACAAAAATGCTCGAGCCCTGACATGTAAGCTTCTACATAAGCATATTATTTGGCTGAATTTAAATTTGGGAAATCGTCACTTTCCAACAAGCGCGTAAAAATAATTTACAAAAAAGTGAGACAAAATCCCTGAAAATCATGTTATTTCAGCAACATTTATAAATCACTGGTATCGAATCAGAAATGAACCACGTTTGAATTTTATTGGTGGGTCAACTGTCCCCTACCCCTAAGCCTCCCCAACAGTACTCCAGTGGACTGTTGAAGATTGCTATGATACTATTAAAATAATTAACCTATCTTCATTTAATTAAGTATTCACGACCTGTGTTTCACCTCATGTATAATTTTGTACTGTCTGTTTGTCAACCTTGTATTCTTATAATATAGAATATAATAGTGTTAATCTGTAACATGTGGACACTAATTTCATGGTTTTCTTCAGCATCAAATCTTGACAACACCGATCCCGTAATTATTGGATGTCCATCTGATATTGAGGTTGATGCAGTCGTTGGGTCCAGTGACATCTCTGTCGTTTGGACAGAGCCATCTGCCACGGATGACTCAGGATCTGTAAGCTCTACTAGATCGGCAAACCCTGGGGATAGTTTTCCTTTCGGGTCCACCGAGGTTGAATACGCATTCAGCGATCCATCTGGAAATATGGCTACATGTTCTTTCAATGTCATTGTGTCTGGTATGTGTATCTAAAAAAAAAGTCGTACTTGTAGTTAATGTCTGCATCTTTTACATTTATATTTATTCACTAATTCTAGGTTTAAAAATTGAATGATCAAAAGCTAATCAGAATACACAAAAAGTGTATTATCACTACTGTTTGATTGAAGACATTTTCTTCTTTTCTCAAAGTGCGATTCATGGGATCGATTTGTTTTTATGTACTGTGTGTTGTGTAACTATCTAATACATGTGTGTGTCTTGTACATTTCTGCATCTTGATCACTTATATCAGTTGTACACCGGTATGTATATGGTTGGTCACCATCTTGCACTCTCATTTCTCTATAACCCAATTCCTTATGTACGCTAGCCATCCCTGATGAGTTTGCACCCATGATTATGGGGTGTCCATCTGACTTCACCGTCGATGCCGTCGTCGGTTCCAGCAACATCACAGTGACTTGGAACGAGCCCGTAGCCACTGATAACTCTGGCTCAGTTGCTACAACACAAAATGCCTTCCCTGGAGACACCTTTCCTTTTGGATCTACTAACGTTGTGTATACTTTCACTGATACCTCAGGAAACACTGCTTCATGTTCCTTTGTTGTAATCGTCTCTGGTATGTCCCGTTTGTATGTTTTTAATTGACATTCTCATATTGTATTAACAACCTTTTCAAGATTGCCATACAATGTCAAAGTGCAAAGATCAGAATCAAATGGTACAAAAAATACCAAGACAAAACCTTCATACCAAATAAGAAATGAATTTCTTTCTTATTTTGATATCAGAGTGAGCTTACAAATGTTCCACAAAAAAAACCAAATTTATTTATGATAGACAAAGAGAGAACAATACATTACATTCTGGATAATTCTCATCTGTTTTCATGTCCCATGGCCCTTCTTTCTGGAAAACTATGAATGTGACCCTGAACAATATTCACTCTTTGTACAGTGTCCTCTTTTGTTGTGATAGCATGTACCCTGCACCCATTTTATGTCACTAATATGGATAAATGTGTGTTATCTCGCTATACTCTACCGTTGTACTAACATTAGCCGTTCCTGACGAAGTCGCACCTATGATCATGGGATGTCCATCCGACATCAACAACGAAGCTGTTGTCGGGTCCAGCATTGTCACGGTGACTTGGACCGAGCCCGTAGCAACAGATAACTCGGGTTCGGTCACTGCAACACAAAGTGCCTTCCCCGGAGACACCTTTCCTTTTGGATCCACTAACGTTGTGTACACTTTCACTGATACGTCAGGAAACAGGGCTTTATGTTCATTCACAGTGGTTGTTTCTGGTATGTTAATCCCCTCCTTTCCATTTCAATATTAGTACATCAAAGGCATTTACTTTACATCATCACTTCATAACACTGTACAAGTTGGTGATCATAGTAAGCAAATATTAATCGACTACGAGGGTAATGGTACAAACTATCATCGCCGAGGTGATCTCGGGGCTATGATGGTAGCCCCGAGATCACCGAGGCGATGGTAGTTTGTACCCATTGCCCGAGTAAAGGAGGTTGATATTTGTTTTATATCCCACATCGGCAATATAGGTCTATTTAAAGTGAATTTTACATAATTAAAAGAACTGATTCTGCAGACAGTTTAGCTTCAGCTAGATTTTACAAAGCACAACATGCATACATGTAATAAAGTTGATGCGCGTTCATTTGACATTGACATGACATTGACATTTTGCGTAACCTACTTTGCTACGCTTAATCAATGGGCAAGTGGGGAAGCAGCAGCAAAAAATTACGGTACAAAAGTCCTATCGCAGGGAGATAGTACTTATCTATCATTGATCATGTGACCTCGTTTAGACCAATGAGATTGCAAGGTTCTTAGTATGCGGGATATAAAAAGTAATGCAATAACAAATCAGCAATGTCACCTTTGATAGTACTATATTTCTTTTCACAAGCATCCTATATTGAATATGTTAGTAGTAGGCCTAAAAAGTGAACCTGTTTTCTCATAGTTGATGAAAATCCTTTCAAAAATTGGTACAAAATGTATAAATCAATTGCTAAAAGGAAATATAAATTGCACAAATAGAGACTATTTCACCTTTTCATATTCATATTAATATTACACGTACTTTCAAGTTTTGTGTCATGTACGTTCATCATCATGTTGTCCTTGTAATGTACTGACCTGTACTCATGTTAATGTTGTCATGAGATTCCTATTTAATAATAACACACTTCATCCAGCCATCGCTGATGCTCAAGATCCAGTCATCACTAACTGCCCCAGCGACGTAATCTTGACAATTCCAAGTGGTATTACCGATGTCAGTGTCACCTGGCCTGAACCGACTGCGACCGATGACTCGGGGTCTGTCGCCCTGACAGCATCGCACGCTCCTGGTGATGTTTTCCCTATCGGCTTAACCACTGTGGTCTATACCTTTTCTGATACCTCTGGAAATTCTGCAACCTGTTCCTTTAACGTGACCATCTCTAGTGTTGGTATGATTACTCCTCCCTCTGTTCTTTTTTAAACATCCTATTTTTTCCAATGTCTTTCATCAATGTGTGATTTGTCTCAAATTGAAAATATTTCATGCAGCTAACGGTATAACTGTGGTATTAATGGTAACAACTGACATTAGATGTGCCTTAATTTTAACCTAATGACAACTTGATCAATGAGCAACTTCCCAACTAATCCAGAATATTGCCTAGTGCAGACATATATTACTTTTGGATCTTACAACACTAAACCTTAATTGTTGAAGTGATCATTGCCGTTTATGTTAAATCCTGTATTGTCTTGTAAACTTGTACTTCAGATGTCGTGTAAATAAATGTATAAGTGTATATGTGTTTTTGTTGTATTTATATGTATATATAATCCATGTTAAAATTCATTTCCCGTATATGTTCCTGTCTTCATTGGTTCCACATTTTCCTTGATCCTTTTGGTTAACGGGGAAAGGAAGTGGTGATACTGTAAGGCCAGTGGTCACTGGGTGTCCAGAAGACATCATTCTTGAGATCCCTTCAGCCACTATAACGACCATTGCGATCTCATGGTCAGAACCCACAGCCACCGACGACTCGGGTTCTGTCTCGTCCACGTCAACTCATCAACCTGGAGATGCATTTGATGTGGGCACAACGACTTTGGTCACGTACACCTTCAGTGACAATGCTGGAAACAGTGCTGATTGTTCCTTCGATATTATATTGTCCTCTTCTGGTATGTTTCACTAATACCACTTCTTTCTTGTAATATAATTGTTCATGCTTCTTTGGATAACTTTCTAGATGTTTTTGTTCATTTTTATTTACTAATGCTCTATTTATGTGTCAGAATACTCTTTGAAATTGAATAAACGTCTAATTATTAATTGCTCTTTTATTTTAGCTGTCTTTTTTATCCAATCACCCAGACTCCTTTATTGGAAATATCCATACGTTGGGTCAACAGTATACCAATGTTTACTTCTGGAGCTTACCTGAAACATTATGGGTGGGGCCGAAATAAGTGAAATAAAGATTTTATAGTGATTTGAAAAATCAGCATGATGGGTATTAGAAGCTGATACAAGATTACTGGATCAAGGCCTGTATTGTGCATGTAGTCTTTAATAGTGCAATCTGATTTATATGCCCATTTTTTATGCAGCCTCCAGTGACGGCACTGACCCTGTCATCACTGGGTGTCGTGTATGTCCCCGAAGTAGTTTGTCCATTTGTTCTTAGTATTGCGACTGCTTGTATCCATATATGTATATATATATATGTATATGTATATATATATGTATCCTGGCATCTTTCATGTTTGGCTAATAATGATTGAAGACTGTAGTTTACATGCATGTCTTCGTCATATCATTCATCCTATTATCCATATGATCTCATCATCTCATTATCTCATTATTATAGCCACCGGTGACGGCACTGACCCTGTCATCAGTGGGTGTCCAGATAACATCAATGTAGCTATCCCGACTGGTTCTACCGGAGTCTCTGTCTCATGGACTGAGCCCACAGCTACAGATAACTCTGGCGTGGTTCCATCCTCTACCTCTACTAGGTCTCCTGGAGATACTTTCAACATCGGAACAACCCAAGTTTCCTACACATTTACTGATGGATCAGGAAACGACGCTTTCTGTATATTTACTGTCACTGTAGCTGGTAAGTTAATTTTGCATTTCACATGAATGCTAATATATTTGTATGGTATTTCAGCTTTTTTTTCTGTCCCTTTTCTTTCAGATGTTGTCTTCTCACAGAGTATTTTCATTGTGTTCATATTTAGTTTCATGGTTGCATGTTTACTGTGTAAAATATTCTGTGCACACCCCCTTGCATGTCACAAACCTTTTTGGCAGTAGACGTGTAGTGTATTGATAATTCTGTCAACTTGCTCTCTGTTACTATCCTGTTACTCTAGCTGGTGTGAGAGAGAGAGGGCAATTAGTCATCTTGCCTTGTCAGCTTCCTGCAGTACATTATGGATAGCACTTGTCATTTTGCCTGTTGTGATCCTTGGCTTTTTATTTTTTCTCTTTTGCTTTAGTTTCATTGTTGCATGTTCTTGTGCACAACCCCTTCAATATTGCATGGTACCACCCTTGTTAGGTTTAGGTTTACCTCTAGCTCTGAAAACTTTGCTATCTATTCGTTTTTCTGTCGCTGTTGCCAGTGAGTGAGAGAAGAACCATCTGTCTTGCCTTTATTCGGTAAGCACTTCACATCTATGCAATTGCCCTCTATGTAATTGCCATCTATGTAATTGCCATCTATCCACTTGCCATCTCTGCACTTGTCATTGTGTATTTGGAGATCCTCCATTTATCATCAGCCTTAGTTTCACTGACGCATGCTCAAACCATACTATGCTATTATTAAAGCTTGTGAAATGGTCCCAAGTGGCAAAATGCATGGAGGCTTCTTTTCACTTCACTCTGTTGACTCAACTTCAATTGCTGTCAAGGCTGGTTCTTTTTTGATGAAGAACGATGCATGAGCAGAATACCTATGTATATGTCATACAATATTGTATTGCATGGTGGTAGTCATTGTGATTTTGTTTATGTTAGTTCTGTCATAGATTCATTTGCATCATTTGAAAGATTTGTTGCCATGTCTTGTGATGTGGTGCAATGGGGTTGTGTCAATTTCATCTCCATTCCATTTACCATGTCATTGTCATCACAATAGCCAGTAATGACAACTCCGATCCTGTCATCACTGGATGTCCAGATGACATCAGTGTGGCTATCCCGTCTGGTTCTACCAGAGTCGCTATCACATGGACTGAGCCAACAGCTACAGATAACTCTGGCACAGTCATTTCTGAGTCGACCAGATCTCCTGGAGATACATTCGACGTTGGCACGACAGTAATCACCTATACATTCACTGACGGATCAGGAAACTTTGCTATCTGTTCATTTTCTGTGACTGTTGCTGGTATGTTTTACTTCTGTCTCCATTATTGGTCGGCCTTTCATACCATAGTATTCATATACATGTTGCAAACTAAATCTCTTTTTATGATTGCCTTTAGTTAATTCTTTCAAAGTTAAGTTTACACGAAATAGATATAAACTCAGTAGAGCGTACTTCTTGCTACCCACAATACGTTCTTAGATGATTACATCCCTATAGATGCATTCTTTTCATTTTGTTCTGTCTTTGTTTGGTAGCTTTTATGTGTATGTTTCTGTTCACTTCTCTTTTCATTGTCTTGATACATCCGTTTGAAGAGGAAACCAAACCGACTTGGGCCCCGCAACACAAACATTAGCAATAGATTGTACGAATACTTAAGATTGATTGCACATAGTGATCAATAGAACCAATCACGAAAATCAATCATATTATGAATTGATAAGCTTTGTGCTACAAGGGCGTGAAATCATAATTTATACATATTTTTATTAGAAAACAAATAGCAAGATTTTAAAAACAAATTTAATTATAAAAACAAATAATAATACCAACAACAACAAAAAATCATTTTTGCTTCAGAAATGTATTCCCATCCTTCATTTTGTGATCATTTCTTGTTTTGTAACTGTCTGTTGAATTGTAAGCATTTGGCTACGTCCTCTCCATTTCATTTGCCATGTCATTGACATCACAATAGCCATCTCTGACAACATTGATCCTGTCATCACTGGATGTCCAGATGACATCAGTGTGGCTATCCCGTCTGGTTCTACCAGAGTTGCTATCACATGGACTGAGCCAACAGCTACAGATAACTCTGACTCAGTTGTCATGTTTACAACTACTAATTCTCCTGGGGATACATTCAGCGTCGGCACAACCCAAGTTACCTATTCTTTCACTGATGGATCAGGAAACGATGCCTTCTGTACATTCTTTGTGATTGTCAGTGGTATGTCTTCTTCCCTTTTCCCAAGACATCTTTTTTCTCCAATCCAAATCATGTTCCCTACAGTGTAGTACTGTATTTGTTTATTTGCTTTAACCATTTTTTGTGTCCCATACTTCAGACTACTAAACATAATTGTCATCAAATGTATCGTTATTTATAAGAAGGGGGAAAAAGGAGATTTTTCGTTGCATGTGCCATGTTAGGATGTACGCCTCCAAAACCTTCCCCACAGTGAGCTGTCCCAACTGCATTGATATCGGTAGGTTTCATTAGCTTTCTACCCCTACTAAGTGCTTGATAGCATGTCCTTGTAGGTTAGCAAAACAGGGGTCCGCCACGTAGGCAACTATAGTTGAACATGCTCTTATAAAGCCTTTTCTGTAAAATACATACAGTCGCTGCTGACAACATAGACCCAGTAATTGCCAACTGCCCTGCAAGCTTTACTGTCGATGCCGGCAGTAATAGCCATATATTTGTTACCTGGAATACACCAACTGCTACTGATGATTCTGGGGCAGTCACGCAAGTCTCTGGACCATCATCAAACAGTGCCTTTTATCCAGCTGGAAGCACCAATGACGTCACTTACGTATTTCAGGATGCCTCGGGGAATGAGGCACAATGTAGCTTTACAGTGTCCGTTTTGGGTACGTTCTTGCTTTAGTCGCCATTTACATGTAAGATCAGTTTAGATCACTTGGACTTGACACATATTTACCATGTGCATCCGAGTGATTGTACATGCAGAGATAATAAAGACATACAGAAAGTTTAAGAACCATACAAAAGATAATGGAGAAATAGTTCAAATATTAAATAAAACAGCTTACAAAAAATCACTATGCCAAGAAAAACATTGGAGTATCTGATTCTGATCTTAGATTTTATTGGAAGAGCCCTGTAAAAATGTTTAATTTATTATCACTAACTGGTGATGCGAATTTTTAATGTTTAGTTTTGGAAGTTGATCTATTTTCAAGCAATGCATAGATGATTGCAATCGGTAGACCCTTTTATACAAACTGTCAAAAACACTTTAAGTAACCATTTTCTAAAGCTTTTAGGGCACTGCTATTGTGTCCACTGACTGATATAGAATATATATATGTCAGTTCCTATATGTCCCCGCAGTAGTTTGTCCATTTGTTCTTAGTATTGCGACTGCTTCTATCCATATATGTAAATATATATACTCTTCCTGGCATCTTCCATGTTTGGCTAATAATAGTTGAAGACTGTAGCTTTATGTCTTCCTCGTATCATTCATCCTGTTATCCATATCATCTCATCATCTCATTATTATAGCCGACGACATTACTGACCCTGTCATCACTGGGTGTCCAGATAACATCAATGTAGCTATCCCATTTGGTTCTACCGGAGTGTCTGTCACATGGACTGAGCCAACAGCTACAGATAACTCTGGCGCAGTTCCGACATCTAGCGCTGACAGGTCTCCTGGAGATACTTTTAGTGTTGGCACAACCCAAGTTACCTACACATTTACTGATGCGTCGGGAAACGATGCGTTCTGTATATTTTCTGTCACTGTTGAGGGTATGTTTCAGCCATCCCTTCCGAATGTTTTGTCATTCTAAAACCCTTTTTAGTCTGCTTATTACATAGATGTGGTCTCTTAAATGTTTTTATCACAATTTATAATGTATTTAGGGTTCATAGTAGACACCGGGGCATCGTTTTCAACAACATGCCATTGAAATGTGTGTTAATTACAACATTCGCGTTTCAATGGGATGTCGATGAACTAGTACTTATGACAATTTCGGGAAAAGTGTCCCGGTTAAATCATGGAGGGAGATGCCGTTTTGTAAACATTAGATTAAAAATTATCTACTATACATCTGTATTGGGAAGTTTATTTATATTTCATGTAATAATTGTATTGATTTAGATCAGATGTATGGGAGCAAATTATTGTTTCTTCATCAGTAAACATATCTGATTTTGAATTAAGATTATTTTATATTATTTTCTCTCCTCAGATTTTATTTTGGTTTATAAAAGTATCAGTACTGAAGATTTTCTTTTTCTTCCTTTTGAAAAATTTGTTCCTGTTAATTTACAAATGTGTTTGGTAGAGTATGTGACAAAATATACGAATGATGTCTTGCTTGTGGCGAATCATTCAAGATAGTCTTAAGTATCTTGTCTAATGTATTTAATTCATTTGTAAATGGAAAATGGGAAACCCTTTGACTTGTTAGTAATTAGCATAAATTGAAGCAGAAAATGAAAATAAAACACTTACAACTGGAAATACAAGGAACTTATGTGCGATCGCTGATCGGAATCGTCAATTGGGAATATAATAATAATAATAATATTCCGCTTTTTATATAGCGCTCAATACATTTACGATGTCTCTAAGCGCTTTACAGATTAACTATTACCCCGGTCATTGGATTCAATAATTGCCCGCACACACTGTGCACAATCTCCACTACCTGGGGAGCATTCCAGCCAGGCGTTACTTGATGCTCAAAAACTGTTTGACTAACAATGACAATGCCAAAGGATATTGGTGCCGTGTCTGGATTCGAACTCCCGATCTTTCGCATCTCCAGTCAAGCGCCTTAAACCACTGATGTAATGGCATATATTGATAACCAGCTAAATAAATATCTTTATAAAACATCAATCAGAATAGCCCGCGCTTCCACTTTAAATCATGAATGTACTACATGTACTGTCCATGTTACATTATGGTTATCATTTATGAAATGACTCGCTGCAAAAATAAAAATGGGAAGAAGTAATATCAACTTTTCAAAATCATTAAATGTTCAAACTCCTGTACTCTTGTAGCTCGATTTTTCTTTCTTCAACCAAGCCAATTTTCTACCAAAGGTAAATTTGTTGGATATCCTACACTATATTAAAAGAGACGTTAAAATTCAAAGGTATATCCAAGATTCTTGAAAATGTAGAATGTGGGGTTGAAGCTTACCAGACAGTTACTTCCCAGGAATATGAAACAATGTTCCCTGGAGCATTTAGATACTAGGCATTTTACGGCTGGTTTTATGCTATGGTCACATTTCATTGTGGGTCCTTTTGCATGTGCATGTGTGTAGCTGTGGGTGGCTTACAGGCAAACTCCTGTGATTCGTATGTCCTACTTGCCATCCCTCCTGGGCCCCTTGTTCCATCCTCTCAGGCAACTAGCACGGTGTGTTACAGCTCCATTTAGCTGTGTACTAGGCCACACGGCTGTTTGAGACCACTGCAAAAAGTACAATGGCTGCATGTGCCACCTGCATTCATTGAAAAAATATGCCCGCTTGCAGAGATTGTCCAACAACCTCCTGGAGGTGCTCGAATGATCCTGCATTTCTTTGACAATACATGCTGACCTACGTATCCAATGCAGTGATTCTCTGTGAAATACACGGTACACTGTACATGTTGACCAGTTCCACATCTTGCAGTGCGGCGGAACGGGTTGCACAGATGAAGACCTGGCCCTTGTTATTAATGAAACGGCCATTGCAGCAATCGGGCGATGGAAAAACTTAATTTAATTTAATTAAGGAACTTTACATAACTATCTTGATCTAAGGAGACACGAACGAACGAGTCAGTTGCGCAGAAGTGCATGACCAGTTGTGACCATGGCATAAAAGTGACTTGTAATGATTAAAAACTTAATTCTTTTCATTCCCTGCATCTCCTTACTCTCAGCCACTGTGGACAATACCGACCCTGTCATCACTGGATGTCCAGATAACATCAATGTTGTTATCCCATTTGGTTCTACCGGAGTAGCTGTTACATGGACTGAGCCCACAGCTACAGATAACTCTGGCGCAGTTCCGTTTTCTAGCTCTAACATATCTCCTGGAGATACTTTCAACATCGGAACATCCCAAGTTGTCTACACATTCACCGATGGATCAGGAAACGATGCCCAATGCTCATTCTTTGTGACTGTTTCTGGTATGTTTACGAATTTATGTTTTTATTTCGCATTCAAATATCTTATTTTGTATCTCTTTTGTATTCAAAGATTTGTATATTCATACTTATCAGTGCGAATTGAAAGGTAACTTTCATGGATAGGCATCATGTTTTCCTATTTGATTTCAAATGGTGTAAGTTCCGGATTTTTATTTTCCAGAATCATGGACATGCAGTGCTAAGTATCTGTGGTTCGAACGCTAAATACTGCTGTTACACGTTAGGGAGGCCACGACGATTAAAATAATGATAATCGAAATGATGATGATCATCATCATCACCATGATAAGTTTTCGTTCTTGAATGGCCCACATCAAATTATGATATAGCGTCTCCATGTCTGAAGTGCTCATGGCATTCAAGGAATAATCCTTCAAGCTTCTCCTGGTTTGCCTTTGTAGATTATTGTCTTGACAAAAGATTTTAGTACTGTGGCAGGAATTTGATCCCTGTACCTGGCGATTGACCGTCAGTCGACTCATCCTTTTTACCACGAGACCTCAACATCTTTTTATATTCTTGTGTACATTTTAACTCTAACTACATTCATCCTAATATCCATATCATGTAATCATCTCACTATTATAGCCACCGGTGACGGCACGGACCCTGTCATCACTGGGTGTCCAGATAACATCAATGTAGTTATCCCATTTGGTTCTACCGGAGTAGCTGTAACATGGACTGAGCCCACAGCTACAGATAACTCTGGCGCAGTTCCGTTTTCTAGCTCTAACATATCTCCTGGAGATACTTTCAACATCGGAACATCCCAAGTTGTCTACACATTCACCGATGGATCAGGAAACGATGCCCAATGCTCATTCTTTGTGACTGTTTCTGGTATGTTTACCAATTTATGTTTTTATTTCGCATTCAAATATCTTATTTTGGATCTCTTTTGTATTAAAAGATTTGTCTATTCATACTTATCAGTGCGAATTGAAAGATAAGTTTCATGGATAGGCATCATGTTTTCCAATTTGATTTCAAATGGTGTAAGTTCCGGATTTTTATTTTCCAGAATCATGTACATGCAGTGCTAAGTTTCTGTGGTTCGAACGCAAAATACTACAGTTACACGTCAGGGAGGCCACGACGATTAAAATAATGATAATCGAAATGAGGATGATGATCATTATCACCATAATAATTTTCCGTTCTTGTATGGCACACATCAAATTATGATATAGCGTCTCCATGTCTGAAGTGCTCATGGCATTCAAGGAATAATCCTTCAAGGTTCTCCTGGTTTGCCTTTGTAGATTATTGTCTTGACAAAAATTTTTAGTGCTGTGGCGGGAATTCAATCCCTGTACCTGGCGATTGACCGTCAGTCGACTCATCCTTTTTACCACGAGACCTCAACATCTTTTTATATTCTTTGTGTACATTTAACTCTAACTACATTCATCCTAATATCCATATCATGTCATCATCTCATTATTATAGCCACTGGTGACGGCACGGACCCTGTCATCACTGGGTGTCCAGATAACATCAATGTAGTTATCCCATTTGGTTCTACCGGAGTAGCTGTAACATGGACTGAGCCTACAGCTACAGATAACTCTGGCGCAGTTCCGTCCTCTAGCTCTAACTTATCTCCTGGAGATACTTTCAACATCGGAACATCCCAAGTTGTCTACACATTCACTGATGGAGCAGGAAACGATGTGCAATGCTCATTCTTTGTGACTGTTTCTGGTATGTTTACCATAATATCTTGATTGCAAATATGTGATTTTGGATCTCTTTTGTATTCAAAGATTTGTCTATTCATACTTATCAGGAGGTGCACACCATCTTATTCTTTGTTTGATCTTATGTTTGACCTTATGTTTGATCTCATTTTTTATTTTTGTTTATATATATGCATGATTATATTGTATTATATTTTTTTGTGTTTATTACAAGTTTTAGTTGGTAATTTTAAGTCAGACAATGGTGCGCTTAGAAACACCTGTATTAAGCGCCTAATAAATGTTATGTATTATTATTATTATTATTAGTGCAAATTGAAAGGTAACTTTCATGGATAGGCACAATGTTTTCAAATTTGATTTCAAATGGTGTAAGTTCCGGAGTTTTATTTTCCAGAATCATTTACATGCAGTGCTAAGTGTCAGTGATTTCAACCCTAAATACTGCGGTTACACGTTAAGGGAGGCCACGACGATTAAAATAATGATAATCGAAATGATGATGATGATCATCATCATCACCATAAAAATTTGCCGTTCTTGTTTGGCACACATCAAATTATGATATAGCGTTTCCATGTCTGAAGTGATCATGGCATTCAACTTATTCAAGGTTTTCCTGGTTTGCCTTTGTAGATTATTGTCTTGACAAAAGATTTTAGTGCTGTAGCAGGAATTCGATCCCTGTACCTGGCGATTGACCGTCAGTCGACTCATCCTTTTTACCACGAAACTTCAACATCCTTTTATATTCTTTGCGTACATTTTCACTCTAACTACATTCATCCTAAAATCCATATCATCTCATCATCTCATTATTATAGCCACCAGTGACGGCACGGACCCTGTAATCACTGGGTGTCCAGATAACATCAATGTAGTTATCCCATTTGGTTCTACCGGAGTAGCTGTAACATGGACTGAGCCTACAGCTACAGATAACTCTGGCGCAGTTCCGTCCTCTAGCTCTAACTTATCTCCTGGAGATACTTTCAACGTCGGAACATCCCAAGTTGTCTACACATTCACTGATGGATCAGGAAACGATGCCCAATGCCCATTCTTTGTGACTGTTTCTGGTATGTTTACCATAATATCTTGATTACAAATATGTGATTTTGGATCTCTTTTGTATTCAAAGATTTGTCTATTCATACTTATCAGTGCTAATTGACAGGTAAATTTCATGGATATGTACCATGTTTTCAAATTTGATTTCAAATGGTGTAAGTTCCGGAGTTTTATTTTTTTCAGAATCATGTACATGCAGTGCTAAGTTTCTGTAGTTCGAACGCTAAATACTGCAGTTACACGTTAGGGAGACCACGACGATTACAATAATGATAATCGGAATGATGATCATCATCATCATCACCATAATAATTTTTCCGTTCTTGTTTGGCACACATCAAATTATGATATAGCGTGTCCGTGTCTGAAGTGCTCATGGCATTCAAGGAATAATCCTTCGAGGTTCTCCTGGTTTGCCTTTGTAGATTATTGTCTTGACAAAAGATTTTAGTGCTGTGGCAGGAATTCGATACCTGGCCATTGACCGTCAGTTGACACATCCTTTTTACCACGAGACCTCAGCATCTTTTTATATTCTTTGTGTACATTTTATCTCTCAATACATTCATCCTAATATCCATGTCATCTCATCATCTCATTATTATAGCCACCGGTGACAATACTGACCCTGTCATCACTGGATGTCCAGATAACATCAATGTAGTTATCCCATTTGGTTCTACCGGAGTAGCTGTAACATGGACTGAGCCCACAGCTACAGATAACTCTGGCGCAGTTCCGTCCTCTAGCTCTAACTTATCTCCTGGAGATACTTTCAACGTCGGAACATCCCAAGTTGTCTACACATTCACTGATGGATCAGGAAACGATGCCCAATGCCCATTCTTTGTGACTGTTTCTGGTATGTTTACCATAATATCTTGATTACAAATATGTGATTTTGGATCTCTTTTGTATTCAAAGATTTGTCTATTCATACTTATCAGTGCTAATTGACAGGTGAATTTCATGGATATGTACCATGTTTTCAAATTTGATTTCAAATGGTGTAAGTTCCGGAGTTTTATTTTTTTCAGAATCATGTACATGCAGTGCTAAGTTTCTGTAGTTCGAACGCTAAATACTGCAGTTACACGTTAGGGAGACCACGACGATTACAATAATGATAATCGGAATGATGATGATCATCATCATCACCATAATAATTTTTCCGTTCTTGTTTGGCACACATCAAATTATGATATAGCGTGTAAAGGAGGCCATCGGGACTGTGTATTACATGTGTATTACATGACGATGACTTTATTGATGATGAATGATGATGATGATGATACTCTGTTCTTGTACGGTACATATAGGATTATGGTATAACGTCTACATGTAATTGTAGTGCTCGGTGCATCCAAGGAATACTCCTATCATGTACTCCTGGGTCGTGTGTGGCTAATATATATTTATAACTTGGGGAAAAGATTCCGGTGCTGTGGCAGGAATTCAATCCATGTACCTTGTTAACATTTCGGACATTCATCCTTTTTACCACGAGACCTCAACATTTCTTTTTCTCCTTTATGTACATTTTCACTCTAGCTACTGGTGACAACACTGACCCTGTCATCACTGGATGTCCAGATAACATCAATGTAGCTATCCCATTTGGTTCTACCGGAGTGTCTGTCACATGGACTGAGCCCACAGCTACAGATAACTCTGGCGCAGTTCCGACATCTAGCTCTAATAGGTCTCCTGGAGATACTTTCATCGTCGGAACATCCCAAGTTGTCTACACATTCACTGATGGGGCAGGAAATGATGCCCAATGCCCATTCTTTGTGACTGTTTCTGGTATGTTTACTTTTTCATATTTGTATAAAAAAAGTCTGGTTTTCAGTTTCTTGAATTCAGTGATCTGTCTCCTTGATACTTATCAGCCCAAATGAAAATGACATTTCCATAGAGAAGAACCTATTGTTCTAATTTGAGTTTTGAATCGTATACACTCTATAGCTGTCTTTTCTTTGTGACCGTATCTGGTATGCCTTTTTTTAATGCCAGCCTTGTATGTTTTGCTTTTTTTAATTGAATATTTCTGTTACGGAATTAGTTTTACCTTTGGGAGCTTCAATGATTTCCAAATGAAACACATATTCAGGTTTTCATGAATGTTTTTCTTATCTAATTTTTTTCAAATCACCACGGGACCTTTTTGCATACTTAACCTTTAAGCCAAACAAAAAATAAAGTGGCCGCTTTCATATCACCATATATAGCAGATTTCCTTCATTTAATCTCTTGATATGTGCTGATTAGTCAATAGGGAAGATTCATCAATAAATCCTTCTCTTTGAAACCGCTGTAGCTGCTGGGGACAACATAGATCCCGTCATTTTCGACTGCCCTGCAAGTTTTAGTGTCGATGCCGGCAACAATGATTTCGTCTTTGTCTTCTGGAATTCCCCGACTGCCACTGATGATTCTGGGACAGTCACGCAAGTTGCTGGACCATCCTCCAACAACGGCTTCTATCAGGCCGGTACGGTCAACGAAGTCACCTATGTGTTTGAGGATGGTGCTGGTAACCAGGCAACGTGTACTTTCACAGTCGCTGTAACAGGTTGGTATTAATCTCTCACCAGTACTTAGTTCAGTTTTCGAGTCTAAACTGATGCAGATTTTTTTTAAAGATTAAATACTGTGGTAATTAAATAACATTTGAAATTAGAGGTTTGTGATGAAATAACTATAGAAACACCTCAGAAGAACCACACAACAACAACAAAAAACGCGCACACGCACACCTACACAGTGTTTATTTACACTAAACATTGTGCTCCATTTAAGATGAGAAATAACGTATATGAAAAGAATACTTTGCACACATCCGTCCATAAGTACTCATGCCTTGTTGTCTTCAAGATCTGGTTAGTGTTTTTTTCCTCCAAATTAAGACTTCATTTCGGTGCTGGAATACGAAGTTGGGCCATTTAAGCATAAAGTCCAGGAACTAGCATATGGTCCATCTATTATTTTCTATTTTTTCAATTATTCACAGCCACTGTTGACAACACAGACCCAGTGATCAGTGGTTGTCCGAGCGACATCACTGTCCAGACGACTTTGGATGGCACTGCAGTGGCAGTCACCTGGAACGAGCCTACTGCAACGGATGACAGTGGCCCAGTTCAAGTAGTTCAGTCTGCTAATCCTGGAGACACGTTCAATCCTGGTACAACCGTTGTCACATACACTTTCACTGACGCCGCCGGAAACGATGCCTTCTGTATATTTGAGGTATCTGTTGAAAGTAAGTGGTGCCTTGCATATATGAATTGTTTCCATGCAATCACGTCAGAGACGTATATATTCACTAAAGGTGAACTGTATCCTTGCTAGTTGTGACTGCTTGCTTGCACTAATATCTTGTGCTAAGGTGTTTGGTATTTCCTGAAAAATTGTGTATCGCCTGTTTATGTCTTTTATTTACAATTTCTCATTACAATTTAACGTTTTGGTGTTTGTTTTTACTGACTAATTTTGTGTAATCTAGTCACAGATTCAAACATTACCTTTTATTTATGAATGGCTTAACAATAAATTAATTATGTTTCCTGCACCATAATCCAGCCACTATTGATGTCACTTCACCTGTCATTAATGACTGCCCCACTGATATAACCGTTCAAACAACATTGGGTGGCGCTGCGGTAGCACTAACATGGACCGAACCAACTGCTACGGATAATTCTGGATCAGTGTCGTCAACGTCATCTTCCAGTCCTGGCGATTCGTTCCCTGTTGGAACAACTCTTGTTGTTTATACATTTAGCGATGATTCTGGAAATACAGCTGTGTGTTCTTTCACTGTAACGGTTGAGGGTACGTGTCTATAATATTTGTTAGTCCATGATTGTTTTCAATATCTTTCTCACAAAATTACAATAATTCAAAACTACGTGGTGCACAAACTTTTGTTTTTGTTTAGGAATACAGCCATTCCTCTCATCCGCTCTTCCTTCCATCCGTTCTTCATCCCATTATCACACGTCATGTCTGAATCCCATTAGAAGATAGGATAATTGAAAATAAAAACTAGATGTTACTCTGGTCCACTATCCAAAGATCTAGAAAACCCTGACCCGACCCTATAAGATAAAGTGTCCAATTGCATAGGAGACTTGACATACTACCCAATCTTTTAATGGAATTATTTAATATTGATGATTCATTTATTGTTTACGTTCTCTAAGCACCACTAACAAGACAATTATTCCGAGGACACAGTGGGTTTTTTAAACAATCGATGTATGTTTTCTAACACTAATTCAGCCACCGTTGATGTCACTGCACCTATTATTAATGACTGTCCCACTGATATTACCGTTCAAACAACATTGGGTGGCTCTGCGGTAGCACTAACATGGACCGAACCAACAGCTACGGATAATTCTGGATCAGTGTCGTCAACGTCATCTTCCAGTCCTGGCGATTCGTTCCCTGTTGGAACAACTCTTGTTGTTTATACATTTAGCGATGATTCTGGAAATACAGCTGTGTGTTCTTTCACTGTAACGGTTGAGGGTACGTGTCTATAATATTTGTTAGTCCATGATTGTTTTCAATATCTTTCTCACAAAATTACAATAATTCAAGACTACGTGGTGCACAAACTTTTTGTTTTTGTTTAGGAATACAGCCATTCCTCTCATCCGCTCTTCCTTCCATCCGTTCTTCATCCCATTATCACACGTCATGTCTGAATCCCATTAGAAGATAGGATAATTGAAAATAAAAACTAGATGTTACTCTGGTCCACTATCCAAAGATCTAGAAAACCCTGACCCGACCCTATAAGATATAGTGTCCAATTGCATAGGGGACTTGACATACTACCCAATCTTTTAATGGAATTATTTAATATTGATGATTCATTTATTGTTTACGTTCTCTAAGCACCACTAACAAGACAATTATTCCGAGGACACAGTGGGTTTTTTAAACAATCGATGTATGTTTTCTAACACTAATTCAGCCACCGTTGATGTCACTGCACCTATTATTAATGACTGCCCCACTGATATAACTGTTCAAACAACATTGGGTGGCACTGCGGTAGCACTAACATGGACCGAGCCAACAGCTACGGATAATTCTGGATCAGTGTCGTCAACGTCATCTTCAAGTCCTGGCGATTCGTTCCCTGTTGGAACAACTCTTGTTGTTTATACCTTTAGCGATGATTCTGGCAATACAGCTGTGTGTTCTTTTACTGTAACGGTTGAGGGTACGTTTCTATAAAATTTGTTTGTTCATGATTATTGTCAATATCTTTCCTAAACAATTACAATACAATTCATGACTATGGGCTGCACAACCTTTTGTTTTTGTTTGGGTCTACAGCCATTCCTCTCACCCGTTTTTCTTCCATTATCACATGTTCAATTTGAATCCCATTAGAAGATAGGATAATCGAGAATAAAAACTAGATGTTACTTTGGTCCACTTTGCCAAGATCTAGAAAAAATTGACCCGATCTTATGAGATATCATGTCAAAATGCATAGGGGACGTGACATAGCACTCAATCTTTCAATGGAATAATTTAATGTTTTGATTTTATGTTCACATTCTCTGAGCACCACTAACAAGCAATTATCCCGAGGACACAGTGGTTTTTTTTTTAAACAACCAATGTATGTTTTCTAACACTAATTCAGCCACCGTTGATGTCAATGCACCTATTATTAATGACTGCCCAACTGATATAACCGTTCAAACAACATTGGGTGGCGCTGCGGTAGCACTAACATGGACCGAGCCAACAGCTACGGATGATTCTGGATCAGTGTCGTCAACGTCATCCTCAAGTCCTGGCGATTCGTTCCCTGTCGGAACAACTCTTGTTGTTTATACCTTTAGCGATGATTCTGGCAATACAGCTTTGTGTTCTTTCACTGTTACGGTTGAGGGTACGTTTCTATAAAATGTGTTTGTTCATGATTATTGTCAATATCATTCTTAAACGTTTACAATATAATCCATGACTATGGGCTGCACTACTTTTTGTTTTTGTTTCGGTCTACAGCTATTCCTCTCATCCGTTATTCCTCCCATCCGTTCTTCCTCCCATCCGTTCTTTCTCCCCTTATCACACGTCCAATTTAAATCCCATTAGAAGATAGGATATTTGAGAATAAAAACTAGATGTTACTCTTGCCACTATCCCAAGATCTAGAAAAAAATTGACCCGGTCTTATAAGATAACAAGTCCAATTGAATAGGGGACTTGACATACTACCCTATCTTTCAATTGAATATTTTAATGTTTTGATTTTATGTTCAAGTTCTATAAGCACCACTAACAAGACAATTATCCCGAGGTCACAATGGTTTTTTTTTAACAATCGATGTATGTTTTCTAACACTAATTCAGCCACCGTTGATGTCACTGCACCTATTATTAATGACTGCCCAACTGATATAACCGTTCAAACAACATTGGGTGGCACTGCGGTAGCACTAACATGGACCGAGCCAACCGCTACGGATGATTCTGGATCAGTGTCGTCAACGTCATCTTCAAGTCCTGGCGATTCGTTCCCTGTCGGAACAACTCTGATTGTTTATACCTTTAGCGATGATTCTGCCAATTCTGCTGTGTGTTCTTTCACTGTTACGGTTGAGGGTATGTGTACAGTGTCTGTATAACATTATGTGTGGAATTTAAACCACAGTTTATAATAGAATCATGGATACCCTTAAAAACTTATATTCCTATAATTTCATTTAAAAAATCTATATTGATTTGATGCAATGATGCTTATTTGTATCAAATTTTTTATTTTAATAGAAATTGTCTGATTAGAATAACGGAAATTTCATTCAGTATAAAGCTAATCCTGACCCAAAACACAGGCCCGATTTGACATAGAATCATTGGGAATAATATCCCAAAATTAAACCCCATTTATCTATCATTCAATAATTGTCACTACAAAACGAAGAACTCTTATATATTATTATATAAACTAACAAAACCAGTATTATCTTAAAATGGGGTTATTTTGATAACTAATATATGTTTCCTAACACTAATTTAGCCACCATTGATGTCACTGCACCTGTAATTAACAACTGTCCTGAAGACATAACTATCCAGACAGCACTAGGTGATACCGCAGTTGCAGTAACTTGGACTGAACCAACAGCTGTTGATGATTCTGGAGCAGTCACATCATCATCGTCGTCCATTCCAGGGGATTCTTTCCCTGTCGGAACAACTATTGTGGTTTATACATTTAGCGATGATTCTGCCAATTCAGCTTTGTGTTCATTTAGTATCACAGTTGAGGGTATGTGTCTTTTCACGAATTATCCATTTACAACATTTAATCATAACATTTCATTTTTGTTTGTTGTGATCCTGGGGCCTCCCGAACAATCTATGTGACTACTATGTTATAACATAACATAACTACGCTGAAAATTCTTTGTGTATTGACTTTAGACAACATTGGATGGTTCACTCTTTTCACAGGAGTTGTGTTAAGTTGTGTAGATTTTTTTTTACACAACTTAACACAACCCCTGTGTCAGGAGTGATGCATCCAATGTTGTGTAAAGTCGTTCAATACATAACGAATATGCAGTGTACTGCTATTACTAACTGCTACTGTTTTCCGTAGCCCCTCAGGGCCTTCGGCTTCTCGCACATTCACTCTTGCTACTTACATTCCACCTTCCCAATTCTTGATGTTGTCTATCCTTTCCGCAGAACGCCTACCAAGTCAACACTTTCCTTCAACCTCACGCCTTCGATAGTTGATAGTACAACACTCGTCTCTCCATTTCCAGTGCTTCTTCTTTTTTTCTATTTTTTTTTTTTTTTACATTTGAATGCAACTAAGAAGTTAAACTTAATTTGATTTCGACCAATCAGGTCAGGATGGTCACTTTCTGAAACTTAGGTATCATAAACCTCCCGACAGCTGACAGAAGTTTCACAAGATGATTCTTCTAGGTCTCTGGCCTTAAGATTATTTTTTCTTTTGTCAGATAGCTCTATTTTTTCATCTCTCACATTTGAGCAATTCTCCTACATGTATTATTTGGTGATACCAATGTGATGTTGTTTGCTTCATTTTATGTGACCCCATATCATACTACATGTAGTTATGTCACAAATATATATTTGTCATATCTATTTCATACATGGTACATACACCAATGTATTTTCCTTCTTTATAGGGGGTATTGTCTTCAAACCTCAAGCAATAGTGAACTTAGCAGCAAAAAGTAGTTTTAACATGAATTGCAAAGACTTAAATGGCAATTCAACTTTGTAATATGTGCATTCGCATAAAAGCAGAACATTTATAGAAACAGAAATGAATCTGACCAATGATAAGTGAGTAATGAATGTTTAAAATATTATTCTATTATGGCTATGTGAATGCTAAATCGTTTTGTAAGTGGATTGTTGACGACGTCACGGGCAACTCTGCCGTTTGTACAATGTATCTCCCTAGTTCCTTCTCCCTTGTGCAACTACTCAAATTTAACAATGGTTGTTATAATATTATAGGTTCTCTAAGGAAAAGACACTCTATAACAATACATTTTGAATGAATGACACTTTATTCATTTTGTGTTGGAACAAATGGGAAAGGCGTCCGGCACTCCATCACAGTGACATTACCCATTAAGCAAATGTTTAGTTTCTAAAAGTATAGGGATCACAACTGTCAAAAATTCATAGCTTTATCTTTGTCTGATTTCATTCAAACTATCACCAGTCTGCTTCTCTGATTTTCTGCTTTGCTTTTATGATTGGATCTCCTTTTTAACAAAATGAAAGTTAGAAAATTTCAATAGCCTTGTCCACCACCTTTTGAAAAGTGCAAACATTACAGTGACACAAGTATTGCAAGTATTTAAAATATATAATAGACAATAGGGTATTGACTTGATTCTTAAGTCTTCGTGATCATGTTTTTTGTTGTCTTTCTACAAAATGCTTACTCTCTTAATAATCTTAATAATGTTTAGAAAGATGCTTATAATTTACAAATGGAGTTGTTTGCTAAAAGTCTTCACTCTGATTGATTGTGCAGCTACCATAGACAACACACCTCCCGTGATCAGTGGGTGCCCTTCCAGTATCACCGTCAACAGTGTGTCCGACAACAACCAGGTGTCTGTCACGTGGTTGGAGCCAACAGCCACCGACAACTCGGGACAGATTCCAACCGCAGTGAGCTCTAGGAGTCCTGGAGACATGTTCCCCATTGGATCCACCGTGGTCGGTTACACTTTCGTTGACGGCAATAACAATCCTGCCAGCTGTACCTTTACCGTCACCGTCATTGGTAAGGAATCGGCGTCGTGTCACGAAGCTGTCGCGTCGGTAGTGTTGCTCCAGATTTCTACCATATGAAGACCAATGCCCTTTTATTTGGGTTAAAACAACTACACGATAGCTGCTTTTGTATAGATGACTGTCACAAGTCATCTGATTGTTAAGAATCATTGCAGGAAGGAAGACTCAAACATCAAGATAATATCTGTAGTGTTTTAAGTTTTAAAAATATGTGATTTTGTATGGACTTGAAGAAAGCCTTCAGAACATAGCAATTCTGCTGCATAAAATCAATGGGAATATGACCAGTCTTATGTTTGAAGCTGCAAAAAACGGGTAATCATTGTAATACATAAATATTCACATAGTTTGATAACCTTTTCATCCATTTTTGGCATTTTCCGAATTATAACTTTTCTCATTCACTTAAAATATTGTTCACATACGTTAAAGATCTATCCTCTGCCACCAAACTTCCTAAACAGACAACAACGGACCCGTCATCAGTGACTGTCCAATTGACATCTCGGTCACTGTTCCATTTGGCACTACCGGTGTCTCCGTCACCTGGAATCCTCCCTCAGCAGTCGATAACTCTGGTGGAAATGTGATTGTGACTTCAACCGACAACCCCGGCGATACCTTCCCATTGGGCCTAACACAAGTCACCTACACCTTCTCCGATGCCCAGAACAACCCTGCTCAGTGTAGCTTCAACGTTATCGTTCTTGGTGAGATTCTCTTTGAAATGTCTTTTACACTGGCTACCGCAAAGCTGTGAACCGGCAACGTACTATTGTGAAGACACCTTCATCTGTTGAACTTTGAGAGAAACCTCTGAAGTCCCATTTATGTTGTTAGGATTGTATTGACTCACTTGCTTCCTGTTGCACTGCTTTATAACTGTTAGGTAAAGGCACAATATCAAATACCTTTGGTATCGGATTGGATGGGATATTTGAATGTCTTATTTCGACTGAAAATGGAGAATGGAAAAACTTTTTTTTTTAAAACTTAAGTGGATGTGAAACAACCTGTTTATGGTAATTTCCCGATTAATACCAACACGTGTATATTATAAATGTGGTGGTGATACATTAAAATCCAATAAGCTAGAGGTGTGCCCTTGCACAATCAAACAATCAAACAATCTTTAGCAATAATGTGTATAAAAAGCCTTAAGACTGCTCTTATTTTCATCCTTGAGTGGTCTTTATACAATGACACCACACTTCTTGAAACATTGTGTTGTTGCTGGATTTTGGTGATATATATGTATTAAAAAAATTAATTGTAATGCATATGGGGTTGGGTGCAACTCATGTTCATTCCATACGTGAGCCACAAGTCACTGAACCCTTGTATTGCACGAGGCCGGTTCACACTTCTATATCTCGTTTTTGAACTTCAGCTCAGAATGACAACATTGATCCAGTCATTTCCGGCTGTCCCGGTAACATCATTGTGGACAGTGAAAGCGATACAAACGGTGTTGCTGTTACATGGACAGAGCCTTTGGCGTTCGACAACTCCGGAAATACCCCAGCAGTAACCCGAACGATTGGCCCTGGTTCTATCTTCCTGATCGGCGAGACTACCGTCATGTATACCTTTACCGATGATGCAGGAAATATGGCCATCTGTACTTTTAATGTCAGAGTTAATGGTGAGTATCCAGATCCAGGCTTACCCGGCATCGGGAATATCTCAGAATCGGCGGAAATCATGGCCGAGATAGCTAAGAGGGTTGAATCGATCGCAAGTATTTCAGTGCAATTTCGCATCGAGCGCATATTTGTCAAGATTATTTAGAGGTCCGATGTGTGGCTTGCACTTGAGCTCTTAAAAGCTAATGTCCACACGATGCTAAGTCTGCCGTAGTGCCAAGTTCACCCGACCCCTGATTAACCAAGCTTACTGAAGATGGTATAGGATGGATATCGAATATCATTTATCTGAGTCATGAACAAAGTGTGTAGGGGTAGATTTTTTAAAAAAACACGATAACAATGCTGTAGCAAAGACATCGAAAATGATGTTATATTTTTTTTAATATCATGCATCTTGTTATATCATAAGAGGGACCAGCAGAATTTCTATGTTAGGTCAGATATCTCGTTTATGTCAGAGCTTTTTATAACAGTTTACAGTTTCCCTGTGAAGGTAAACGAGAAAAGTTCACTTACACATTTTGTTAAAGAAACACTCTGCAACATTTGTAGTCCATAACTGTTTTTGCTTCACGATGAGGCAATAATACTACACTTTGAAAAAACACTTTGAGCAGGAAAGGAAATCAGTCGAGATACCATGTCAAAATATTTGTAATGCTCTTCTTCACGTTGCGTTTTACAATACCTCATTTTAGATGCCACCTCACCTTCCATCGTCAACTGCCCCTCCGATGTCGCCCTCTCGGTGCCTTTTGGAACCACAAGTGCCGTTGTCACATGGACAGTGCCCACAGCCACCGACAACTCTGGCGGTGCTGTCACATCGACCAGCACATCATCTCCCGGTGATGTCTTCATAGTTGGCTTCACCCGGATCATCTATACCTTCACAGATGCCCAGAACAACCCTGCCGTGTGCTCCTTCAATATCATCATCACAGGTAGATTTGATCTAACCTATTTGGAATACAACCTGGTTTCATTTCCATTTGCATTTTTGAATGCACTTTGCTAGGAGATTTTACTGCAGCTACGTAATTTCGGTGTAAACAATTCTTGCAACAATATTAAACTACTTTGAAGAGTAGAGGCAGGATTACAGTGTATTAAAGAAGCACGTAAAATACCAAGGTAACGCTTGTATCACATGTTTTTGGCTATGGTATTGTTAGATAGCCCATACTAATCAGGAAGACCTTGAAAATTGTGTTTTCCTCATGAAGTGGAGGTAACATGTGTATTAAAGCAAGACGCACTAACTTCCACATTTTCTATTGTATTTTCAGTGCTTGGAGATACCGTTGACCCCGTTATCGTTGACTGCCCGCCAAACCTTGAAGTCACCGCGGACAGCTCCCGCAATGGTGCTTCTGTGACATGGACAGCACCATCGGCTACCGATAACTCTGGATCAGTCAATGTTGTGTTCTCAGCTTCTCCTAATGATTTCTTCCTCATTGGAGAAACCACTGTGACATACACCTTTACAGATCCAACTGGCAATGATGCCATCTGCTCCTTCAATGTTCTTGTGTCTGGTAGGTGGTTGTAGTACAGTGATTAATTTCATCCGAATTAAAAATAAAAAGTTGTTAGTTTACGAGCAAGTCCAGGGTAGTTGGCCACTTGATATCAGTTGTATCATTTATGTTGATATTTAGTTTGTTGCAAGCTTCTTGTAAGCCATCAACTATTATAAGTGGTACAACTCGGATGTGGTGGTAACGTATGGGACAAAACAGCTTGACCTTGCAGACGTATCATCTATACCTTAACAGTTTTGGAGGGTACCAATCGGGCTGTGTCTGTTCTGAGAATTCTGAGATCATATTTCCCAAGACCTTGACAGCATATTATGAAAGCTTCTATCGTAGACAAAGAACTGTGTGTGTAAGTGTGGAATAGACTTTTTTTAAAACTCATTTGAAAGTGATCTATGTCATCTATAGCTATTCAGAGATTGAAGAGTATCAATCAGGGCTTTTGTGTCTTTTCTAAGAATTCTAAGGTCATAATTCCCTAAAAATATGAAAAACCGTAAAGTTGTTGTATGTCTACAAGAACCTAGGGCCTACTTCATGAAGTCAGGATGTTAATTTTTAACATCGTTGCAAGCAATAGCTCTACACGAAGATTATTAAACTGTGTTGGTGATCCTTTTTACAGGATTATTTTCAGAACCCCCTGATCTGGTACATGGTTTCATATGGTATGAAGGTTTGTTTTACCCGACTGCTAAGAAAGCATGTGTAAGCTTGTAAGCAAGTAACCAAGAGACTGACGGCTTTAAGTCCTACCCGAGGGACTTGGTAAAGAGGATTAAAATCATCACCAAAGGGCACTAGCGCTTTGACTTGGGTTTTGAACCCAGGACCTCCCAGTTACGAGACCATGCTCTACCACTGAATAATCGCGTCTCCATCACGTTATAGATACATTTTTATTATAAGCGAGTAAATTCTGGCTAAAATCACATTCGTCTATACATGTACATTTATTATTACGAGTGGCAGCATCTCTGACTTACTGAAACCATTTTTGAACAAGCCCAAACCCTGGAGGTAGGAGAAAGTGAGCAAAAACAAAAGATGATGACAATTTTGGAATCCAATCCAGACCTTGACTCCTCCATTATATAGGAAGCCGAGTTTGATCCTATGAACCACCTTGTAAGATGAGTGGCGTCATTTTCAACTTATAAGAAACCTTTTTTTTAACAAACCCAAACGATGGGAGAAACTAAACAGTTAGGAAGTATCATGAAATAAAATCCATACTTTTGAATGCTCCATTCCATCCCACAGACAATACCGATCCCATGATCCAGAACTGTCCTAATGACATTTCCCTCACGGTGCCATTCGGACAGACCTCTGCCGTGGTAACCTGGACGGTTCCCTCGGCTACCGATAACTCTGGCTTTGTTTCGCTGACATCCAACAATGCCAATCCCGGAGACTCCTTCACAGTTGGTGGTAACACTCAGATCGTGTATATCTTCACTGATGATTTCACCAACGATGCCATTTGTACTTTCAATATCTTTGTTGTGGGTAAGCTTAACATCTTCAATTGTTATATTGTAAATGTATACAGATTCCTGAAACCCTTTCTTGAAACGGGATTTCAATCAGAGACTTTTAGTGTGTTAAAGGAAGTGGGTTATATTGTTACTTTGTTTGCTTGTATGGAAGACTTATCTACAGGAAATAGTGAATATATAGTACTCATAAAGACGCACACTTCTCAAGTGGAAATATACAAATCACAAATTGTTGGCATGATTATATCGTTATTCCAAGCGAGAAATATATTACTTGTACATCAGAAGTCATATCCTTATGCTAACAACTGTTCATTATCAAATGTATTAATCTTTCTCTTTGGTTATATTTTCTCCTGTCTCTCCTTTGTTCCTTTCTTGTTCTCTATGTCCATCCCTCTTTCAATATATCTCCTCTCTCCATCTCTCTATCCCTCCTCTTCTCTGCTTGTTCATGCATTCCTCTCTCCTGCAGCTCTTGGTGACACCAGCATCCCAACGATCTCAGATTGCCCATCCACCATTGCTGTCCAGGCAAGCGAAAACCTACCCGGGGCCAGCGTCGACTGGACAGTCCCGACTGCTGTTGACAACGATGGCAACAATCCACAGGTTTTCGTCAGCAATGCTCCAGGCTTCTTCTCCATTGGAACCACAACGGTGACTTACACCTTTAGGGATACTGCTGGCAACGAGGCATTCTGTATCTTTGATGTCGTCGTTATCGGTAAGAATGAAATTATGTTTAATAAATATTGGAGAGCGTGAAGCATCCATTCTAAAGGGGCAAAGACTCCAGATTTAAAGATTGCATGAATTACAATGTATCCAAATAAATCGTAGACATCCCAACTCTGGATCGTACAAATATCAGATTGTATTGGTAGTAACTATTTGAGATATGAAATTGATTTGAAAAGAGAACAATCATTCATGGCGGTAAATGAAAAGAAAAGGACGTTCTGTCATTAGGGGCATTTCTCAAGTTATCACCGAATATTGCAAGAACAAAATGAATCCCATGTAATACTTTAGTAACACCAACAAGACCTACACCAGACGGACTACAGACTGACCTAAACAAATTTGAATTACCCTAAATGGCCAAGTTATTGGTCTATTTTGAGTCGATTTGATGGTCTGACTTGTGTAGTAATTTAATTTTCTTCCGTCCTCCCTGTAATTCAGATAACACCGACCCTGTTGTGACTAACTGCCCAACCAATATCAATCTGGACGTGCCTTTTGGTACCACCTCTACTGCGATCACATGGCAGGTCCCTCAGGCTAACGACAACTCTGGTAGCGTACAAACCAGCAACAACGCCAACCCTGGGGATCTCTTCACCGCTGGCATTGCCACGCAGGTCTCGTACACCTTCACAGATGCTTCCAACAACTTCCAAGTCTGTAACTTCCTGGTGACCATCGACAGTAAGTTAAATTTCGCTGTTCTTGCTGTAAGGAGTATATGGGTAGGGAAGGTGAAGGTTTGAATTTGGTACATGTCTATGTCGGCGTAGATTTGCTTCAACAAAGAATCCGACTTCATGATGATGATGATGGTGATGATGATGCCTATTAGAGATCATGTCTATTAGAAATTAATAAGCAATAAATTGTGCCTAGCAACACTTTCACATTGTTCATAACTTATTTCATTTAAAGCTTAGGATTTGTCCAACATATGAACGATCTATGTGATAAAAGGGATATCGAATGTGGCAATAGGAAATTATTTATGATATGTAAGTTGAAAATAAAAAATTTCTATTGCAACCATTTTGTTTGCCCTAGAAGGATTATAACTTCCTCCCTTACTGGCAAAAATATATACTGACAGTGTTTTTCGTCTCGCACTCACAGTCGGACCGGACATGACTGATCCAGTCATCACTGGGTGCCCACAAAACATTGCTGAAGTACTACCAGACGATGCTCCTGCAGTTGTTGTTGAATGGACCGTCCCCACCGCCACAGACAACTCTGGCAATGTACCATTATTGGTCTCTACTGCCAATAGTGGTGACGTCTTTACGATTGGAACTACCACGGTTACGTACACCTTCAGAGATCTGGCAAGCAATGAGGCCATTTGCTCATTCACCGTTACAATTTTCGGTAGGTGTTAGTCAAACCATCCGTGTAATGAAAAGATTGATTACTTTAAGCTTCTTCAATAAGAGCTTGTTATCTTTGTTAGTTGTAGTATCTGATTTTGTAGTACTAATCATATCTATATAAAAGATACAAAGTCAGCTGTGAAAAAAGTAAGGGCAATGTTGTATTTCAAGTTTAGATATGTTCATGCAATAATATATGCATATGTGCAGAAATAAAAACTTACGCATCAGGGATTTGGTTTTAGCTATTAATGAAGATGATTGGAGAAAAAAAATGACCCAACACCAAACACAAAAACGGGTGCAAATGGCACTCCGAACTCTTAGTGGAATGCAGTAAAGCTTTACATCGCTTATTGTACATTTTTCTGAAGTATAAGAAAGGTTACCATTGAAGATTGGAAATCGAAGAAAAAAAATACATGTCCTGCAAGTAATGACCAAACACTTGACCACCATTGCTTCAAATATAATGAACGCATACTTCTTTCGTTTTAGACCAAACATCTCCTACATTCCTCTTCTGTCCTGACGACATCACCTTGGTGGTTTCTCTTGGAACTCCAACTGCTGTTACTACCTGGACGACACCCGTTGCCCAGGACAACTCGGGTACTGTCAATCTCATCAGCCAGAGTGCTACTGCAGGAGATGAATTCCAGGCAGGTACCGTTACCACAGTAACATACCTTTACCAGGATGAAAGCGGCAACCCAAGTACTTGTTCCTTTGATGTCACAGTCAACACACGTGAGTCTCATCGGATGATATTCTTAGTGATTTTTTTGATAACGTCGTTTATTCCACATAAAAGTCATCGCAGGTAAAAGTTTAATACAACTTTCGTTATATTCACTGAAATGTTAAATATGAATATGCAATGACAGATAATCAACATATAGTAATTGTGTATGAACGTAGATTAATACAAATTGGGATTAATTTGTATTTGGACAGCAATCGGACCGTGAGAGATCTGCTTTTATTAGCAGCATATTATTTAATTATTTCACACTACGGTATATGTAGAAAGCTGCCTCTTCTTTATCTTTAAATAAGTAAATGTGGGTGATTAAAAACTTCAACTAAAAAGATTGTTATATATGCATATATCTAATATACTCACAATTTTTCATAAATCAGTGGATGACCTGAGACCAGAAATCATCAGCTGTCCAATCAATATCGCTGTTGAGGTCGAGATTGGCGTCGGTGGTACCGCTGTCACCTGGGCTATCCCAACAGCTACGGACAACTCTGGTGTGGCCCCAACCGTAGTGAACAACTTCAACCCTGGAGACTTCTTCGATGTTGGATCAACTGTCGTCATCTACACCTTCACCGATGGCGGTGGAAATGACGCTCAGTGCGCCTTCAATGTTGCTGTCTCTGGTGGTAAGTCGAAGGGCGAGTAGATATATCATGGAAATGTGCTTTTAAGTTTATTGTTGATCCAGGGTTGTCATTAGTCATTTCAACAGTTCAAATCAAATTAAAATCAAATCAATACACAATCTCAACTATTTTTGAAGAAATCAACCCAAGGCAATTTCATTAATCTGAACAGAATTTATTGGGATGTACAATAGCATATATTGAAATTATCATTCAGTTAGGTTCTTGAAAGTCTTTGATCTTGTGTTTCTCGAGAATGGTCAGCATTATAACTAGAAAGAGGGGGGGTGCGCATCCATCCTTCAAGCGATGGACTTCATATCCGTCCTCCTGGGTAAAGTTTGATTGGAAACAGACTTACTGTCTAAACTCCAATGGAATTATTCTTCCAATTGATAATGACCAGGGGGGTGTTTCACAAAGATCCAAAGTCAAACTTAACTCTAAGTTGGACTTAAAAATTATGGAGAGCCATTTGTAGCCTTAAAATAAAATATATTCAAAAGGGAAAATTCAAGTATTTTAGACTTTTTATAAATTCCACATCAAGAACATGAAATCTCCCAAGATAATAGAAAATATGAATGATTTGAATCAACATTTTATGCCTTTTAAAATAACTTTTACAAAACACTTTCAATGATGCTAACGGCTTTCCATAATTGTTAAGTCCAACTTAGAGATAAGATCAACTTAGATTCTTTGTGAAACACCCCCCTGATTACAAAGTGTGTAAATTTATAACATGTTGTCATGAAATTCAAATTGATGTTCCGTAAATAAAAGTCCCATAAAACCTTGAAACTTTGCTTGGAGTTTGGCGGGTTCTTTATAGAAATTACATTGGTTTGTTGTATCCCTAGAGCAACTGATACATGTGTGGTTTCAGTATGTCACAATATGTATTTCGTGAATGATTGAACATAATATGTCATTGACTAAAAAAGAAATAATCAAATATTCCTCTTCTATTTCTGTTCATACAGTATGTTCTTTAGATTGTATCACTTATACTTTCTTTTCCTCAAGTTCCTTCGATAGTTTCATTTGAATTTACATAATTTTTTTGTTTTAATGTAGATCAGAACCTGAATGAGTTTTGACATTAAAGCACATCCTGAGCCATGTTTCATATGTTATTAAACAGGAATAAAAAGAGATTGTCTTAGATGTCTAAGAGGTAAATTTATATTTGTTATTGATATATTTTCCAGTGGACACCACTCCTCCCCTCATCCAGTTCTGCCCAGGCGATATCTCAGTAACAACTGACGTCACCACTACCGGTGCTGTGGTTGATTGGGATCGACCAATTGTTGCCGATGCTTCTGGTCAACCAATCAGCATCGTCGTTTCAAAGGCTCCTAGTACCTTCTTCGATGTAGGAACAACCGAGGTCACATACGACTTTGTGGATTCCTCCGGAAACAGTATTTCCTGCACTTTTGATGTAACCGTTGTTGCAAGTATGTACAACTTTTATTACATATCTTTCCCCTGAATCTTTTAAGTGTTGGTGTAAAAAAAAGAGATTGTTTGTTTGGGGTCAGAAGGGCTTTAACTCGTATCATGCTACACAGAGTTAATGCCCTTGTGGCTCCAAACACTATATATTTTAAAAGGAAAATAGACCTAGATCTACCTGTATAAGCAAACATGCTACAAAACAGATGATTTAAATTTAAATTTTATCCAGTCCACATCGAATAAAGATGATAACATATTAAACATACACGTAGATACTAGTACAAAGAAAAGAAAGAAGTAAACAATACAGTACAACAAATATATAATAACAAACTAAAATAATATGAAAAATGTGTGGGCTGGCGGACAAAGAATGCCAAACGCCAAACAAGGTAACAGTGGACAGTAGATGGGTTATTTAAGATGTTTCACTCCTGGAAATGTTTACTTCATCCGACATAGCAAACCATCAACGACTATTAACATAGCACCCTCATTTTATCCGTTTTATCAGTTGACGAGGACGGTCCTGTCATCACTGGTTGCCCTGGCAACATCCTCCGCACTGTCCTGGATGACACCACCGGTGGCATCATCACCTGGGCCGTGCCCGTTGTGGCCGACAACTCTGGTGAAGAGGTTCAGCTTTTGAGCAATCCTGCTACTCCAGGAAGCTTCTTCCCTGTGGGAACGACCTCCGTCTCCTACGTGTACGCCGATGGCGCAGGAAACATCGAGGAGTGCGATTTCGACATCATAATTGACCAAGGTGAGAAACCGTTTAAGTGTCCTGTCAAGGGTTGAACAATCTTTTATTCAACTGTGATATTTTTCAATGATTTTTCTTTGGAAAGTACTATCCAATAGAATATAAAATAAGTTTTTGTAATTACCGTAATAGTGAAATTCATTTTATTGGGAGGTAGGACAAAGTATTGGCATCGGGGTGAAGAAACAGTGAATACAGGCCGGAACATTGTTTCCCTAAGTATAGTATATTCCCTTACAGTCAATAGTTGAAAGACTTTGTTATAGGAGCAAAGAATACAATCATATGTTCTGGATGCCAATGGTGTCAAGAATACAGATATTTCCCCAAAAATTCTATCCTTCGAACATTTCCATTATAAGGGGAAAAAACAACAAACAAATCTTCTCATGCAATACCTCAAGAGCCACCGTTAAAACCCTACAGACACACTTGTAATCATTAAAAGGGGATATAAGGATGTGGTCTACAGTTCACGTATACTTCATCGACGTATACATAATTGTCTATCACTCTAGATTCTCCATGCAACGTGAGTCCCTGTGAGAACGGTGGTGTGTGTCTTGCACAGAGTTTGACTGACTACGTCTGTGTCTGCGCAGGATGCTTCACTGGAGTCAACTGTCAGATTGGTAAGCTCTATTTCGTGAATAAATATCCTTTTACAAGACACAATCTACAGTTGCCACTTTAAACCTAGGTAAAGTGAATGAGTATCCAGTGCACATCAAGACATTCCTTGAGTACTTGAGCACGTACCTTACGGTAGCAAAGCTAAAGCCAGGGTGATGGTATGAATAAGATCATATCACTATCATTATGAGCATTTGAAAATATTGTCGTGACTTTCACTCATCTGACAGACCTTAAAGTTGAAAAGTGTCTATGATCAATTTGAAGTGGTAGTAGGGTTTACTGGATGGTGCTTAGTGTTTGTACTGCAAATGCTTCATAACAAATATTTGCAATGAAATAAAACTTTGTGTATATTTTGTATTGTTACCAAGATAAACACTGAGGTTGAAGTAGGTATGGATTTGAGTGAAATCATAAACGATGCCTTAAAGCCCATATGTACTAGTTTAAAGGGGGATTAGACCACCCTGCAAGGTCACTGACAGGTGGTTATCTCATCAAATCAGCTCTCAATTGACATAAGAAAAAGAGGATCATGGGGCCCAATGTTCACCGATCAGGCATTGTTTGTTATAGAGGGCGCAAGCAGCTATAAATAGAGCAGTGGGGCTTTAAACAAAGTCTAAATCGTTTGTCATCTTTGGTTTCCAGAACTTGATCCTTGCGCCGGTAACACGTGTGCCAATGGCGGCCAGTGTGTCCAATACGACAACTCCTGCACACGCTACTACTGTGAATGCCCGTCATGCTACTATGGAGACTTCTGTGAAAACCGTGAGTATTATACCACCTGTGGAATATTCGGGATAGTGTTTACCATTTGGGGTCATAGAGCATAAAGATAGTTGGGTAGAAGAGGAACAAATATTACACAGTATTTAACCTAATGTAGAATGTTTGCTGTCGGAAGTGTTTTTGTCATTTTTTGCACCACCAATTTGCTTCTATCATTGAAAATAAAGAATATTAATGTCTACTCAGTTATACTTGTGATCTTAATTTGAAATCATATAATCAACCTGTATATGTATTGTGGATTATTTATACATGTATGCTCGATTCCTTTTCATGTAGGTGTCGATGCCTGTGCATGCAACAAGTGTGAAAACGGAGGAGTTTGCTTGCCTATCTCGGGTGGCACCTGCACAGACTACAACTGCCTCTGCACTGGATGCTTTGTCGGACAGTTCTGTGAAAACGGTTGGTAGCATACTTATTGCATTCCCACGTAACATATTATACTCGCCTTTTGTGTTAATTGTTAATGTGTTAATTGGCGTCGTGTATGCTGGTGTTCAGGGTCCTTATACAGATATTCATGAGCATTTTCCTTTTACTCTGACAGTGTCAAATTTATATGACAATAAGACGAACAGACTAGGTTAGGTTTAGTCTCACAAACTTTGCCTAGAGATCTCTCCCTTAACCCTTTTAAACAAAAATCAAAACCATATATATTTTGAGAAGGGAAGTGAGGAATTAAAAACAAAACATGTATCTTAAAATAGTTTTATTCCCCTTAAGTGTTTTTTTTTAATTAGTCTTTGACATTTGATTTTGATCCGTACAGAGTACAACCCATGCGAAAATGTACCATGCCAGAACGGTGGAATCTGCAGTAACATTGCTGACTCGTGCTCTGCCTATGGCTGTGAGTGCCAGGGTTGCTTCACAGGATACAGTTGTGAAATTGGTAAGTTCAAGAATTTGCTGCTTATGAAATAATAGTTTGATTATGTTATGTAATAGGACATATTCGTAATGTAATTAAATTTAATGCACGAATATTTGTATTTCAATAGTCAGAATGCGAATTGCATACATTACATTTTGTAAGGTAGGACAGGCCATATTGTTTGTTATATCTCAATCAATGCATGCAATTTGAATTCTGACTATTGAAATAAAATTATTCATAACAGGTGAATGAAATAATTTGTAGCATGGCACTTCAAAGAAGATTTATGCATTGCATTTGATTACATAACGAAAATTGCATAATTTCGTTGATATTAACCAATTCAATGTTATTTTTGTCTATATACTCACAATCCCACAATCGTAGTTTTTGAAGTTTCATAAAACTTGTCAGCAATGCTAATGCACCTCGTTAGGGCTGTTATGAATCATATGTATCGATTCGGTGTAATACAGGCCTGTGGTGATTTAAATTCGTACATCATTAAACAATTGTTCTTCTCCTGCATATATTCCTCCCTCCTGTCCACCACCGGCTATCGCTGATCCATGTGTTGCTGATCCCTGTGTTAATGGAGGGGCGTGCTCTCGTGTACCAAGAAGCTGTTACTCCCATACATTAATAAAGTTATTTACATTTCTTTGTAAGACCACCTTATTAAGATAAAACACCCCGAGCTAATGCTTTCTTTCTCCTGCAATCTTTCTTTCTTCAGCTATCGCTGATCCATGTGATGCTGATCCCTGTGCTAATGGAGGAGTGTGCTCTCGCGTTTCTGGAAGCTGTTATGCTTATCAGTGTGCCTGCCAGCCCGGCTTTGCTGGACCTCGCTGCGATGATGGTGAGTCGAGGGATGGATGGGTCTTATTTTGAAAAAGTGGACATGATTTCATGCACGTGGGTCAGGTATTTTGATAAAATAATTGCATGTGTTATGAATGTTGCTGAATATCTATTGCATTCCATGAAAAAAATATCTCCTTTCTCAGCCACAAATGTCACCACAAATACAAAGAATTTGCTGTTGCTCTGAATGCTGTCATTAAAGTGACTCGGTAACATTGTTGACGGTTGATGAAAAAAAAAGTAATTTGTGTATGAAATGTTACTTATTATATTCCTTCTACTGTATTAGCCCTCTAAAGCTACAGTCCCATATACGTCCCGGACCGTCCCGGACCATCCCGGACCCCATCCGGGGTGATCCGGGATTCGGTCCATGTTGACACCGTGTTGGCACCGGGGTGGTCCTGGATGGTCCTGGATGGTCCTGGATGGTCCTGGATGGTCCTGGGCGGTCCGGGAGTCGACCCCGGATGTTTTTGACGGTCAAAAACTGCCGGGGTGGTCCGGGACGGTCCGGGACAATAGTTTGATCCGGGGTGATCCGTGTAGCCACCGTGCTGGGTCCGGGGTCATCCGTAGTGGCGCTGGGGCGGTCCGTGTTGATCCGTGGCAGTCCGGGAGTGAGTTATTGACCGCCCAGGACCATCCAGGACCATCCAGGACCATCCAGGACCATCCAGGACCACCCCGGTGCCAACACGGTGTCAACACGGACCGAATCCCGGATCACCCCGGATGGGGTCCGGGACGGTCCGGGACGTATATGGGACTGTAGCTTTTAAAGCATCACACTTTTTTGAACAAAACATCCCGGACCATCCCGGATCACCCCAGACCATGGTCCGGGATGGTCCGGAGTGGTCCGTGCTCGTCCGTGCTGGTCCGGCTTTATATGGGACTGGGGCTTTACATGCAAAACTTTTTAAAACAAATTCTCAAACCATAAAGATAGTTATACTTTTCTTTGAGGGCGTCATTATGCGACACCCTCTACCATTAAGCTATCCCAACCATTTTTGAATTTTCCCAACCGCTTTCCCATGAAAAAAATGCATAAGACAGGCTTTTAAAAAATCTTTCCACACCACACAATGTCTGGAATTATAGAGCCAATTCATTGCTTCGTAACGATTAACATTAACCTTAAATGCAATAAACTTGTAATAATATAGTTGGGAGAATCAAGGAGTCGATCAGATTATTTTCCCAAATTGTTATCATTAATTATGGTCTGTTCTCACTAATTTTCAGATTATCTTTAATTGTACATCAAGCATTGAAGTCATTAGCACCATTTACTCTCATCTGAACAATGTTCCCAAGTCCCTTTAAGGTCAATATGTGGTAAGAAGTGTATCTAATTTCTATCTGCATTGTAATGGCAGAGTGAAAGTACACCATTGGAAAGATTGTGGAATTACATTGCTTAATTCCAAGAATCTTAATAGGGTATTCGACACCGTTTCGAAAATAAAAATTAACTTCCCCATGTTTCATATCTGATATGGATTCTATGTTTTTTCTCCTTTCGCAGCTGTTGTAATTCTGGTTAACCCCTGTAACAACTTCCCCTGCGAGAATGGTGCGTCCTGCGTCTGTGACAACGCACAGAACTATGTCTGTCTCTGCCCACAAGGCTTCAATGGAATTCACTGTGAAGTTGGACTAAGTAAGGAGATCAGTCCTTTTAAATATTTAAATTGTTAATTTGTCTTCTTTCAACTGCATCTAGATATTTTTTCTTCATTTGAGTATCGCTACTTTGGTGATTCAGCAACATTAATCCAACTAATTATGTATCTTATTGTACATTGATTGCTTAAATATTTGCACCATGTATTCAAATCTTAGAAATGTAAAATTAAAGGTTAGATGAATTTAGGGCTTGTGGTATATTTTTTATGAAATAAAAGAACCATCATGAATTTAAAAAAAAATGCATTTGGTGGCGTAGTTTTGATTTTGCATTGCCTTTTTTCTATTTAAGAACTATACTCTCTTTAATCTATTATCTGATTTTCTTTTGATCTCAGTAACATCCCAGGATGCCTGCTCCAACAACCCATGTCTGAACAATGGCAATTGCGTCAACAGCTACCACAGTGGCACCGAGGTGTTGGGAGTGTACAGCCCACAGTACACGTGTGTCTGCGTAGACGGATTCACAGGAACCAACTGTGCATTGACTGCAGGTATATCCTTATTTTACTGTATGAAATGCCGTACAACAGTATAGTGTCCTGTAATTTTTTTTTACATGGTGGAAACTGTGATACTGTGTGGCCTATCTGCATATCAACACAATGAGTTTTGTTTCTTTCTGTATGTACATTGTGTCTGGCACTTTTTGACAGGGAACAACCTTGCTCTGTTAAACACAACCTTCTCTTCAACAATTTAATGAATACAATCACCCGAATCATGACAAACAACATTTCTTTTGGGCACCGGTAATTATAAGCCGAAATGGCATTTGAAATACAAAATGTAATTTGGCCTTGTTGATTAAATACATTTAATCAAGCACATAATATGGTCCATTTGTAGTCAGAAAGGATTTGTGTGACCGTGCCTTCTCTTCAGTTGCTCCACGTCTCCCTCCCTCCAATTCTTCGCGACACCGACAAGCTAGAAAGCTTTAGGTCAGACCTCAAAACCCATTTCTTTTCTCAAGCAAATGTTTAGTCCATGACTATTTGAGGAGCGGGCGCCTTTGAATTTTTGAAACAGATAAATGGCGCCATACAAGTGCTGTGGATCATGATCATGTCATAACTTTAACACAGAGTTAACATGTTTCTGGCTCTGAGCAGACGATATAAACTGTAATTATTTAGTTATTACTGTGTGCATCTGAAGTCCTGTGCATATATCCGATCAATGTTAACATGTCAGTGTACCAATGGTGTGTTTCTTAAACTCTTGCAATTGCTTTCATGTATAAATTTTACCATCCAACATATTACTCTTCCCTTAATATTTCTCCTAGCCATCAACCCAAATCTTGAAGTGTGTGACGATAACAAATGTGACAACGGTGGCGTCTGTCACAATACCTTCTACAGCTATGACCAGAGTGTGTCGTACTTCTGTGACTGCCCAATAGGTTTCTTCGGAGAATGCTGCGAACTTACTGGTAAGTTGGATATGAGTGTGTTAATGTTCGTTCTGAAATGCCTGGATAAAAAGACAATGTGTTTATATTCAAGTGGATGTAAAGACCTCATTTACCAAAAGATTTAGTCATGAACCATGACAATAGAAAGAAATAGAGAAGCCACTTATCAAATATTTCTCTGTTTTCACCCAAAAATTTATACGAGTTTAATTACAGTCTATAGGCCATAAATATGAAAGTAATTAATTAAACTTAGCAAAAGTAATCATGCTTGAAAACTCAAAACTTAATCTTTTTCAAAATTTGAACAGCTTCATGAATGCAATTAATGTATTGCTTATTCATTTTGCTTAATAAATGAATCTGGAGGTGATTTTACATCTGTTTATTGGTAAATGCATGCATGCCTTTTAAAGTCACAGACCTGTAACGGGTGTAAGTTCTCTGCAATTTTACACATTTTTTTAAATGACAATTTAAATTTTGGGTTGTTTCTCCTAGTCCCCAATCCTTGTTTCAGCAACCCCTGTACTGCCAATGGTAACTGTGTAGCCTTCAACACCTACTTCGTCTGTTCATGTCTCAATGGATACACTGGAGTCACCTGTGAGGTCCCACCAAGTAAGTAGAATCCCCTACTCTTGAATCAAATTAGTAAGATTTAGTATATAAATGGATATGTATATAAATTTTACAGATAGGAATTGTAATAATAATAATAATAATAATAATAATAGCCTAATAGTCCACTCCAAATTTTATTAAACCGAAACGGAAATTCTTTTTGCCCAATTGATCGTGAGCCCGGCAGCCACTGAGCAGCGCCAGATCGACGTTGCTCTATCCCTTATTGTTGAACGCCAAACAAGGTAGCAACAACTCCCATCTTTTAACGTCTTTTGGTACACCGTTTGTTAAAACGCATTTTGATATCGTTGTATAATTGCATTAGCAAGTATCTATTTAAAGTTTACAAGGAGGAACTAATGGTAATCTACATATTCTGTGATTTAAATAATTTAAAGAGTACATGCAGCTTTAATGAAAACTTGGTTGATGGCAAAGATGACGACGTATAAAAAACAAAACATAATTTCAAGGAAAAGAAGGTACTATTTTTGATGGGGGGAGGGGCACCCGGGGAGGGAAACACTGTGGAAATGTACGAAGGTCAGTGATCTTTCATCACATCTTTTTAATGCACTGTAAATTAGCAAAAAGTAATTTCACTCGGTGCAAAATTTAACAAGACTCTTACTGTTTATAACACTAATATTGAAATTCGAAAATTCTACACTTTCTTCCTTCCATCCCAGACGATATCAACCGCCCAGTCCTTGTCTGCCCAGAAGACGTGACCGTGCCCGCAACCACTACCAGTGGTGGTGCCGCTGTGACCTGGAATCTGCCTACAGTCACCGATGACTCTGGAAACTGGGGCTTTGTCTCTGTCAATAGCGAATCCGGAGCTTACTATGCCATTGGCACCGTACTACCCGTCACCTACACCTACATCGATGGCGCAGGAAACCCTGCCACTTGCACCTTCACAATCTCCGTTACTGGTATGGAATAGTGTTTGGTGGCCTTTTGGAATAGAATGATGAGCCTGTTAAATATAAATGCAACACTCAACCTTAACCGCAACACTAAAACTCAAAAGCGACTACACCTTTGACCATTCTAATCTTTTTGTGTTTGATGTTGGAGTCAACTCTCATGTTTAAAAAAACGTTTTACCTTAGTGTGTACAATCTCTTTGTCCGTGACAAATGTCAACCAACAATGTCTTTACTTTTAACATACAGAACTTGACAACATCGACCCAGAGGTCGTGGCTTGTCCAGATGACATTGAAATCACCCTGCCACCTGGTGGACTCGGCACCGTGGTGTCCTGGTTGGCACCCCTTGCCACCGACAACTTTGCCGTTGTCAACACTGACAACAACTTCAGTCCAGGAAATAACTTTGATCTTGGTTCCACCTTGGTCTCGTACACCTTCACCGATGCTGCTGGCAACTTTGAAGTGTGTTCATTCACTGTTAGTATCGAAGGTAGGTGTCATTGAATCGAATCAAGGGTTATTCCATCCTGCTGTAGATGTTATTGTAAAGATTAAGTGGTACACATAACCTTTTTAAGTCCCTGCTTAAGAATGCTTAACGTTTTGCTTATAATAATCCCAGAGTAAGAAAATATTGGAAGTGTGCATGTAATGAAATGTAATTCATTGAGTGCATAGCTTAGCTGAGATAGAAAGTAAACTTCATATATACTTACTTTTCTTCTACAGCCGAACCGGACGTTAGCGCACCTCTGATCACGAACTGTCCTGGAGATCTCGACATCGAGGTTGGACCTAATACCGTGTCATCTGTTGCAACATGGATCGAACCCTCCGCCACCGACAACGTTGGTGTCATCACAACCTCCAATAACTTTAGCCCTGGCGCGACTTTCAATATCGGCACCACTGTGGTTACTTATATCTTTGCTGATGCAGCTGGAAATCCAGCTTCATGTAGCTTTGATGTGACCGTCATTGGTGAGTCACTTTTCCTCTACTTGTAAGAAGATTGGGGTACTTGTATTATTACCAAAATGGTGCTTATTTTGATAACAGGGAGATGGAAAATTCATCATCTGTGCTTGTAAAATATTATTACAATCCCAGGGAAATATTGCTCTATATGATAAGGACATTTTTATATCTGATTGTATCTTGTTATACAAAAAACTTACATTTATGTTTAAATCACATGAAGAACATTCTGCTTTATATGACCCTGACCTTTTTTTTTAATTTACTCTGGAAGTAGAGTTTAAAGTGGAAATTATTTAGTTTTCTTTGAATGGTAGCATGTTTTTTTTCATTATCACAAGAATTGAACGATCCTCTTTTTGTTGTTTTTTGTTGTTGACAGTTGGGGAAGATCAGATTGCCCCCATTGTCCAGAACTGTCCCGGAAACATTGCCATCTTTGTCGGTGTGAGCATCACCGAGACTGCCGTAACCTGGATCGAACCATCCGCAGTAGATAACTCAATTGGAGCCATCTCGGTCGTAAAGAACTATTCACCAGGAGATACCTTCCCACTCGGAGCCACTCTTGTCTCCTACAGGTTTACCGACTTGGCAGGCAACTTCGCCGATTGCGAGTTCTTTGTCGGCCTTCAAGGTATTTGTAATAGAAATGCTGGCTTTCAAACTATTTCATGACAGCTAGTAGTTACTTTGATTAGACATGTGTAGGTCTAATGCTTAGCCGCAACCCATACTGGAGAAGACAACACAAATATATATATTAGGCAAATTTTTCACTTGATTCAATAGATTATGTTTTCTTTTAATCGTCTTTGATATACACTGCACATGTGAGAGGCGTGCGTGTCCTTAAAGGTATCACAAAGTTTTGGTAAGGGGTCATGAATTTGGTTCAAATGAACAAATTGGAAGCATATGCGATCCTACAATATTCAGTGATCGTTGTCGTGGTTGAAATTGGGTTTAAAGTGATGAAATTGTGAATAATAAACTCTTTATGTTGTATAGCTCCCTCTCAAGATTGCTTTACTTTAGCTTTAACAAAATGTTTCTTGACTAATATCGACCGATTTTCTATTCCCTTTTGGAATTTATATATCAGAACTGCATGTTCCGAGATTTTCATGGTCCCGGCTACCATTTGAATGACCGTAGGCGCTATTTGAAATTTATCGGAAGCACTGATAAAAGTTTATATTTTAATTTCTCGAAATCCTCAGCGTTTTAGAGCCCAGATTTTTCAAAGTTGCTTTTTCTAACAATGGTAATGGAAATTTTAAATTTCAAAATCCAATTCTGTTGAAATATTACTAAAACGTTGTATTGCCTAAGTCACCGGGTTGCCAGCTTTTCCTCACTCCTGACGACAGATATTCGACCTGTTCGAATCGTCGAGCCACTCCTACCACACACCCTCTCCTACCGGCTCTATAGTTATCTCTAGAACTATAAGCTCAAGAAGGGTTACCAACAGTCCTGTTCAGGACTCCCCCAACCCTCCCCTCTCACATAGTGCAACCGCTAGCCCACTGTATATCTATATCACCATGTAAGCAAATACTTAGAAGCAGCGTCTTTGATTTCTTTAAACAACTGGTAATTTGATTGATTGATTGACTGCGTCCCCCCGAAATAAAAATTAATAAATACATTTATTTAAATTAAAAAAAATAATAAAAAAATAAAAAAATCAACAACAAACAAATACAAAAATTGAAAAAAATCAACAACAAAAAAAAATCATACAAACATAACAATGCCTTCAATGAGCAGTTTATAAATTTACAGCACGAAAAATAAAATACTTGTATGGAAAATGGAATTCTATTGTAAACTATAACCAAGTAAGGAGAATTAATTAAACTGGCTATTATGGGAAAACAAGGCCAGTAAATCTTCATGAATTTTGGTATACCATTAGTTAAAAGAAGGTGCTATACGTACAAGATCGTTTTTTGCCAGACTATCTAAACAGTGTCCTCTCACCCCTAATAATCTCTTCGCATTCTGCAGTCGCTGTCGACGATGTTGACCCTGTCATCTCCAACTGCCCCAACGATGTCGTTCTGAGCGTCGCCCAAGGCGTCACCATGGTTACCGCATCCTGGGTGCCGCCCACAGCTGTGGATAACTCTGGAAGCTTCAGCACCGTTAGCCTCTATGTCCCAGGGAATGTCTTCGACCTTGGCTCTACTGCCGTGACCTATACCTTCACCGATCCCTCAGGCAACTTTGCCGTGTGCGCCTTCAATGTCATCGTTACTCGTAAATAATATTCCCTGATTTCATATTGCTTTTTCACATGGGTCTTCCAGAGCATCTTATGCGAAACATATAATAATGTGTGTGGCATATAAATTCATTCTGCTTGCTTTAATAGGATTCTTTTATTTCATTGCATCTCCGTTTTATTTAGAGTGTTTTAATGGGCAATTCCGTGCAATATGTCCGGCTCAACATATATCTTCTTCCACATATTTTATTAAAAAGTGGTACTTTCTAGTATTGTCCCTAAACTGTAAATTAGACTACTATAGTAACATGGCATGTCGCATAAATGGTTAAATTGCTTTTAAAAGACTATTGCATATACATGTAATTCAGTAAATCAATCAGACATATATATATATCAAGAATGTTGATAACTTATATTGAATTGTATAAATTTCTTAAAAATAGATATCTTAGTTATACTATCAAGGCAGTCCGAATACTGTTGCTAGTTGATTCAGGTATCATTACATTCAAATAATTCACAAGAACTGTCATAACTTATATGTTTGAGAGATAAACTTTTGATCTCAATACCATAATCTTTACCTCCGAAATTTTGAGCTGTACAGTTACAGCCTTCTTCACCAATGTGACCTAACTTGACCTTTATGAGGTACATAGTTGGGCCACAACAGGTTCATAGACATTTTATCACAATACAGATGAGCTTTCATGATAGTAAACCATGATAACACTGTACCTTTTGACAGTTGCTGCTGATGTTGTACCTCCTGAGATCTCAAACTGCCCCGGGGCCATCAGTGTAGAGGTCAGTACAAGCCTGTCCACTGCTTCCGTCTCTTGGGATGAGCCTACCGCTGTGGATGCATCCGGTATCGTGCTGACCAACCAGAACTTCAACCCTGGACACCTCTTCGCGGTGGGTACCACTGCCGTCACCTATACCTTCACTGACCAGGCCGGCAATCCCGCTATCTGTTCCTTCGTGGTTACAGTCACAGGTAATAACTTTTCTCTTGTGTTCTTTCCAATAATATAAATACAGTGCTCAAAAGATATGCACGTTTGAGAAGGCAAGAGGGCAATATGTGAACATTTGATGTGTGACATACAAATTACCTTTCAAACACAAATTGATCCATTTACCTTGTAGCCATCGACGACATTGCACCTGTCATCATCAGTTGCCCCAACACCATCACCTATGAGGCACCCCTGGGTGCTACCAGTGCACCCGTCACCTGGAACCCTCCAAGCGTTTCAGAGGAAGGTATCACGACCACCCAGACTTCTACGCCAGGCTCCAACTTCGCTCTGGGTACCACTCAGGTCACCTACACCTTCACTGATCTCCTCGGCAACATGGCTACCTGTTCCTTCACAGTGGTCATTATAAGTGAGTATATGGGAATACTCCCCAGAGAGCGGAAAATGTGCACTAACATGTGCAGATTAGCAATTGATTCCAATGACCGGGGTAATATAATAACTATTATATACCTCTCTTTACAAATCTAGCCATCTGATTGGTCGAAATTGGAGTCGTGATTTTAGCCATTCCCGTAAAGAAACAAACAATGCCAGTAACGGTAAATAGTAAACGAATGAGATTCCCGAAAGATTCCGGGTACCGGGAAAATAGGAGTCATGGCAGTGCTATACAAATGTGAATGTTATTATTATTATCTAGGTTTCCTGAATGTGTAATTGTACCTCTTATTGCCTTGTGGACGTAATGGTACCTGGTAGAAAGTAGGTTCTATTCATTTTATTCGCGCCATAAACATTGATAGCCTCTAACACAGCTAAATTTACAGTAGGGTTATCAGGTCTGGGCATGTCTGCCCCTACAAGGAGCAGTCATACGTGAAATATTTGTTTTCATATTAACTTGAATAATTCTGTGAGGATGGCATCCCTGATAATGGAGTTTGTAATGACACATCGACTTGCTTTTTTGCTGCGATATCACCAACCTTTGTACTCAATCCTGCATATTGAAAGAAAGGAAAACAGGACACTTTGCATATCAAGACCGTATGTTACAAGTTATCTTTTGGCATGACGTGATCATCGTAATATTAATTTGAATACTTCATTGATATTTCACTGCTAATAATGTGGTCTTCACCATACTTTCTGCAGCTACTATGGACAATACACGTCCCGTCATCGTAACCTGCCCTGATGATGTCAGCGTCCGTGTCGACGTCGGAGTCACCAGGGGTACAGCCACTTGGACAGTACCTACTGCCACTGACGATTCTGGCACTGTCAATGTTGCCAGCAACTATAATCCAGGCGATTTCTTCGATATTGGTACCACTTTGGTTGCATACACACTCAGTGATGACGAGGGCAACTCTATCAATTGCGACTTCTTTGTCATTGTAACCGGTAAGCAGAATAATTTTGATTTTCATACAAATGTGACAATTATCACAATTTATACATGAATAGTACAAATTCATTGCTAATTTTATTACAGTTTGGTCTTGCTTTTTTGTATGTCGCATTGTGGTGTGTGTTAGATAAGATTAGTTTACAAAATTCTGTCTAAGGGATTCAGTGCTTATAGTTCTCATCGCTTGAATGTAGCTAAATGGACAAGGGTGTTTGTAAAATTTACTTTTGGTGTTCAGTGTATGCTCCGTCTTTCTCATCAAGTTACCTAATAAGCGTACTTGTACATGTATTATTTATGTATCGTCCACCATCTTTTCTCTCCCCAGCTGCAACTGACGACATTATCCCTGAGGTCTCCGACTGTCCGGATGATGTGGTCATCTTCGTTCCCCAGGGTACAACCAGGGCCAATGTGTACTGGATCGAACCTACTGCCATGGACAACTTTGGTGACATCACCGTCAGTCAGTCCGCCAGTCCCGGAAGCCTCTTTGCTTTAGGTCCGAGTAGCGTGACCTACACCTTCAGAGACGGGGCCAACAACGTCGCCTTCTGTATTTTCGACGTCTTTGTTCGAGGTATGATTTGTTGTATGACATCATTCAAAAGACCTACTGTAGATCATTGAATGCACTGGCAATTGAACCAGCTGGCATTCCTGTCAAACGTGAATCATGTACCAAAATGTGTCTGTCCACTCCATTTATTTGCACTGATGACATTGTGTTTAATTGGTTGCAGGAAATATCCTTTACATGTAGAACATTAATCCGGAATGTAGCTCCTTGATCTTCTTTGCGATCCTAGCAATGTGGCCTTCAACAGAAATTGATTTCATTACAGTCAGTCCACCTTGTATCTGTACCTTGCTGTGTGATTATCATGTTGTCTTTCTGCTTCTGTAGTGGCACTACCCGATGAGAGTTCGCCAGTTCTTATCTCATGCCCCGATGACATTACCGTCGCAACCTCGGACGGTAATACGGCTGTTCCTGCCTCGTGGCTTGTCCCTCAAGCTGTCGATGACTCTGGTGTCGTCAACGTTGATAACAACAATGGCCCCGGTGACCTCTTCAACCTAGGCACCAACACTGTCACGTACACTTTCACTGACAATGCTGGAAACTTTGTTGTCTGCTCATTCGATGTCAACGTAATCCGTAAGCATTGCCCCTCAGCTATGATTGTAAATACCCTACTGAAAAAAAGAAGAGTGATCGTTTAATTTCATTGTAGAGAACGATAGTAGACTTCCTTGAAGTTTTAACCAAACCTACATGGCTTGCCTTCCAGTTTATCCATGAACTGTAAATCTAAAAATTCACAACACAGTTATTCTGTAAATGGGTGAGACAGTTCAGATCTTTGTTCAATTTACAGAAGAGAAACTATTATGTTGTATAAAGATTATTGTCAGATGAATGAAATGTGCGTATTCAGGTATTACAAATTGGGTTTTTCCTCACATATCTACTCATGGACAAGACATTATGGTGACACATCTTGTGTATTTTTTTAATTTCCTGTCCATATGCAGTTGGCGTTGTTGATAGAACGGATCCGATCATCAATGGCTGTCCATTAAACATTGAAATCGTGACCCCTGTGGGTGAGCCAGAGGTGGTAGTAACCTGGAATGAACCCAGCGGCTTTGACAACTCTGGCAGAGTCACCGTCACTCAAAGTGCATCCCCGGGAGACATCTTTGGAGAGGGCGTCACTCAGGTTGTCTACCAGTTCAGCGATGCCAGTGGAAATGATGCCTTCTGTATCTTCACTGTCACCGTTATCCGTGAGTGCACCAATGCTGTTGATTTCTAGTGAAATTGGTATTTCACACAGGCGCGTACGCAGGATTTTTTCAAGGGGGGGGGGGGGGAGGGGGGGGTTTTAACATTTATAAATCGGTCCGAACATTTCGCAACGACTCAGCCAGCCGCTGAATAAGGGGGGGGGGGGGGGGGGGGGGGGAAGAGGACACTTTTTTTTTTTTTGTCTCGAAATTTGGAAATTTGACATTTTGCTCAGTTGGGGGGGGGGTAAAGGTCACCTTTTTTAGGTCGGCCGTGGGCATAATTTTTTTTTTTTTTTTTTTTTTTTTTTTTTTTTTAATAAAAAAATCAAAATCAAAAAAAAATCAAAAAAATCAAAAAAATAAAAAGGGGGGGTTTAGGTTTTTTTAGGGGGGATACATACATAAAATTACCAAACCCCCCCCCCCCCCCCCCTGCGTACGCGCCTGATTTCACATGTAATATTTCATTGTAATGTCGACACATTTCAGTAGATGGCGTAATTGAATTGAATGTGGTTGATTTTTGTTTAAGTCTCTTTGATCATATTGTATATGTTTTATGATTTATTGAATTCCCTTGACAACGAAGCAGATAATGAATTTGACGAACTTCACCAGGCAATTTAAAAATCACTGATTTTGGTATAATATTTACATCTGTAAATAGTAGGCTTTTTCAAATCACACTGGGCCCTAGTCCTTTTGCAGTGCAATGAGTATTAAGTCTTAATCTTATTTTGTACTGTAAATCTAAATCTTATGTTGTACTGTTAATTATTATTTTGTTTTCAATAGTGGACATCCAAGTTGATTTTGAGGGTCCTGCCATCAGCAACTGCCCCGACGATCTGGTCCTGAACGTTCCTTCTGGAATTGCTACCGTGTCAGCATCTTGGCAAGAACCAACAGCTTCTGATGTATCTCTCCCTATCACGCTGGCCCAGTCTGCCAGTCCAGGTGATGAGTTTGTAGTCGGTCAGAACACCTTGGTCACCTATACCTTCTCAGATGCTTTCAACAACCCGTCCATATGTGCTTTTAGCGTCATTGTTTTAGGTAGGTTATTGGTTTGAGTTCACACTTCCAAACATTCTGCATGAATAACTATATTACACCATGTATTCCAATTTCAACCTCACAAAGTTCATTCTGTCTAGCATAATCACAGGTAACAATAATAATAATAAAACGGTTATTATAAAGCGCTTTCCACCGATGTCTCTAAGCGATATAACAAACAAAGTACAATGAAAAACAGTTATATATTAAACCAAAAATAACAAATAAACCTACACATTACAATACATACGAAATATACATCATTGTATTAAAATAGAGTTAGTTAAACATCATAAATTGATATTGAACCAGTTGACAATGAAGCCTATGTGTATCCTCTATCTGAAGGATAATCATATCTGCAAATGTTTGCAGTTCAAATCTCTTTCCATCATGGTACTTTTTGGATGAAGTGAAGACCCCTTTCACATAGCACCTACCTACGCAATAACTTAAAAAATTAGAGATAGTGTCCGACTACCCCTCTTGCATAGCATTACTATCCCCTCTATACATGTAGTTTGCCATGAAATATCTTTCTTTCAAACCATTATAATTCATGTTCACATGCAATAGCCTTACAATATAACCTAACACTCCCCGACAATATATCTCTCACTGCATTAGTCACAAACGTAGACAACACCGATCCAGTCATCTCCAACTGTCCTGCTGACATCAACCTGTCTGTTCCAGCCGGCCTCAACAATGTGGCCCTCACCTGGACTGAGCCGACTGCTGTAGATGACACCAGTGCTGTCAACGTCGCCCAGACTGCCGCTCCCGGAGATGCCTTCCTCGCCGGGCAGACCACCATCGTCACCTACACCTTCACTGACGCTTCAGGAAACTTTGCCAGATGCAGTTTCCAAATCATTATCAGTGGTGAGGAATGGTTTAATCAACCAATGAGCTGCCTAAAGGACCATGAAGATTGATCTTGACTACATGTTTATCAGTATAGTCACATGAATTGCACTTGTTATTGTTGTACAACAACTATTTGAGATAGCATGTTTTTAATTGTTGAGGGTATTAAGACTAACATGCATGTCCAGCTCATTTCATGACAGATGCCTCGTGTATAAATCAATGTATAGACATTATTGATCAAGTTGGATATTTTCTTAAATAGTCGTTCAACCTGGTTTACTTGGAGCAAATTTTTAGTCTTAATTTTTTCGCAATATAAAAATCAAAGTATGCAAAGTAACAGTAAATTTGATTTCAGATAGGTATTACAATTAAATTATGATAATAATAATAATAATAATGATGGCTTCTTATATAGCGCACATGTCCGTCACGTCGTAACGCTCCTGGCGCTGCCCCGATTATTACCATGGCTTTAGAAAGGAGGCCAAATGTAGATCAAAATCTTACCAAAGGACATTAGTGCCGCGGCGGGACTTGGACCGCGGACCTCGACAGTCCGGTGATATAGCAACTCGACCACGGAACCTCTACATAATATGTTTCCATATCATTTATGAATTTCATAATTCCTTTTGCCTGACAGTGATCAACGCAGACAACACCGACCCTGTGGTTAGCAACTGCCCAGAATCAATCTTCTTGACCGTTGGCGCCGGCGTGACCGGCGTTCCTGTGGTCTGGACCGAACCAACTGCTGTAGATGAGACCAGTGCTGTCACTGTCTCCCAGAGTGCATCACCAGGAGACAACTTCAACATCGGACCGACCGTTGTCAGCTACACCTTCACTGATGCAGCTGGAAACGATGCCTTCTGTTTCTTCACAGTGACCATCACAGGTAGGTTCCCTGACGGGGAAAAGCAATTAACTTTCATGTCCGTATTTTCCCCGGTGTATGAACAGCTTTACTGAAAGAGATTTCTAAATAATGTCTTTGAAGGAAAAGACATTGTTAACAACAAATGCGTGCTGTGTACTGTTTTTTCCCATTCTGATTTCAGATAAGTATTCCAATTTAAAGATATATTTCCATATCATTAAATGAATTTCATTATCCACATTACCTGACAGTGAACAACGCAGACAACACCGACCCTGTGGTTAGCAACTGCCCAGAATCAATCTTCTTGACCGTTGGCGCCGGCGTGACCGGCGTTCCTGTGGTCTGGACCGAACCAACTGCTGTAGATGAGACCAGTGCTGTCACTGTCTCCCAGAGTGCATCACCAGGAGACAACTTCAACATCGGACCGACCGTTGTCAGCTACACCTTCACTGATGCAGCTGGAAACGATGCCTTCTGTTTCTTCACAGTGACCATCACAGGTAGGTTCCCTGACGGGGAAAAGCAATTAACTTTCATGTCCGTATTTTCCCCCGGTGTATGAACAGCTTTACTGAAAGAGATTTCTAAATAATGTCTTTGAAGGAAAAGACATTGTTAACAACAAATGCGTGCTGTGTACTGTTTTTTTCCCATTCTGATTTCAGATAAGTATTCCAATTTAAAGATATATTTCCATATCATTAAATGAATTTCATTATCCCCATTACCTGACAGTGAACAACGCAGACAACACCGACCCTGTGGTTAGCAACTGCCCAGAATCAATCTTCTTGACCGTTGGCGCCGGCGTGACCGGCGTTCCTGTGGTCTGGACCGAACCAACTGCTGTAGATGAGACCAGTGCTGTCACTGTCTCCCAGAGTGCATCACCAGGAAACAACTTCAACATCGGACCGACCGTTGTCAGCTACACTTTCACGGATGCAGCTGGAAACGATGCCTTCTGTATCTTCACAGTGACCATCACAGGTAGGTCCACTGACGGGACGGGGAGGAGCATTTAACTCTCATATCCATGCATAGTTTGCCCCTTTGTATACTCTTTCATCAACATTTTCTACCAACTTTTTGAAATTGCTATCCTGGTTAATTCACAACGTGGTCGGAGCAGCTGTTCGTTATGTCATGCAATCGATTATCCATAACTTGAATCGTCTTATTAAGAGTCGCTCATCGCGTCTTACCTTATTCTTGAACTTCTATCATAATCTGTAGAACTCTATACCTGATTGATTCTACAGTCAAAATTATTTGAGATCCTTCTGTATTGATTAAGCTACAAGTCTTGATGAATATGCCTATGGTATATCTAGATCTTGCAATCTATTTGTATACACTTACTCATATATATTCTATCACTCTTTTGGGTATTCACATACCTATTTATCTGCCTATTACCTTTCATCATTTATATCTCTTTAATCCATCGATCCTGTCCATCATACATTATATCGCTTCGGCTTATTCAAAACAGCCGCTTCAGATAACACCCCGCCGATGATAAGCGGGTGTCCAGGGGACATCATTGCCACGGCTGGCATCTCCTCCAACACTGTGGTCACTTGGGAAGAGCCCATTGCATTTGATGACTCTGGCTCAGTAAGCGTCACAAGGAACCTGGCCCCCGGATCATCTTTTCCCGTTGGCACAACAGAAGTTATTTACACCTTCACAGATGAATCGGGCAACACAAACTTCTGTGCTTTTGATGTCACTGTTATTGGTAATTCTTGGTTATTACAGCACCGCACTTGTCTGCACTTTTTTCGAAAGTTGCTTTAAAAGATCGATCAGTGTGATCAGGAATAGAATGGATAAAGATTTAATTAGATCTGTGCACGATTTCAATTAGGTATTTTGAACCAAATATGTGTTGGCAACACCCTATTTCTGATCTTGTTTCCAATTATTTCCTTTCCACTTCTCACTTTACACTTTACTTTCTCAGTGTACTTTGTTTCCTTTACACCTGTCATCTCACAGCTGCCACTGATAACATTAGATTGTTTATCAGTAATTGTCCAAATGCCATAAGTGTCACTATCCCATTGGGATCCATCGGAGTCGCTATTACATGGACTGAGCCAACAGCCACAAATAGTTTTGGCTCGGTTGCAACCAAATATGCTAGTTCTCCTGGAGATATCTTCAATGTCGGCACAACTTTAGTCATAGATATACTTTCACTGATGATTCAGGGAGCTTTGAAGTGTACCTATTCACTGTCGTTGTGGACGGCTGTGTTCTGCGTTCTGCTCACCCAGTGCACAAACATAGAATGCACCTTCCTGTATTCTTGAATTTTCATTCACTTTGATCATTGTTATTCAGATGTTATTGTTTAATCTTACCAATGTTATGGAACTGTTGGTGAGAATGGAGTTTCTGCGAACATGTGAGGATCGTGTTTATGTCCATTTATTGGCTTCCATTTCATTCTATGGATCAACCTGGTTTCTGTGAATTTCTGCTCGTATACAAAGTTTTTCTTGCATTGTTCAGTCATTTTCACTTTTTTTCATCTCGATTCCGCTTGATTCCATGGGTCTGATGATCTGACCTTTCGCTGGATCTCGATAATGGCCATATTGGCTATATTTATCATTTTTGAAAATTCCACTTGTCTCTAGAGGAGCTTACCAAAAAGCATTCTCATTTTTCATTGCATTTTGCAGAATATTTGAATTTTCTTCTGGTCTATATATTCAACGGCAATCACTGGTTTATAAAGGTTAATACTTGTCACTGAAGTCGATTGTTATTGTACTCTCTGGAGGACTCGTGGGAAACCTGACATTTGGTGAAGTGATACTTTTGGTATCAATGGTATACAAACTTCCATCTGTTTATCTGTATGCATCATTTACAGGTAAACAATATATCTGTACCAGTACGACCTGATCGATGTGTCTTCCCATTTCAGACTCGCTTTGCAATCCATTATCCCTACATCAGTTGGTATAACCGATCCTGTCATCATCGGGGGTCCCGTTGATATTAGAGTAGCTATCCAAAATGAAACTACCGGAGTCCCTGTCACATGGACTGAGCCCTCGACTACTGATCATTAAATGAATTTCATTATCCCCATTGCCTGACAGCGAACGTTGACAACACCGACCCTGTGGTTATCAACTGCCCAGGAAGCATCTCCTTGACCGTCGGTGCCGGCGTGACCAACGTTCCTGTGGTCTGGACCGAACCCACTGCTTTGGATGAGACCAGTGCTGTCACCGTCTCCCAGAATGCACAACCAGGAGACAACTTTAACCTTGGATCGACCGTCGTCAGCTACACGTTCACGGATGCAGCTGGAAACGATGCCCCCTGTACCTTCACTATTACCATTACAGGTGAGATCCGCTCTTGACAATAACCTGAGCAGTGCTTGAGAGGGTTAGCATACAAGTATACACTGTCTTGAGAGGTTCTGGTTTAAACTTTGGGCAAGAGGTGACTCTAATAGTATATACTATTAGAGTCACCGAGGCCCATATGTTTAACCAGTACCTCGAAAAAGGCAGGGTATATTTGTTTTATATCCTGCATCAACTATAAAAAAATTGTATGGAATTAAATAAAAAACATTAACAAATTAATCAAAAAATCAACAACAAGAAAACAAAAAAATTACCATTTAAAATTTGAAATTAAATAAGAAAAATTATCCACAAAAATAGTACTCCCAAATAGTATTTCTACTCCAACTTACTTTTTCAGAGCAACCTTAAAATGGTAGGAATTTTTCTGGTCACGTAAAGAGCTTTCAATCAATAAAAAACCAATAAATTTTGTTCATGCTATGGACGGCTGTTTCCATTCCAGAATATCAATGACGCACTATCTCTTTGGACCAAGAACATCTTATGTGGAAAATTACTGCACATCATTCATTGTATTAAATATTCTTTAGTTATATTCATAGATTAATCGTCAGTACTAACTAGAAATGATAGCGAGCATTAGTTCACTTCGCAATTCGAGAAGCTACCCCTTTTTATTAACCTTTTTATTGTGACACGCATATTCCTGGAGTATGACATAATTGTAAACTGTAATGTAACATTTTGTTTCCCTGTGTTTCAGCCCAATCAGCTGGAGATAACACAGCACCCGTGATCAGTGACTGTCCTAATGACATCATCTTGAATGTCCCTGTCGGCGTCACCAGCGTTCCCTTGACCTGGAATGAGCCGACTGCTATTGATGAAACCAGCGCGGTGACGGTCACTCGTACTGCAGCTCCTGGAACATCGTTCACTGCTGGAACCTCAACGGATGTTATTTACACCTTTACCGACGCTTCTGGCAATTTTGATGACTGCATCTTCACTGTCACACTGTTTGGTAAGGTTTGGTTTTGTGAGTCAGGTATGGGTGTTGGCACAGGTTGGAGGTTTTAACTGTTGACAAATCATGAACCCTATTCCTGGAATGTAATATACTGTCATGTTGGAAACATGAATAAATTTGAAATTTAAATTTAAATTTAATTTAACATGTATCAGGCAAGGAGAAAGATAAACACAGGCTTCAGTTTCCTGCAGTTCGTATCAGGACTGCATGACTAGACTATGTATCGATTTTTTTTTCTTCAAATACTTAGAGATTCTGACAAATATTGAAAAGAACCTGTATGACCCTTCTATCCCTTACAGCTTCCAACAGTGACCTCACTCCTCCTGTCATCAGTGGATGCCCCTCGGACATCACAGCCTTTGTGACTCCAGGAGTCGCCAGCACTGCCGTGTCCTGGACCGCACCCACGGCTGTTGATGCGGTGTCTACTGTGTCCTTTACCACAACAAATGCCCCAGGAAGCCAGTTCAACCTTGGAAGTACCCAGGTTATGTACACCTTCACAGATGTAGCAGGAAACGATGCATTCTGTATCTTCAATGTTAACGTTGGTAAGACCACTTTGACCAATATCATATTCAGAGTTTTCTTTAAATCTCTTAAATAAATGTTTGAATTTGATAACACAGGTCCTGAACGAGTTCCAAATGAAGGAAAATGCCACTACTAGCCGCAAATCTCTACCAGATTGAAAGGGCTATCTAAAACCATCAAAATGACATTCTTCTTATTTGTTTTATGCTCTGCTCTTTTGCTCATTCTTTATATTGGAGTGTGATTTTTTTTTCCTATTACAATTTTTAATTAATCTTTTGGAAAAAAATATTGCCTATTCTAAAGTGGTCACTATCTTATCTGTCTTCTACTTCTCTCCGTATATAGCACCGTGAATATCCAGTTGTATGAGCGATGCAATAATTCCTATGTATACATCACCATTTGCCTATATAACATAACATGAATACACAATCGTAACTATTGTCCATCATAAATTATGAATGTTCTTTTCTGCTAGCATCTGATAATACTCTGCCCACGATTGCTGGCTGTCCGAGTGATATTGTTCAGACCATTGCCGAGGGCACGTCCAGCGTGCAGGTCACGTGGACCGAGCCGACTGCAAGTGATGCCGCAGGGGGGCTGGTGATGGAAGAGTCAACAGCCTCACCAGGAGCCGTCTTCTCTATCGGGGTCACCCCCGTTACATATACCTTCACTGATAGTTCAGGCAATTTTGCACAGTGCACATTTAATGTCGTTGTTTGTGAGTATGATTCGAATAAACCCCTTTTCACTTTTTTCATTCCAAAAGAACCTGAACAACAATGTCAACATGGCTACGAATATATATGGTGGTCTAATGCTAACTAATAATAATAATAATAATATTTAGTTTTTATATAGCGCTTAATACAAATGTCTCTAAGCGCTTTACAAAACGTGATAAATACGAGAGAATTCTCAAAAGGAACTTGTGTATAATAGAAACCGTACATAATACATTGAAAGTGAACACTGATATTATGCCTTTCATCGTAACATAATTTACCAAAATAAATCACATTTATCTACCTATTATTGCTTAGTCCTCCAGACATCGAATTAAAAAAGTCACAGTTGTGCATACCGCACCCCAAGACCCCGCTATACCACCTGTCACGTGCGCACCACACACCCATGCAACTTCCTCTCTCTTTTCCGCAGTCAATCGATAAGGAGTACAGATAAGTCACTCGCGCAAAATTTGGAGTTTTTGACTCCTAGCAGCGTTTTGGGTGCCTATCTTTCTGTAATTTCCATTTCCATTTTGTCTTTATACAATTTGATAAAATGGTGTATTCAATAGATCCCTTATTATTTATATAGTATTTATAGAGTATAATCATAATTGAACATTATTTAGAAAACCTAATTCTAAATCACACCCATTATGCATGTCACATGTTTCATGACGAAGGATAGTATACACGTCATAAAATAGTGTAAATGTTATCTAAGGTAGATGATAAAGTAGCCTAAACCTTTAACAAAAATCAGGAGTTCTGAATTTCATGTCAATGAAATTCAAAATTCAATCTCCATACATGGTTTCCTCATCCATGTTTCTTAAACCGTTATTTTGTGGTCTTTATCTTTTCCTCCTTTTTTCCACCTTTTTTCCACCTTTTTTCCACCTTTTTTCTACCACTAGGTATTGTACAGCCTCAGTTAATAACTACATGCCTTCATAATTCTAAGAATTTTGTTTTTACTTTAGTTTCTCTAACATAGTTTGCGCATTCTATTTTGTCCTTTGCTCACTTTCTATTTTAGGAACTGTCTCAATTTCCTTCGTAATTTGTTATTTTCCTTAATATATAAAATTTATATTCCATTTTTGTCCATTAACACATTGTATTGCATGTTTTTATTGCTGATCGCTACCATCATCTTTTTGGTCAAACTGGTATCTCTATATGTTGGTGTTTTTTTTTAACCTAGCCTCATTTCATTTGCAGTTATCATGGAGACCGTCTCACCACCATGGAAGAAAGATAGATTAACAACAATAGAAGACAACATCCATTTGTAGTTACCAGGAATGCAGGGATGACAGATCATAGACAGAAATCATCTAGACAACAGCAAACATGCACATTCAGCAACATTATCGTCATCATCATAGTGCAGTTTAATGGCATGAATACTTCAAAGTAGATTTTTGTTTGGGATCTAAGACACTATTGACCAATTAGAGAAAGTGAATAAGACAACCTCTGATTGAACTGAGCAACATAAACATCTCAGTCGAAGATTCTTAAGGAAATCGAAGTTGCGAAGATGATTTACTTAAAAGTCTTCAGTAGATGTTTGGCATGCTTTGGTTCCATTTCTTTGATCAAAGAGTGGCTTATGCAAGACGTACGGCCATATTATGTGCCACGTAAAGATTGCCAAGTGTTTTGGTGATGACATTCGGTCAAGAGGACAAAGAATTAATCCTTTCCTTCTCTTTCCCCATGTCCAGCAACCAGCAACACTGACAACACTGTTCCTGTCATCTCTGACTGCCCACTCGACCTCTCCATCTCCGACATTGGGCTCGATGGGTCACAGGTCGCCACTTGGGTGGAACCCACCGCCACTGATAACTCCGCCGTGACTGTGACCAGGACCAACGCACCTGGGAACAGCTTCCCTCTGGGCACCACTACAGTGACCTACACGTTCACCGATACCAGCAACAACTTCGCCATCTGCGAGTTCGATGTGGTCGTTACAGGTTTGTAAACTCTGCGGGGTTTCCTGATTGGACCCGTGTAAACTCTGTTCGCAGTCATTCTGTCATACCGCACACCTGTTCTGTTCTAAATATAACTTGCCCAATCCGTGTGTAATGATGCGTGAGCTTGTATTTAGTTTTGTAGAAATTCAAGTAGATGCCATGATGTCAAAATTGGAAACTGTACATGTGACTGCAAGTGCAGATTGACTTTATATTTCTTTAAAGCGTTATCAATCATTATAGGTCCCATTTGCATGAACATTGTGTATGTGACTCAAGAATAGTTTTCCTGTCACAGCGCTATGTTGCATGTGAGTTCATGTGTATTGTCTTTAAGGGTCCATGTCAACCATAATGATGTGTTACATGCATGGCCATTACAAACTTTTGTATTACACTACAGCTTACATAGCTGAGGAGTTAACCTATACATTGAAATCTGTTTAAGGGTTAGGCAATTCCGGCCCATTTGCAAGCTAAATTGATTAAACAGAGGAAAATCTATAGCAAACAGTGAAAGTGTTATCAAAAACGTATGGCAAATAAGAAAGTTATGGAATTTTAAAGTTTTAAATTTTAATTTTAAAGTTGGTATAATTTCATGAAACAGTGATAATTATGTTTTACATAGGCTGTTTACATAAATTTGACAAAACAATATTATTTTTCTGCTCTGGAAAAAACATGGCTGGAATCTTCATGGAATACATGCATGAGCAAAATCACTTTTACGGTAATTTATTGTAATACGGTAAAAGAAAAATATCATACAGGTGGGTCTCCCCCCAAAAAACTAATTTTTTTTAAACAAAATATATGGGGAATTGTGAGGGGATGACATCAATTTGCTAATTTGCATACAGCCAATGTAATGCATGAAATTATGCAAAACTTTGAAATTCAATAACTTTCCTCTTTTTTTGGGGGGGGGGCCGATTTCGATAAAATTGTCACTGGTTTGTTTGTTTATTTTTTTCTCCAATTTAGTCACTTCAATTTGCAAATGGGTCGGACTTGCCCTTTAACCTTTTAAGATAAAAGATTGATCGTTGTCTTTGTTCTATGTTCATATTATTTTGTTTTAATCCTGTCAATTGATTAGTTTTGTGTGTTATACATTGTAGTTGAGACTAAAGACAAGAAGTCTCGATTGTTTTTGATACTGCGCATGTTTATGTTTGTAATTTTCCATCATAAACTCACTCTTATTTTCGACTCTTTAACATCTACTCAATGCATATTTTGCATTACTGTACTATCAGCTAGCTCCACTTACCTACTTCTATGAAATAAACAACACTACTAATCTTTTAAAATTGGATTTATATGCTTCATTTGGGTATTATAGTGGCTTTACAAATCTGCTGCTCACTTTTAAAAGTCTTCAAACTCGATAGGAAATAGTATTGTATATGGCACATGTCTAATTATTGGAATACGTTTAAAGCAGTTTGTATCCACCCACTTTCTCCTGCAATATTTTTGCCACATTAATTCTTCATTTTCTTCCGTACCCCCATTTCAGCGAGCACACCATGTGACAGCAACCCTTGTCCCGCGGACGAACAATGCTTCTACAGTGCTGACACGTACCTCTGCTTACCACAAGGTGCGCTTTTTATACGAAACACAAACAAAAATAAAAAAATAAAGAGTCCAAAATGACCTTGATGATGGGTTTGTACTTTAATAGTTTGAAATGCAGTTTGTATTGCACTTTGCTTGAATGTAGGTGCAGTGTGTCTTGATTTGTTCATCGGCTCATCTTTGATTGAAACAAATTAAGCTTTAAATTCATTTACTTGAACTTTGTCTAAGTACCATCCTATTTGATGATAATAAATTGAACAGTTTTGTTCAGGGTCCTTGGCCATATAAATACAAAATCATTCAAAACATTAAATGTGTAAACCAGGAAATGAAATTTGTTGGGGGAAGATGTTCAAAACAATTTCATCTCTATACCTCAATTTAATCATGAACCAGCTAAATGACATTTGGATATACATTGCACACTACATGGTCTTGTGAAAACAGTTATGTGTTTATTGCTTCAGAATTTTTTTTTAAATGAGAGTAAATCGGTTTTCTGCCGATTCAATTCGTTTGATGTGTTGTGTAAAATCTGTTTTTTATCTCGCTTTGTCTTGGTCTCTCTCTCTCTCTCTCTTTTTCTCTCTTTCTAATTTTATTTTCCTTGTATTTTTTCTATACTATAGCTTTCCATTCTCTTATCCATCTTAGCCTCTTATAAAGAAGTTTATATCTTTGGAACTAAACCACATTAGGTTGTGAAAAAGTATCTTGTAGGGTCAAACACATTCCCTAGGAATTGAAATGATTTATTTGCCCCTTTTATTAGTGCCCAATGAACACTTAAGTTAAATGAATCTGAAGCATGCAACACTGGTACTGTTTTTATGGTTTAAAAAAGGTAAGAAAAAGAAGTACATGACCTATTCGAGCAATCTGCAATACTTACTGCACTAAAAATTACAAAGATCCATCATATTTTGCTTCTGCAGTTCATGCACCCAAAAAGTAATTCAGACTCTGGTCTGTTTGTACTTGTAATTTATGGTATGAAAGAAGTTTCAGTTTGTATTTTTAATGGTTGTCCTTTTTTTAAAGCTGAGATTAAAAGATAACTCTTTTCTGACAGATATAGCCCCATAGCGGGGGAAGTACGATGCAGATCGGGGAAGGGTAATTCATTAGTTAACCCTTAGTAGCCATTTCACCCCATGCAAATGTTTGCGTCAGGCCTACTTAGATTCTTTGAATTTTTAACATGTATATGCATCGCCAAACACAGTCATACACATCATTATTTAGGGAATGCATAATACTAAGCACAACAAAGCTAGTTGCCTTAGGTCTCTCTTTCCTAGCTTTTTATGCAATCCCATAATGAAAGCCTATCCACCATCCATGTCTTTATGATCTCCTTGTGTTCTAGCTTTGTTGGTCCATTCTTTCTTTCACTATGAGTTTTTCTTTTGCTTTTTCACCTGTCCCTGCATGCACTTTCATCTTGTGTTAACTGTTCCTAATAAATGCCATGATAGATTCGAAGAATGCATTTCCATTATTTTTCTTGAGATACCAACTTGCAATATGTTTATTTGTAAAGCGTAGTAGAAAGTTTTAGCTAGATTGAGTCGTATTCTTTCATCCATAAATATGTACAGTAATATAATGTTAGAAGCATTTATCACTTTGGCAATATTACAAAATAAGATGAGTATTTGGAAATTTTCATTTATTAAACCCTGAACTTTTAGTAAAAATACTTAAACGTCTGATTCCAAATTAGGTAAGATCGCACAGTAAATGATATAATATTACCATGTACTTTCCAGAAGTACAAGAGTGCTATGGTTAGGAAAACAGAAATTAATTTTCAAATTGTTTTTCTTATTGTATTTGTTTTCTAGTTGCTGGAAGGAGGCGAAGGGGAGCTGACGGTATTTCTATGGCTGGTATGTATTGATATAGTTAGAAAACCTTTTAATGGTGGATGACTATGATCCAGAAGAAGAACGCAACAAGAGAGAAAGTGAATTTATTGTTTTAATATCAAGCTTGGAAAATTAATATGAACCTATGTAAATGTCATTTGAAGAATATTCCATGCTGTATCGGAATACTGAGCAATTTTTAAAATGATAAAAAATAACCATATTATTGTTAGCCTGTTATGTTGATTATAACGAGACTTCTTCAGGCTTTTTTGTTTTTGCTTCACTGATTCCTCGGCATGTGAATGATACCTTTCTCACGTAATGAATGGAGATATATCTTTGTAATATGCAAAATATGGAGGTGTAACTGTCTAGTGGATATATCGCCAGACTGTGGGTTTTATGGTTCGCGGTTCAGGTCCTGTCGTGGCACTTTTATGTCCTTTGGCAAGACATTAATCTACGTGGCCATATGTACTTGACCCAGGTGATGTAATACCTGGCTGTAAGCAATTTCTGGAAATGCTAGAGCGCCTTAATGGCAGCCATTCTAAAACCGTGTAATACTTCTGGGGGCCAGGAGTGTCTGAAAGAAATGATTGCTGTTCAAGAACCCACTTTTATGATGATTATTGTCGATTATTATGACATATCATTATCATAAATATATTTACACCTTCTTTGTTTACAGAAGACTGTCCTTGTCTGAACGATGGCCTGTGCGAGAAGGATCACAATGATAACAACAGATGCATCTGCAAACCAGGCTTCTTCGGACCACTCTGCGAAAATGGTGAGTTCTGATGATTATAGTATATTATTGGTTGAATCGAAAAGAACTTATTCAAAGTAATAGGCGATGATTCGAACTCAAACTCAGATCCCCAAATTCTATTTCATTGAAAGGTCAACACTGGATTGGTTTAAAGTTTGTTCAAAGTTTTGTCTTTCAAAAAGGTAAACAATGAGGTGATTTAAGGTATCTGTGTGTGCTTTCTATGGAGTTCAGATCAGTGTGTGGAAACTCATGTATTACATAAAATAAGGCCTAAGAATGTTTGAATAAGATTTATTGAAAGGTATGAGATTTACATTTGTATTATTGCCCGGACAAATCTACTTGCTTCAGATCCTTGTTATTTCCATTACCCCTCAAAAAAAAAACAGTAGGCGGCTATAGAAAATGATTTGAGTATTAAAATGATAACACTATTCTGAAGCTCAAAACCTCATGCCCGTTTCTGCTATACAATGTTTTACAGAAATTATGGTCCTCGACCCGTGCCAGCCCAACCCCTGTGGTAGTAATGGAACATGCCGACATACCCCTCGAGGAAGCACCCTCTCCTTTATCTGTGACTGTGCACCCGAATACAGCGGCCGATACTGTGAAAAGAGTAAGCATCTTGTCATAGTCCTAAAAATTCCATTGTGTTGCACACTCGAATGTAAATACAGTGAGGAGCAGTGATACTGTTGATTAAAGATTCAAGATATCTTTTTAAACCGTTACCATAAAAATATAAAATCAATAATATAAAGTACAGTATGGAATATGGAAAGGACCAAAAGAAAAGCAAGACAGTACACACTTGACTGTTTAACACTAATAGGCCGGGGGGGGGCATTATGGCCCCCCCCCCCCCCCCCTCCACGAATTTTCCGATTGCTCGGAACGCATATGGATGGCGCCCCGCCGCTCGCTGACTTTTTTCTTTCGAGTCTTGCGCAACTTTTACAAAACATATGGAAAAGTCATCTGTCCTAAAAACAGATCAAACATGGGTTATTGGGTCTTGTTTCAAGTTTAGGTGGTTGTTTAGGAGTCTAAATAGTTGAATTGTAGTAAGAAATAAAATAAAACAAAAAAAACAATGAAATACATAAGAAATTATCAAAACAAGGGATAACATAAGGAATAAGCTGGCTCTTCCAAATTTTTTGTTGTATTATTATTCAGAATGGTCTAATGAATATATGTAGTGAAAAAGAATGCTTAAATATGAATAATATATGATTTATGGGTAAAAATGTGATTTTTATGACTTTATTTGCATAAATTACCATAAATATGCAAATGAGTGAATTTTTCAAAAAATTGAAATTATCATATTATTCTATACACTTCACTTGACATGCGTGCAAATTTTCGCGTCGATCGGCCGCTTTGCGGTCGATATCTTAAGGGGGGCCATAATGCCCCCCCCCCCCCCAGCCGTACTAAGACCTCAAATAGCCGGCCTTTTTAGGGTTAACATTGAACATTTTGTACAAATTGGCACTGTTTTTCACAGGGTTATTAAAGCCTACATTGCTTTTTCACCAAGTTGCTGTTAAATTAAATTGCAATTCATTTATAACTCTACATAAATACGCTCGTATCTCCATTATATCAAATCATTTGTATATATTCACACATCTAAGTCTTAAGAGTGGAAAGTTTAATGAGACGACATTTGACACGTGATGTCACAGCATGCAATTTAAATAACTAAGATGACCGTGTATCTTTTTCATAACTGACCTTCTCGCTCTGTTTGACATTGTATTCGTACTCATTGTCATTGCAGTGGTTATGAATTCCTTCACCGATGAGCAGACGACCAAGGAGCTACAGCAGATCATCAAGAACCAGACCTGGATGTCTTGGGCTTTCCTCACCGGGTGCTTCATCCTCGTCATCACCATCCTCCTCCTCCTTGTTGGCCTCGCCTGCATCGTCCCTCGCTACAGGTCGTCGATACGTACTGGCAAGCCGGCACTGGATGAGATAACCCTAGTCCAGTAATTAGTCGGAGAATAATGGCAGATTGGGATAAAACTGCCATAGAGTGTGGTCATTGACTTGCAAATGTCCAACCTGGATAAGACTTGCTCTATTCTGCGGCAATCGGAGTCGATATATACTTTATTTTATGTTATTCCCATCCTGTTAAAGATATATATGTATACTTATATATTCTTTAAATGTTTTTGTTTTATATATTTAGATAGCAATGCAAGTATATTGCATTGATTCCTTTGTAGAATAAGCAGTATGGTAACTATTACATATTGACAGATGCCGTGTGGGACAGAATTTCTTTTAATGTCTCCAGCACCAACGTATACAATACATTTTGTTCAAACTGTTGCTGGTGTATATAAAGGTTATTATTTGATAGACATCATTTTTACAATGAAATCTGAAATGTTTCTATTTGTTTTTCTCACAGACACTTTTATAATCATACTGCTTTAGAATAGCAGGCCATGTCTTGTAATGTCGAGTGAAATGAAAGGCAATAGGTAAAGATGTCGTTTTACTGCATAGCACATATTTATGAACTTGTTAGCTTCTGGTTATAAACGCAGCTTCTTAGTTTGTGAATATTTTCTGTATCTTTTATTTTTGAATAATTCTCGTTCTCTGCGTATCTAATTATTTCTGAGCATCTTACAAAAGAGTGATTTAAAAAAATATAATGATTCATAGAATCAAATTCTTAACTTTTACTTAAAGTTTTGTTATCACATTTGCAAAGTTTTTTCTTGCATGATGTGTTTGTAATTTTTCTACGGCACAGTGATTCATCCTGACAATAATAAAATGAATTTGAATGAACCATAATAAACTTGCATGTCATGTTTTGCCTGCGTAGCCTACATGTAGTTAATGCAGTCACAAAGGCTTTATCTTTTATATGATATTTTGAACAACCAAAGAGAACAGAGCACCATGAGGACTGTTTTTGTTGTATTACCATGAGCAAGAAAGGAAGATAAAGAGGCAGAAAGAGGACAGGAAAAAAAGACAAAGGGAGAAGAGGGAGAGGGAGAAATAGTATAGATGTGAGAGAAATGAGAGTATTTCTTTGTAAAGTTGAAGAAAACCTATGACCAATGAAAGGAAGAATAAGTGAGTGTTCAATGGTTTGATTAAATATCAAAGGTGGGTGCGAATTACGTTAAAGTCTGCGTGAGTGTGTGTGTGTGTGTGTGTGTGAGAGAGAGAGTGTGTGTGGTGTGTGTGTGTGTGACTGCTTCTGCAAAAAGCTTATGCAATGCATTTCATTGAATACATTCAACTCATTCTCTCACTCCGCTAATCCCAACATAATACATACTGTGGGCATCACTTTGGCGCAAGTCGTTGTTTGCACTCTCGCAAACAATGCCTCCTGTTCACACAAGCGTGAATACATACCACACAAAAATGATACAAAATGATTTGGGATAAATCGCTCTTTCATTCCATTCTCATAAGTGCCTTTTTTAATCTCTAGTAAGTTCCCCTTTTTAGGTACGTGAAGCGGCCCTTTTCACTTTTGATAAGCAACCCCTTCATCTCTGTTAATTGCCCTATTCACATTTGAGAGGTTCCCCTTTTGCTTTGACAAGTTCCCCTTTCCCTTTGAAAAAGTGCCCCTTCCCCTTTTACTAACCCTTTTTAACTCAAATAAGCGCACCTTATATTTTCACATGTGCCCCCGTTCCTTTTTTAAAAGTGCCCCTTTTCCTTATAAGTGCCCCATTTAAAAAAGAGCTCCTTTCCCTTTTCATAAGTGCCCCTTCTCATCTCTTGTAAATGACCCTATTCAATTCTGAGAGATACTCGTTTTACTTTGACAAGTGCCCCTTCCCCTCCTGATAAGTGCTCTTTGAATCTCTTATAAATCGTATAATTATCCACGAGGGTAACTGTCCTCTTCGGGGGTAATTGTCCAAAGGGGGTAATTGTCCTCTGGGCGGGAGGGGGGGGGGGGATAAATGTCCTCGGGGGGGGGGGGGTAATTGTCCTCGAGGGGTAACTTTTGGGGATAATTTTCCGGGGGTGATTGCCAAGGGGGTAATTGTCCTAGAACTCTTGTAAATGCCCCTTTTATTTTGACACGTCCCCCTTTTCCCTTCCTAAAAATGTTCTTTTTCCTTCTTGTAAGTTCCCCTTCCCCTTCTCATAATTACCCCTTTTCATCTTTGTTAAATGCCTTGTTTATTTTAACATGTGCCTCTTTTTTTTTAAAAAAGCCACCTCCCCCTTTTTATACTAGCCCCCTTTCACTGCCGATAAATTCCCTTATTAAAATCTGATCGGTGCCCCTTTTCTTTCAACAAATGCCCATTTTTCTTTATCATTGGTGCCCCTTTTTCATTCTCATAAGTGCCTCTTTTCATGTATGGTCAGTGCCCCTTTTCAGATGCGATAAGTGCCACTTTTCACCTCTGATAATTATCAATTTAACAATGATATATACCCCTTTTCCCTTCCTAATAAGGAACCTATTCCCTTTTCATAAATACCCCCTTTCACTTCTTATAAATGCCCCTATCAAAATCTGACGGGTGCCTCTTTTCCGTCGACAAATGCCCATTTCCTATTCTCATAAAAATCTCTTTTCATCCCTGGTGCGTGCCCCTTTTTTTAGGTATAAGAAGTGCCCCATTTTCACCTCTGATAATTAGCCCCTGTATTTTGACACGTGCTCCTTCTCTTTTCTAATACGTGTCTTAAACCTTTTGATTAGTGTTCCCTTTTCCTCTCATCATTAAACGTGCCCCTAATTTCAAGCGACTAAGAGCAATTTCCCCAAAAGCTCGCTCGCTACGCTCGCCCGTAGTTATAGCTGATATAAGTATGTAACTTATCAAAGGTCTTTCAAGTCTTCCGTTATGAGAATGTGCTTATAACCCCATTAGGATTGGGTCTTTCCACTTTTTAAGATGTAATTTTTAAAGAATTTTTAAGAATGTAATTCTTAAAAGTTTTCCCCGATCGCTTTGCTCGCTCGCAAATGAATGTTCAGACCATCACACCCAACTGCAAAATTTGATGCTTAAGCAATATCTTATATGATGTATAAAGAGAAACAAATATTGAAATCATCCCTGATAATGTAATCACAATATAGGGGGATTTTTTTTTAGACATTGGTATATACCAATGTCTACAAAATTGTATATTTTTGCTTCGTCGAGATTTCCTTTTGAAGGTGCCCTTTTTTTTCTTCTTTCAGCAAGTGCCCTTTTTTGTTGGTGCCAACACCCCCCACTTTGGAAGTCGCTACGCCGCCTCTTGCAATAGACGAATGGTTTTTAAAAGATAAATGATTTGTAAGAAGAAGAATGATTTGTGAAAAAGGTAAACAGTTTACAAAATAAGAATGGTTGTTAAAAAAACGAAATGTTTGCGAATAGACAAATGATCTGCAAAAATTAAGAAGAATAAATCATTAAAAAAAAAGTTTGCAAAAAGACGAATACTTTGGAAAAGACATGATATTTTATTGAAATAGGAATGATTTTCTTAAATTTGAAATCATTTCGTTGATACCCAAATACGTTTTAAAAAGATGTATCGTATTCTAATGTATCAAGTTATTAAACTTCATTGAAGTACATCAATAATCTGTTTATAAACATATAATTTATATAATAATAATAATAATAATAATAATAATAATAATAAATCATTTAAATCAATCATGAGTTACCATATAATGTAACAAATCAAGTTTCTGTTTGAAAACAGAGATATCATATAAATCAATTTACAATGCAGTGTATCAAAACAGAAGGAAAATTATGTACAGCAGAAAAACTTCTTCTTCTTGTAATAACATGACACATAATTTTTAAAGTAAATAATATTATGTACCATAATACATCCGAAGATTTAGGTGTACTAAAACCTAATATAGCAATTTCTAAATAAATTATAACTCATGCTATACAAAACAGATAAATGAGGTACATGGAATGCAATAGATCCCTAGATAATCGTTTCGCCTAAAATAAATGACGTAATAGTACCTATACTAAAGTATAGTATAGCATACTGTAAAATTTAACCAAAAACATAAGATTGTAATTTTAGCCTTGTCTATATATATAAGTTGGTCGATTGTCGTTTAATACAAAAGAAATGTAGAGAAAATGATAGAATTGTATACTTATCTTTTATCAAATTGTAGTGTATCAAAACAGAAGGAAAATTATGTTCAACAGAAAAACTTTTTCTTCTTGTAAAAACATGACACATAATTTTTAAAGTAAATAATATAATGTACCATAATACATCCGAAGATTTAGTATAAAACCTAATATAGCAATTCCTAAATAAATTATAACTCATGCTATACAAAATAGATAAAATGAGGTACATGGAATGCAATAGATCCCTAGATAATCGTTTCGCCTAAATAAATGACGTAATAAATGACGTAATATCCCTGCTTAGACTGCAACTATGAACTGGCTTTATGTTTGATTTGTTTCCCTAAGCTTTGGCTTGCCATACTAACATTAAACACCATCATCACATTTGCACGCATTTGCATGCATGCACACTTTTAAAATCTATTTTCGCCAGCTGTTCTTATCTTGTGTCTGAATAAGCATACAAATATAGGTGAGTTACTTGAAGCCTTTAAAATGTCTATATTTGTGCAGTCACCCCTTTTGTATAAATTAATCTGATCTGCAGATCTGCCTTCTAAATTGTCATCCGTAGACTCTATAGACTAGATGTAGATCTAAGTGTCGTAGACTATTAACACATTGCCCCACCTGTTAAAGTTTGTGTTGGTTCTTACATTTCTGAGAACGAGTTCTTGTTTGCAACTGTTTTGTTTCTGTTATCACTTATATCAGAGACATTATTATATTATTTATATATTATTATGCACATAGACATTAGTGTGTAGAGCTTATGGCTATGCCTATGGTCTAGATTATGGTCTTATTATTAATCGACCATCACCAGTTTTCGGCCGATCCGTTGGATGCATGGTAAAATCACTTTAAAATACATCGCATAACAGCATATCACATATCCCACACATTCCATACCATGCCAGAGTCACTGAAGAACCACATTTGCAATGGAAAATATATCCTAAAATATCACATTTTAGCGATGTAATCGGCGGTCCCGCTGATTCTGTAAGAAATATGGGTTCCATTAAATGAGCTTTATTTCAAGTATTTTTCAGATTTAGAGCCCGATTTTGTGTTAGTCGCAAGCTCAAAAGTATCTCACCGCATATATCAATGCAGCCAGACACCGCAACGCACACACAATATCTCTGTCTAATTCAGATTCCAATTTCCAATCACCGCAGTACTAGTTTTCGGCCTGTCGAGCTCAGGGGAGCTCCGGCGTGGGATACCTGCTCCGCCCGCTAGTGCTATAGATCAGTGCGCGCGCTTCCTATTGACTTTGTACATGCGGCCGAAAACTGGTTCGCTATGCCGATAACTGCCTCCGAAACAGTGAAAATTGAAATGAATATTGTCATGGCAATTCGTGATTTTTTTCTAGGATTCTTTTTTTGTTTAAATAATATTAATAATATTTGCTTCATGATGTGAACAAGAAATGATAATAAATAGGAAGTAAAGGGTCCAAAAAATAGGATTTTGTCTTACAGTAAGTGGCCGAAAACCCCCTCCTTTAATCTAGTAGGGTGTCTGATCGCGCACCCGATGTTGTGTGCTAAAATCCTTCCCATAGAGATTGCACGCATCCCTATGCAGTCTACGTGCATTGGGCGATCATGCAAAATTGGTCAATGATTTTATGAAAAAATTGAAATTGAAACCTTTATTAGGGTGTTTGAATGATTTTTCAATTTTCAATTTGGGATTGTTTTTCACCATTTTTGTTGGATATTTGAATAAAAAATAATAATACAGAATAATTCATCTCAAATTTCAAGACTCACCGATGTTTCTATCAAAAGATATAGCCCCTCAAAAACTCTGCAATATTGATAGCATTTTGGTCAGAATCGATGAAAAAGACGTACACGCAGAGTTACAGTGTATGTTGTTTTGCTAAATTTAGCCAAACAGCTGTATTGCGCAATTTGAGCACGTTGTCTACAAGGTGTGTCTACTTCTATTCCTGGTTTGAGCGCGTTTGGCAAGCTCTACCTCCATTGACTATAACGTGTTTGTTCGCCTCATACACATACGCGGTCCAAATGCATATGCATGTGCAGATTTTACGCGTTGTCACCATTCAGCTGTTGATACAGCTGTTTGGCTAATTTTAGCAAAACAACTTAACTCTGTTTGTACGTCTTTTTGACCAAAATGCTATAAATATTGCAGAGTTTTTGAGGGGCTGTATCTTTTGATAGAAACATCGGTGAGTCTTGAAATTTGAAACGATTATTCTGATTACATTTTTTATTCAAATATCCAATAAAAATGGTGAAAAAAGATCCCAAATTGAAAATTGAAAAATCGTTCAGACACCCTATGCTTAGTATTAAAACTACTTTTGACATTCAGAAATGCCTAATTAAGAGATTTGCAAGTAAGAGGATACCATAACTCATAAGTCATAATCGATGGAAAGAAGACCCTGAATTTTTCTCAAGTTAGGACAATAATTTATAAAATACAGATTTTATGACTCATAGTTTTGACATGTATAATATTTTTGTGATATGATTTGTATCAAGATTAGGATTGAGAATGGAAAATGTCTAGAGAAATACCATCACAAAATTGTTGTCATTCTAACGGGTCTGTAATTACAGACTATTTGATTTTCAGCGACTTTTCTATGGTAGACTGATTATGTACAAATGATATTTGTCTTATCTTCTTGTGAATGTATTTAAAACTTTATAGAACAGTTTCTATGTTTATATTATGATTTTATTATTAAACACCAATAAGCACTGATCAGTGAAATGAGAGCTTGAAGATCAAGAAATAAGTTTTAAAATGAAACTTCATTTTTTTTTCACTGCCCATAGATTGATTTAAATTTGCCTTGAGATGGTGTTCTAAATAGATACAGTATGACATGTTTGGAGTCGTGTCAAGGAATTGTCGTGGAAGTTGTCGTTCATCTCGGCAAAGACAGTTTTGTGAAACACTTAGTGGACAAGTTGAGCGACGGTCATGTCATGGTAATGACGGTTTCGAGAAATTACCCCCTGATCGTAACTATTTTGCTGTACTGTACCTTAATCCAAATTGTAAGCTCTCACAGTATCCACATGCAATGCTACGCCATGCTGATGACGCAAGTCAAAGCCTCAGTTTTCAGTATTATGGATGTGAAATAAATTGTGTGTAGCCACCAGTAATACAGAAAGTTTACTTCTAAATTCCACAAATTGAAATTAGTGTGATAGAGTTGCCACTATACTAACTATTATTCTTTTGGTTTTGTCTGTTTTACCCACCCTAGGATGAGCTCCAGGCTGAGTTATGCCAACAAAGTGATCCTTGCTCCCATGGTGAGGATCGGCACCCTCCCTACGAGACTACTTGCGTTAGAGTATGGTGCAGACATTGTGTATTGCCAGGTACGTCTAGGTTGTTATCAGTAGACTGTTTGTATCACTCGTAAGTCGTAAATATGGTAAACCTTCAAACTTGACAAGTTCAGATCAAAATTCAAAAGCAATGAGTGAGCTGAAATCAATCGCAACTCTCCAGCATTTTAAAAATCTATCCTTCCACTATAATTGCCCCTGTGTATAATGTTATGAAGAAATTTTCTATTGATACAACTGATACCATTACCCTACTTGGGATGTATTAGAGTACTATAAACCATTATGCTTCAGAACAGCCCCTGCTAGGCCCTAATGTCTGTGTTTTGTTGTGTCTTTATGTTGTAGTGTTTGTGCATTGTACTTTGTAGGGCCACTAGTAATAATTTTTACCATACCGGTATGTCCTTTACCTGTTTCTTCTGAAAAGAATGATTCTCTTTGAGCCATGTTGTTTATTGTAGAATTAATCAGATAAATAAAAATTACATGAGATTGTTTATCTTATCTCTTCTTTTTCCCTTTCCATCAACATGTGTAACTACATGTAGTATATAACTAGTATTACTAGTTATTTGATTGGATAATTTCTCATTAATTTGTTATTGTTACATTTTCTCTTTCAGGAGTTGATTGATTTCAAAATGCTCACTTGTAGGAGACACGTGAACCGTAAGTATCAATCTATCTGTATGTATTATGTAAATGGGGGATATATTTCAAAAATGTCTTTGAGATTTTCTTTTTCTAGAATGTCCAATGTTCAGATATTTCTCAACCTACGCATGTGTTACAACCTGTTCACAATAGTTTAATCTGAATCTCATAGCAGGGAATCAATACAGACTTTCAAAAGGTACATGTAGCAGGGCTTAAATTAATCCAAGGCCACCAAGGCTAAGGACGTGGATGCCCCTTTGATTGGCCTCAATGCCCCTCTCATTGGCCTTGGAAATTTTTTGTGCCCTTTCCAATTCTTCTTATTTGCGCTGTAATATAGGAATATGCCCTACAGAAAAGTGGCTTTGCCCTAAAAATATTGAAATTTAAGGCCTGATGTAGTACTGTGTTTAAAGGGAGAAAATCTACCTTCCCGGTCTCATTATTATATTTTAGCTGTATGGTTGTTTAAGGGTAATGAAGACCCTTGTCTAGTTGTCTGCATCAGAGAATATTCGCATAATTCTTATAAAGGCTTGCTCACATATGCTGCGATGAACCGCCAAGGTAACATGCCATATGTGACCAAGACTATCAACAACTTTATGTAAAAAGCAAACACCACAATGATAATATTAATAATGGTAATAATAATGATAGATATAGATATAATAATAATAATAATGATAATAATGATAATAATGATAATATTGATAATGACAACGATAATGATTATGATATGAGACATTTGTGTAGAACCGTTTCTGCGAGCACATGCAAAGCACTTAATGAAAGAGAGCCTTCTGACTGTGGCAGCAACTACAGACTGCTCTATTTCAGTATTACTATATTGCTATTTGGGTCCCATTGTTGATATTTAACCTAGGTGTCCTTGACACGGTGGATTACATCTCTAAGGATGATGTGGTAATCTTCCGTACATGTTCCAAAGAAACCGATCGGCTCGTCTTTCAGATGGGAACAGCCGACGCTCAGCGAGCACTCCGTGTGGCTAAGATGGTGTGAGTACAAGATAAAGCAGACACTAAATTGACTTTGTAAGGACGTCCTACATGTATCAACGCTTTTGTGAATTTACTGTTGCATTTTGTGTCGCCATATAGTTAACCATCTATTTGTTTTCATTACACACGATTATTTGGATGAGGTTGTTATCCATAGAGGTCTGTATTCTACCAATATTTAAAACTGCCATTGAATTTAAACTCTCTCTAAAACTGATTTTAACAAAAGGAAGGTACACAGAGGTTTAAATTTTCCCTTTGTTTAACATGACTTAGATCTCATGTCAGGTTTAACTGAAAATGCTATTTTTTGTAATATAATCAAATTTAATGCACAAACCTTTCAATATATTGCATTCAACTGTCACAAATTATTGTGTTTCAATAGTCAGAATGCAAGTTGCATACACACTGTACATTCCATGTTGTTAGGTAGGACAAGCCATGAGCTTTATCCCACCTAGCAACAATTAATGTAAACAATGCAGTTCACATTCTGACTATTGAAATACAATTTTTTGAACAGGTGAATGAAATTATGTGTAACATGGCACTTAACAAAGATAAATATATATGCAATAACCTTGATTACAATTAAAAAATGGTCTATTAGTAGAATACGGATAATCCTTGTAGTAGACCTAATGTTGTTCTTTTTTTGTAGAATATTGTCCTTTGTACACAAAATGTACATCCTTGTCTTGGTAAGAGTACTTTGCTTTTTAATTTCTGTTGGTTCCAGTTATAAATAACCTTGGGTAGTCGGTACAGAAGGAGCTAAGTGGGTTCCTGGAGGTACCTAGCTTAGTTAAATACAGTAGCATGTAAACACATGTCCGGAACACAAACTACCTACTGGTATTTGTTGAATACTTTCTATTTTGATGGAACCAAATATTTATAACATGGGACCGTATTTAAAAACTCTACTACAGTCAAACCTGCTTTAGCGAACACAGGTCTGCATAGAAAGACCATCTGTCTATAAAGACCATATTTTTTGTTTCCCTTGAATATGGTTTCTCATTGCAACCTGTACACAAAGACTACCTGCCTATAGAGACCACTTTTCAAGTTTCCCTCGAGCGGTCTTTATATACAATTTTCACTGTACCTTGATAAGACTTGATATTACAAAACTAAGTCATTTAGATATGTCATATGAATGCTACCAACTGTTATGCCTTTTCCGTTCCCGATGCATTTTTTTGTGCCACTACATTTCAATTTCAATGTCAACACTCTACATGACCGTGGATATATCTAGGGGTCAGTGACAAAAAGACGTAACTCCATTTTGGCCATTTTGAGAAAAAGTGGTTTATGACATGTCACTGAGCACTTGGGCCTAGGAGTTAAGTCTATGCTTCACTAGCCATTAATTTCAATGGGGTGTTGGGTTGAGTTAAGTCTTTGCGTTTCCTGGAAAGCCCACATTTTTCTGAACATTTTGATATCAAATACTCATTTTGGCAAAATATGGAGTTGCGTCTTTGTGTCACTGAACCCTGGATATATTAATATTTTTCAGTGAGAAAGATGTTTCAGGTATCGACATCAACATGGGCTGCCCAAAGGACTTTTCACTGAAAGGAGGCATGGGGGCTGCACTACTCCAGAAACCAGACACGATCAAAGAGGTAAGACTTCCATTACAGGTGTGCCGTGGTGCATGTCACAAGGCTCTGGAACTACACGTAAAGGTCAAGGTTCAAATGAACTAAGTACTTGTGTCATTTGACGATGTTAGAGTAGCTGGGTGATGTTAGCATGGAAATTACAGTCAAACCTGTTTACAGCGACCGCCCAAGGGAAACACAAAAAGTGGTCTTTGAAGACAGGTTCCTGTAGTACATGTTTCAATGAGAAACTATTTTCAAGGGAAACAAAAAATGCGCTTGTTGTAGACAGGTGGTCACTAAAGCAGGTTTGACTGTACATGTAAAATTAGTATTAAATATAGTATCATATCATCTCACATGGAATTGAATGGGGAATCAAAACATGTTTAGAAAATGAAAACGTCCATCGATGGATCACTTGTGTTGATACCCGTTTTGCGATGATTGACCTTGCAGGATTTCTCTTCTTGTAACCCCCCCCCCCCCCCCACACACACGATTGTTATTATCACCAAATGGATTATGTATTGATAAGAACCAAGATTGGTTATCACAGGTGATAAAAAAGTGTACCTACAATGTACACATACTTTCAATTGATTTTGAAGTTTTTGCCATTCTGATATTTTGTCGGAATTTATTTTGAGAGACGGTAGAATCACTAATACCGGTATTTTTAACAACATTCCTTTTTTGTATTCTCAAGATTCTCTTTCTTTTTTAACTCTTTTTCCAGATTTTGACAACATTAGTTCAAGGAGTCAAAATTCCAGTGACGTGCAAAATACGGATTCTCCCAAAGGTAGGCTTTAATACTTTGGACAAGCGGTATACTCAGTATCTATTATTTAAACATTTGACAAGAGTTACTAAAGCAAAGATAGAACAAAACTAATGCTTCACAGAGGCCAGGGGAGTTTCACAAAGACTAAGATCGACTTTAAGTTGGACTTAACTATGGCAGGCTGTTCATGCCATTGTTTTCTCTCACTATTATGATCTTTAGATGATATTTTTTCCTTCAATAATGAATTATCCGAAAATGTCAATTCGGTATATTTGTGACCATGATTTGTATGTCCCTTGAGAGACCAATGCCAGTAAATGGTGAGAGCAAACAGTGGCATGAACAGCCTGCCAAAGTCGATCTTATTCTTTGTGAAACATCCCCCAGGTCATATGAATTACTTGTTCATGTACATATTTCATTCATTTGCTTTTGGTTCTATGATTATAGAACAAATCTTTACCGTCATTTAGAATGGTGACTTTTTAAATATTTATGAGTGAATGTTGAACAAAATAACCTTTTGAATTGTGGGTTAATCAAAACTTCAGTCTATTGGAGATGATTCCTTTCTTGAACCAAGTTGGCTTAGCGAAAAGAAAATCAACTTGCAAAATTGATTACATGTGTCACTTTCATGTACCAGTCATACTGATGTCATTCATGAATGTGGAGGGACACTCGGATCATCACTTTAAAGGGATTGGGTAACTTTGTCTCAGATTCTGAAACAAAATCCTATTAGCTCATGCTGCAATGATAATTATAAACCTTTAGGTCAGTCAAGAACTCCATGACTTTTACAAGCCAATCGCCTGTCTGATTATCAAGATATTTATGATTGGAAATCTAAATTAAAAATTTGTTTTCCTAACAGTTTGTATAACATTACAGTCTATTGGGGAAAAATGAGTATGGTAAAGTGGTCACTCAAAAATTATTGCTTTATTGAGGCACTTCATCATTTCATGATTATTTTGAAGCGCAATTTTTTTAGGGCTTCAGTATTTCACCATATCACAGACACTGATAACACGTAGGGCCATGCATCTCAGATTTAACATTGTTAAACAATGCCTTTAATATCAAGGAGTGCATGCTAATGTTACAAGTGCACTACTGTTATTTTTAGTTGGAGGACACCATAGCCCTGGCCAAGATGATCGAGCAAACTGGTGTGGCTGCTCTAGCTGTCCATGGACGTCTGACTGAAGAGCGCCCTCGACATCCGGTTCATTGCGATGCGATCAAAGCGGTGGCAGATAGCATCAGCATTCCACTGATTACCAAGTAGGTTTAAAGCCCCACTGCACTACTTATAGCTAGTTGGGCCCTCTATATACATGTAGCAAGCAATGCCTATCAGTGACCATTGGTCCCCCATGATTTCCTTGTTGATTGTGAGCTGATTTGATGAGATAACCACCTGTCAGTGACCATGATGGGAGGTCTAATCCCTCCTGGCCAAACTTGTACAGAACGGCCTTTAATACAAATCATGTGAAACATGTTTTTGATGCAGTCACTACTGAAACTTCTCTTTCCCATAGGCTTTGTATGGCGACCATCCAGTTTATGTAGGCAGTGGATTAACAGTATGGAATGTTGAGTGCATTGTGAAAATATTTGTTTGTTCTCATGGTTTTGGAAAGATAGTCGGATATATCAGGCCTACAATGGACAGATTCTGTTCTGAAATCTTTGTTTTTGTTTCTTCATTTGGTTTGTTTCATAAAACAAAATTTCCAAATCCCCATAGGGTTAAAAATTGTGTGAATCATAATTACATATACATGTATACATGTAAATGGGGATGGTACACTGTGTACATGTAGTTCAGAATTTTGTCTATGCCAGGATTATGTTTGTTATAGGAGGTGTTTCGCCACTCCCTTTCCTTTGAAGTGTCAGTCAAATAAAACATTTTCAGGGATGGACATTGACTTTGCTTGTTGCAGATATGATGATCTTAAGACTACACCATGTACAAGTACGATAACACACCTTCCTCAAATTTAGATTCATTCAAACATGTATGTCACCATATCCTGCATGTTATCATTGCCAGTGGAGGTTCACAAGACATCATCAAGTCCTATGCAGACATAGAGAGATTCCGGGAGATGACGGGAGCCTCGTCAGTGATGATAGCCAGGGAAGCCCAGTGGAACCCATCCATCTTCAGAAAGGAAGGAAAACTACCAAACCATGATGTGGCCAAGAGATATATTCAATATGTAAGTATATTTAAGGTGGCCATAAGTTCTGGTGATGGATTAAACACAAATTTCTCATAGCATCTGAAAAAAAATTGCACAGAATGTTAAATAATTTGTTAGGGAGTGTCCACATTCAGAGCTGAGAAATATTAGGTTGAAAGACTGGGACATTAGGGACTTTTAGATTGAGTGGACGAGAACACGACGAACGCCGACTGGTCATGCGTGTCAACGTACTTAACTGCCCATGTTGACTACAATTCGAAATCTTTTAGATTGCACTCGACGATGTACATGCATGCAGGAAGTAACACTATGAACATCACAGACAAAGACAGAGGACAAAATATACAGTTCCTCATTCTACCCTCAACAAAAGAACATCCCTTCACTGCTATTATGTAAATATGTGTAGGACAGGTGAATATGCATGTGACACCTGTTCTACACATTTTTACATAATAGCAGGGAAGGGATGTTCCTTTTTCTACCTAGAGGAACTGTATATTTTATGCGCACGCGGCATACCAGTACCTTGAGCATGTATAGGCGCTATATAACTATCAATATGTATGTATGTATGTACTAGATTTAGGAAAATCAAGGTCGACGCATTCTCGAGACGACGTAACGCATGCGCAGTGCCTTAAAATGAAGTCACACGTTGCAGTCAAAGCTGTTGACGTGAAAATCTAAAAGTCCCTATTGGCTGATAATACTAGAACACATAGGCAATTTCATACAAATATTTTGCTTTGTGCCTATATTAAAGGGAATGTGTATCCCAAGTGTATGTGATTAGGGCTTGTTTATGTTAATGTGTTGACTACTGAAATCTCTCATTCGCATCTAGGCTACGATACAGGGGTCTAATGTATCCCATATCCAATGGGTTCAAGATTCTCTACATGATATCAACGTTACTCTTGTTTGTATTCAAAATATTCAATAATCAAGCTCCACAATATTTAGATACCTGTTTGAATTTATATACACCTGCCAGGGCATTTAGGTCAGCCAGTGATCCTTCCCGTCTCACATATTCAGTTACCTGCTCATTAGCCGGTGATAGGACATTTACTGTATTTGCTTCAAAATGTTGGAATGATCTACCACTTAGAATCAGGCAGTCTCCATCAGTTATTACCTTCAGAAAGGCCTTAAAAACACATCTTTTTTGGAGTTTGTAGTTCTAATTATATGTATTTATGTAATTTTTCATTCACCGTAACCGCTTTGGGCCTTATGGAAAAAGTGCGGTATAAGTAATAATAATAATAATAATAATAATGATCAGTGAGGCTTTGAGATACTTGTCGAGGTTCATCTGAATCAGTTTTCTTGAAAATATATTCACTCTCAATGTGTGAACATGTACAACACATTACCCATTTTCTGGACTGAGTCCAAACAGTAGCATTGAACCTGTCACCTTTCCTGTTTTCAGTCTGTGGACTATGATAATGTGTACACCAACATGAAGTACTGCATTCAACAGATCCTGAGAGATGAGGTGCAAACGGAACAAGGTCAGAAGATACAGCATTCAAAGTCTGTACCGGAGATATGGTAAGTCTGAGATTTTAATGCCTCCGTTAGGAAGTAGCCGGAGGCATTATTTTTTTCGTGTCTGTCCATCCGTACGCCCCGTTCTCGTGATTGCATTATCTCAAGAACCGATTGATGGGTTTCTGCCAAACTCGGGTCTCGTATGTATCTTGCTGACCTAATGAAGTAATTAGATTTTGGGGTCATGAGGTCAAGGGTCCCAGGACTCATTATGTATGCAGAAATAGCTTGTGATCGCATTATCATTAACTGATGGACGGATTACCATCAAACTCAAGACATGTATGTATCTTGCAGAGCCAATGAACTGATTAGATATAGGGTCATGAGGTCAAAATAAAAAGGGTCATACATGTTTCTGAAAAATAGCTTGTAATCACGATGTTCTGAGAACCTGTTACTGGATTTCAATCAAACTTTAATTTTAAAAATCGCTTCTGGTTTGGTTTGTAAAATCACTCTTTGGCAGAGGCATCATTTTCGACTACGCGCAGTCAAAGATCCATCTAGTTTTTAATGGTTTTAAAATGTACTGTGAAGGACTTGATCAACATCATAATCATAGAGAACGACACTTTGTAAGATCTTACAATTATGAACCATATGCACCATTTCCACTCATTCTGCATTCTGTTCTGTAAAGCGCATAGAGACATGCAATTATGCCTATGTGTTATGCGCTATACAAAACATTAAGATTCTATTATAAGTAATACTGCACAAAGCCTGGTTGCTCTACAAGTTAGATGTACAACAATAACTTTGTTTACCATTTGGATGATGAAAAGAATATGGTTGATGGTAATGATGAGGATGATTATAATAATAATCCAACAAGTCCAATCTTATGGTCAGGTTGAAAGAAACTAATGTCTTAGTTACTCACTTTGTTACAAACCTGTAGATTCTCATGATGGAAAAGCTCTTAAAATATCAGAGTCATTACAATAATCAGAAATGTCAGGATTACCTTTCCCATTCATGTACATGCAAAGTAGAAAATAATTCCATGGAGTATCTACATATGCATACCTGCCAACCCTTCCGAATTTTCCGTAATATTCTGATTTTTAGGATTTTAAAGACCTAAAAATTCTGAATTTTCTAATTTTTCAAAATTTCTATATTATTATTTTTTTTTTTAATTAAAAATTTTAAAATTTATTTTATTACTAAAGTCAAGTTAAGATTATTTTATCACGTGGTGCAATTTCAGAGTTCACATATGACATGCCTTGAATGGCTGCATGATCGAGCAGCGAATTTGTATTCGCTTTAGAAATATCATAATTACCTTTCCCATTTATGTACATGCAAAGTAGAATATTTAGTGTAGACCAACTGTCAAAACATGCCTGTTCTATATTTCCCTTCTCTTGATTTGATGACAGTTCAGCGTATGGCATGTTAGACTATTATGACAAGGCCTTAGAAGGGAGGAGTAGGTCGATAGAGGAGCTACAGTGTACAGAGATGGCCCCTAAGCGACGCAAGCTCAACGATGGATCCTACATCATAGAAGCCCCTCGTAAAATCAACAAGTAGGCCTATTAAACTCGTATTTGTCGTGGAGTGAAATTGTTTTTGTTTCCAGTTTCGTTGTACAAACCACTGTGCATGTGAGACAAAACTTGAACGTGGCAGTCCACTATTTGTGCCTTATGTTGACCAAAGCAGGCAAAGGGTTAGATGTTACTTTAACATTTCATTGCCACTTGAATTTATATCTTTATATTTTTAGGCTGGTTCTATAAAATTAGATATGCACTTTGAAAATATTCAAGCTTTAAATTTGAAGTTTATAATATCAACGTGATTAACATATATAATGTGGTGATATCCAATCCGATGAACATTGTATGTAATGAACATCTTCAAAATGGATGTGTGTAGCATTGGAAGTGCTGTCTTCTCCTTCAGCTGTTGTCTTATTTAATTGGGGGGGGGGGGTGGGGTGTAATGTGTTAGGAGGCTTCTGTTATTAATGACAGCATGTTATTGATGTTTACAGGAAGGAGATGAGGCTATCAAAGAAAACTTTCAAGGGTGTGCTGATAGAATACTGTCATGCAAATAAACTACACCCACCTCGCTACACCTTGGTAAGTCTCTCAACTCATTTTTGGAATAACTAGGATTTTTATCTGTGACGTAGTATGTCTGAGTTAACTGGGGCTAGAGTCTGTGGAAATGTCTGATATTCAGAGAATCATTTTATATCCTACAGGATAGAATATTAAGTAGATTGCAGGTCATGTGACAAGAAATTATTGGAAAAGGTTATATATGTATTACCGATTCATAGGTATTTTGGAAAGTGAAATTTTCAGTTTTGCTGAAAACCACATGCAGTGAAAGGTACAACACACAAAATGGTGTGTATGGGACTACACACACATTTGGCTTGAGTTGCTGGTCATTTTAACAGGAGGTATTGTTTGCGAGAGTGCACAATTTGACTTGCGCCAAAGTTGCTTATGTGATGTTAGAATAAAACAATTGGGATTTGGGTATTAATTCAATCTTTGCAGATCCAAATAACATCCCTAACAAAATTAATCATGCCACACATATCAAATATCAATGAACATTTGTGCGCATGTGTGTGTGTGTGACTTTGCTTCTGCAATGCAATGCATTTCATTTGATACATTCAATTCATTTTCTCACTCCGCTAATCCCAACATAATACATACTGTAGGCATCACTTTGGCGCAAGTCGATTTTTGCACTCTCGCAAACAATGCCTCCTGTTCATCCAAGCGTGAACACATACCACACAAAAATGATACCAAATGATTTGGGTTAAAATACTTTTTCATTAGATGTATAATAATTTACTGTTCATAGAAGATTTTTTAAATAATTAGCAATTTTCTAGGTGTAAACTTTTTTTGACTCGCACTGTATAGGGCTCGTAGCCACCATGCTGTGACACTTGTGGTACTTAGGCTTATAACTTAATAAGCTACGGTAGTATGAAAACTTCAGTCTTTGATTCTGTTGATTGTTTATTTAAATTTTTTTTTTTCTTCAGTTATGACAATTTGAATCAGCGTATTTTCTATTTACAGGAGGAGGACATAGATAATCGTGTGTTCAAGTCTTCTGTCATAGTGGATGACCAAGAATATGCTACAACTCTGTGGTAAGTTAATAACTAAAGGTTTTAAAGGTAGTTGTTTTTGTTGTTGTTGTTGGTTTTATGGCGTTTTCCTTCGTCGTTGGATGATTTTCACCTGGGTTTTGTTATCTGGCTGTAATAGTTATTGATTGATTGATTTTCCAATGGCTCTGGATAATGCAGGCCTGATAATTACCCGATTTAAATTGTTTTCCTGATTTTCCCCTTACTTTTTTTATTTTTCCCTATTTTTTATATTTTTCCCTATTTTTCTCTATTTTCCCCTATTTTCCTCTATTTTCCCCTATTTTCTCACTAAAAAGGGGGGGGGGGATGTTGTTAAATGCCATTTTATTCCCCCGACTCCTCTTTTTTTTTTACTCAAGAGGGGGGTGTTAGAGGGGGGCATGGTAGAGGGGGAAACAAACAAAAAAAACTTTTTTATTTAGTGCTCACTTTCACCCCTGATAATGAATTGAATGCCAATTCTGATATTTTGACAACCCCTGTACTTTATGATAAATGAATATGAATAACATCAAGGTGATTTTCCACAAAATTCTATTAGAATACAAAGGTTCAAGATTAGTCTTATTACGCGCAGTGTATATTATTACACCACATTTTGATGTGTTATGAACGGAAACAAATATTCTTGATTGACCAGATGGAAGAAGGCTTAAATTGTACCATTCATGTTTTTAAAAAATTGTGTACAGTACAAAACCCCTAACACACAGAGTAGAATGTATTTTGAGTAGGCCAGTACACTTGAAGTAACATTTCATGACCTTTTTTTGTTCTCATTCTTACACAGGTGTACAAGCAAGAAGTATTCAGAGCAGGGTGCTGCAGCTGTGTGCTGCCAACAGTTGGGCCTGAGCCTCCAAAAGAAGGAGCCAGTCACAGGCACTCCATCCGAGAAGGACCGATCGGTGGCCAGAGGTCAGGAGGTCAGGGTCAGCTCCGAGCAATGTGAGCTCCTGGACGGGCAGCCTGTTGGAGGGAAGGGGGAGGTATGCAATGGGAGAGGGGAAGAAGATGATGTTGAAAAGGCAGAATCATGCAGTTCAAGGCTGGAAGGGAATGCTATTAACTGTTCTACTGATCCGCTGAATGACAGTGAAGTGCCTGTACTAAGCAAGGATTGTTCTACAGATCACCAGGAAGCAAGAGGGGTCGGAACTGCTGAGCAGAGGTGACATGAGACAACAATGCTTTTATTGCTGTGAACCTATATGTCTTTAGCATTGGTACTACATGCAATACAGTATTTTTAAAAAGCTTTTTAAAGTGCCACAAAAGAATTTTTCATACCCTATGTTTCTCTGCTAATAATTACCCTCACTGCAAGTCTTTAGGTTGTTAACATTAATTAGAATAAATATATATACTACATGTATTAAAGTTGCTCATGCGTGGGTATATAGAGGGCAGCACACTGAGCCAACAAGTATTATGCTCCTGTGCGTACTAGTGTCCCTTTATGCGTACGTCCATACAGGAGCATACTACCCGTTGGCTCAGTGTTTGCCAAGTTGCCTACTTCACGAACAACTTTATATCCACGCATGAACATCTAGAGCTTGCATATATACATTATGAAAAAAAAACACATCATAACAGAAAAACTGTTATGATTTGTTTCATAGTGCTTTTATTTACATATTCATGCAATCAAATATACTCAGGTTTTTATGTAAATGTTTTGATAGCTACCTTATTTATGGAGGCTTAAAAAATCATGACAACGATCGCTCAAACATGGCACTTTTAGTTTTTCAGTTTTTCTTTTTTAGATTTTAACAGTAGGACCAATAACTTATGATAAAATGATCAGATATCCATAAAATCTGAGATGTGGTCAGTAATGTGTGTGATAAAATAGCTTGGACTTGGCCATGTACATGTATATTAAACAAATGTTGCAAATTATTTCAGTACAAATCAGGGCTAAAATTAATTTTTTGTCCATGGGGGCTCTTTCAACAAAAAAAAGAGCCCCTGTGAGCCTTTTCATGGGGGCTCTTTTAGTGCTTTCGGGGGCTCTTATTTTAATACAAATTTCCATTGAATTGGTACCCATGAAACTCCTAAATTCCTTGGTATTTTATCATTATCATTTATTTAAGTCTGCATTTTCACTCTTAGAAATTTACTTGTTACATAGCTGTAATTATTTGTGACTTTTATCCCCGTGATGACATTCTCTCCATTTCTTCCCGTTCTGCACATAATGTCCTCCTCTTTATTGGAGCAACCTTATTTACACATTTTTTCTTTACTTTTAGTCTTTACCATATCCTTCCAAAACACAGGGGCGGATCTAGCTTTTTGCTAATGGAGGGGGGGGGGGGGTAACCCAAATACGATGTGGAGCATCATCCACGGGCCGCGTAGCGGCGAGGCGATTTTTGTTGTTGCTATTTTGGACCCTCGTAAGTGATGTTTTCCTGGCATAACACGCGAAGCATCGTCCACAAGCCCCAGAGCGGCGAGGCGATTTTTATTGCTATTTTGAACCCCCGTTAGTGATGTTTTCCTTGCATCTACTGACATCTACTAATACTGTGTAGGTCTGGACACATGATAGAATTTTTCTATGCACATCACATTTTCACTTGGCAGCCCCTGAGGGGGAGGGGGGTAAACCGCCTAAACCGCTTAGATCCGCCCTGCAACCTCTCATTTCATTTCATTTTATTTCATTCCTCATATAAAAACATACATGATTATAACATTGGTATTTACAGATAAGTAAAGAACATACAAATAACATAACGAAAGATAAACATAAAATACAAATATATATATACGAATGAGGAACCAGCAAGAAAGAACACTTAAGTCTTGTGTGGTGCTGGTCCCTTGCAAAATAATAAAGAATTTTAACCTATAACACCTAACACCTTACACCTAACAACTAACATCTAACACCTGATTGCATATATATAAAAACTAATAAAATTCTATTCACAAAATTGTAATTGTTTGTATCTCTTTTTAAATGTATTGAGAGTTGGGCTTGCTTTAACATTAGGAGGTAACTCATTCCATAAAACTGGTCCTTTAAAGAAAATTGAATTTTTAGAGACAGAAGTTTTGATAAGTGGTATATGAAAATGAGATGATTGTCTAGTTATATAAGAATGTATTTCAGAATTCAAAATAAGACTAGGAGGGATAATACCTTTATGACATAAAAACATACCGGTAATTATAACAATGTTATAGTCATTCAATTCAAATACATTAAAACATTTAAAATGGACAAAAATAGGTTTTGTATGGGCAAGATAATACGTATTGCCTTCTTTTGTAATTAATATAATCTATTCATACAATAATCATTTGAATCATCAAACAATATTGCAATAATTTAATTGTGATCTTCTTCTCAATATTGATTTACTGGTCGAGTTAAATTATTTGCTGGTCCTTTAGAATAACCAGATTTCAGAGGATTCACACTTTTCAAAACTAAAAACTTTTCCATGTTTCATTCCTTGTGTGATCGTCTCCAGCTCCAGCAGATATTTGGCGTTGGTGCGCACACCGGTACTACCGGGGCGCAGTATATCAACTGCTGACGGCTGCATTAGCTGCACTGCGTTGTTTGTATCGGTAATACTCAAAGAGATGGGAGAGAAAGCGCCATCTAATTTCCATTTCATTGGTTTAAGGTTTGAAAATTGATACTCGATATTGTGTTAAAGTTATATCAGAAAAGATAATCTTTAGTTTATAATTCCACGGGGGCGATTTTTAATTTTGCAATCGCCCCCGTGAGCAACCTGACGGGGGCGAATCGCCCATCGCCCCCGTGTATTTTGAGCGCTGGTACAAATCCATTGTTATAATCCATATTTGTTACATTGTGGAATTTTTTTTCCTCCAAAGAGTTCTTCAAACTGATCAAACTTAATGAAATTTCCTTGTTGAATATGCATAATTTCTTATCTATTAAATGTATTTTAGAATAAAAAGTGTCTTCCTTGAAAAATTCAGTGATTGTTGTGTTAATGTGATTCTTGTTTCTCTAGTGTTTCAAACAATTCAATAAACAGTGAATAATGATTCTTAATGGTTGTATGAACCCTATGCCAATGATGGGCTGGAAATTAGTCATGTGTGAGCTAGCTATGTTTTCTCACTATGAGGTTTATGGTAAAGTTACGAACGTACATTGCTTACAATTGTTAGATTAGGCAGCATATACTGAATGCTGCAGTACGTTCCCTTGGGCTTTGTCACAAATGCATTCAAAACCATTAAAAATAATCTATATTTTTAGACTTGTTTTCTTTTCCATGAGCACACTGAACAGTTTACATATCACCAATGACACACCCCATCAACTTCCCAAGACTCCTCCCAAAGGAAATTATTTATTCATTTCTGGAAAAACCTGAATAGCTTTTGCCATTTGTTGTCTCTTTTTATCTAATGTTTAATGCGTTAATGTAGTTCACTGTACCTTGAACATTCTGGTAGTGAATGAAATAATTCAATGTCAGGCAAATACCCCCCCCCCCCCAATTAGTCAACTACCTGTATTGGGCATCTTTGTCTCAGATTCTGAAACAAAATCCTGGATTTACCTCATGCTGCAATGATAATTATAAACCTTTAGGTCAGTCAGGAACCCCATGACTTTTACAAGCCAATCGCCTGTCTGATTAGCAAGTTATTTACAATTGGAAATCAAAATCAAATTTTGCGTTTTCCTAACGGTTTTAAAACATGCATCTCAGATTTAACATTGTTAAACGATGAAGGGCAATTAACCACACCCCCAGGCAACTATCCATTAGGACAACTACCTCCTAGAACAATCATCACTGGGACGACCACATGTACCACCTGGAAAACTTAACACTCCCAAGATTACCAGAAATCTGCTCAGACGATTACACAGGGGTTATAGTCTTATGGGGGGGGGGGCAGTTGTCTGGAGGCGGTAGGCCGTGGGATAGCTGCCCCAGAATTAATGTTGAAGCATGATATAATGACACATGACTGCTATTTCTTTTATTTTTTTAAAACTTAAAATTTAATCTTCATAAAATATACAAGATGTCAACCAATAAGTACCATCAAAGAGTATTAAAAAAAAAAATGCCCAATCCTTAAAGCCCCTTTAAAGTGTAGGGAGCTCCCAAAATTTGATGGCAAAATTTCACTTAAATTGTATCATAATGTGAAAGAGGATGCCATTTAAGACATATTTCTGCTAGGATTTTCAAAACAAAATGTGTTTGAAGACGAATATTTACGGTATGTAAGAATACAAAATTTAGGTTTTCTGCGTACAACAGAAAACTCAAATTTTGTATTCTTTTATCAATATTTGTCTTTAAACACATTTTTTTGAGAGGAAATCTTTGCAGAAGTGAGACCTTAATGACATCCTCTTTTCTTGAAATTTTGCCATCAAATTTGGGGCGAATTTGGGGCTCCTAACGCTTTAGAGGGGCTTTAAGTGAATAAAATCTCTTATATATATATGTCCTCTTTTACTTCATTTTAAACAGAAAGACTGCAAATGAATATATCATGTAGCTTAAATAATAAGTTTATGGTGATATTAACACCAAAATTTACAGGAAAAAAAAATCAAAACCAAAGAGATATATAGTGAAATGAAATGGATCGAAAAGCTCAGAAACATGAGAAACAAGGGAAACGCCCTCGGTGGTCTCGCCTGCATCACGCAATTCAATATGATAAAAAATTGAGGCTGGGACATTATTCAGACAGGGTGGCCAATAAGTAGCTCCCCCCCCCCCCCCAATGAAATCCTCTGAATATATTCAGCATTTTAAAGTGAATGTTGACCAAGAGTCATCAGAAGAATTATTTACTATAATTTGTACCAAGATTAATAATTTTAATGGAATATGAAAAAAAATGAAAAAATTGATTTAACAATCCTCACATACTGACCTGAAATGACCTTTGACCTTGACTTTGTGAACTGGAATTTGTGCCATAAGATTTGTGACACTTGATAACCCTTGTGTACATGTTTCATCGAATTTGAACAAACACTTTTGAAATTATGCTAAAAATTCAAAATCTTGATGTTGATGCCAGTGGCGGATCCAGGGGGGGGGGCCCGGGGCCCGGCCCCCCCCCCTTGAGAAAAAAATCATGTAAAATCACGTGATTTTTACCTTTTTTTTTTTTACCTTTTTTGGGGGTTGGGCCCCCCCCCGGGTGCAAATTGAATTTTTTTTTTGAGGATCAAAAAAAAAAATGTGCTCACTACCCCCCCCCCCCCCCCCCACTGAGCGAATTTTTGGCCGGCGCGTTTTTAAAATTTTCGGGAGCAAAAAAAAAAAAAAAAAAAAAAAAAAAAAAATGGGCTCTGTCATCCTCCCCCCCCCACTGAGCGACTTTTCGGCCGGCGCGATTTTCAAATTTTCGGGAGCAAAAAAAAAAAAAGTTGGGCCCCCTCCCCTAAGAAATCCTGGATCCGCGCCTGGTTGATGCCACAAAGAGTCTACGTTTGTTGACCTTAAATGACCTTTGACCTTGACTTAATGACCTGAAATTTTACTCACATGATTGAGGATACTTGATAACCCTATAAGTCCAAGTTTCATTAACTGAGAACTTATACTTTAAAAATTATATCAAAAATTCAAAAACTTAACCTTAGGTTAGGTTTTTGACGTTGACGCCGCCATCACCGGAAAAGCGGCGCCTATGTCTCGCTTTTTGCTACGCAGGCGAGACAATAAAAGCTTTTATCAACAAATATCAAGCAAGCAACATTACTGGCAGTTTACAAAAAGAGAGGATGTACCACATTCACAAGGTATATTAGTCTTCAGGTACATGGTACTGACAAAGAGTACATTTTTACAGACTTGCACCTAATTGATACTGACTGTGAAAGACTAAGTTAGAAGAATATTACAAATCACGACAAGATATGTAGAATACCTTTAAAGTACAGAATATACATGTAACAGTTTTGGTAAGCTAGGCCAATTTTAATTTTTCAATTAGCATACACAGTTCGATATGTACAAAACTCTGTAGTGAAGGTTCAGGTATGGCATTCTTAACACATTTCCATTGGTGGTCCAAACCACTCGGCAACTATTAGGACTAAAGATGATCTACTTTAACAATTTTCAAATTTGATTTTTGTATGCTTATATGCAGCTAGTTTCTGTTTTTACATAATCACTAGCTTAGAAGATACCCGGCAAACAGATGAAAATCAAAATATAAAGCAAATATAGTATTAAAACAAAAGTATTTTAGCACATATGCATACCGGTAGTACAAGCATTGACAAATATATCTTTAAAATGAAACAAAAATGATCAACTTTGTTACACCTTTTAGTAAAAAAATCGAACACAAAAATATATTCAAAGCACTTTATAATGAAGGAGAGAAACTCTTTTTACAGCTACATGTACATCATACATCAGTTGGCAAGCACAGAGTTGATACTATGTTTTTCTTACATTAATCAAATCTAAAACAATCTAGCCATTGCCACGTAAAAACATACATTCATACATACATACACTCTCAAAACGGTAAACTGAATATAAATATACCCCACATCAGAGAAGAACAGCTGAGACTTAGCAGTTTTAAAAAGTAAAAAAGTATTAAAAAAATGAGCAAATCAAAAAATATCCTCTTTCATAACACATATATATCAATTCAACTGCTTAAGAAAAAAAAAGGAAATATTTATAGAAATGAAAGAATGGCTAAAAAATTCTGCATATATGCAGGAGGAAGAAACAAAAATTTCAGTCACCACATAACAAAAACGCCATCTATTATCTACTTTGAAAATATGGCAAAGCACCATTTATAAAGATTTAGACACAATGTAAATCCACACAGATGTAATTAAAACCCACACTCAGATAAATTAAGAATAATGTGAAAACTGCTCTAATTTACATTGACTGCGTTCTGGCCTGTCTCCAACTCATTGTGACCAACGTGGAATATAGTACGTGGGCATGATTGAGTAACCAAGTACTGTACCTGTGATTAAACTTAACAAGATGATATTCAACAATACACCTTGTTATCCTCAATCAATTCGTGACTGCATTGCTAGATTCATTGAATAGTAGTAATTCATATATTTTTTGGATTCATTGGATAAATTTAGAATCAAGAAAATTCAATCCATCCTCTGTACTCTGTAATATACAAACAATTCAGGTTATCCATGATTTTTATAGAAATAAATAATATATACCAGTATATATATATATATATATTTATAAATTTTCAAGAATTTTACTAGAATTATAGTCATTTGTTATTACATAATACCACATGCATACATATTTTGTGCGTAAAACCTGTAGCACAGCCTGATGTGTCAAAAAAGACAATCAAATACTTGTACAAAATTCATAACAGATTTTATAAATGATTTTTCTCATTTATTATAAAGAATAAGTGGAATTTTAGGCATATTAGATAGGATAAATACAGTCAGTACTTAGAAAACAGTAAGCCTATGTAGAAGTATATTTTCCCCCTCTTGGATGAGTATTTATATCCTGTCCTTCTTGAGATCATTGAAGATTGCAAATTTAGTACAAAGGTCATGGAATATATGATAAATATAAATGTATGTTGTATTGGTACATTTACGTTAAAAAAAGGTAGTTTAATGTGTTTTTATATGCTCTAACTAAATCCTTTTTTAATATTCATCGGAAATGATTTTGAGAGTTTGTGACTGAAGTTCATCCTAGTAATAATTCCCCAATGAATTCATTATCGTATGACACATCCATGTAGGCGTAAATGTTCTGTGAAAAAAGAATGTCATTCTTAGGAAGAATGGCTTTCTTTCCATTCGTTATTGATTTCAAACATGATTTCACCGACTGCTTTTATTGCGCACTTTTTTTCTCGCAGAACCTGATTTGTGCAAGAGAAATGTTTTGAAAGTTAGCGGACAGGTTTCCATGCAGTTCCACAATATATACATTCACACACTTTCGCATAGCAGGACATAGAGCCTCCTATATTCCAAAATAAATTTGTTATACCCTGTATACATCACGTATATACATGTGATAAAATGATTTAAAGATTTAAAGATAACTTGATCTCAATAATGTAGTAACATTGGAATTTAATATGAACAATATCTGTCCTAAAAAGCACAACTATATAAACATATAGCTACATGAATATCAAATACAGTACAAGATTTCGGCATAACTAAATGAATCCTGCATTAAAATTTGACATCATTGCAAAGAAACATTTCCCAATATTCCCAAATATTCAATATTACATGCAAAATAGTAAACTGTATATAAATGACATGTAAAATGAAAGATAGAAGACTTAAATGTTTTTACTTACATGAATGCTAGACGCTTCCATAGGTTCTGAACAAAGTATCATTACAGCATACAGAAAGACTCCAAAGCAAGAATATAAATCATGCTGCTCTGCATTTTATCTCAAACCATTTTTCATAATATCTTATTAAGTAATAATCTCTAACAGATGTGCGTAAACTTACGATACACTTGTAAAAATATAGCCATGTAATGTTTGCACAATACAAGCCTTTTTTCTGGCACAGAATGGCATGCTATCCGGTTTCCTATTTTTGATGGGGGGAAGGGGGACCAGATCTGCAGAATAACGGGGAAGAGAGTCTTGAAAGGATGAAGGGTCACCTAGCAACGCATCAGAAGTTGGTCCGACTCAGTCTACTGGAGGCAGGCCTACCTCATGTCAGTCTTCCTTCTTACCCTGCACCGGACCATGCTGTGGCGATAGATTGGAGGGTGCATCTTCCGCCTTGCTCTGTACCGTTCGTTGCCGTGGTGATAGATCGGAGGATGCTTGACTGGGCATCCTTTCATCGGAGGATGAGGATGAGGAAGGCATCTCCATGTAGCGAGTGAAGAGGGTAGCGTATTCTGGCTTCTTCATGGCGTAAGCTTTGAATTCATCTGACAATGACACATAAACATAGGGAAATTAATTGTGGTGGTGGTGGTGAAAAATTGAGAAACTATATCAGAATATACTGGTACCGCAATGACACGGTTTATGTAATTCCTTTGTCATAACATAGCTTAGTGAAATCTACATGAAGTAGCAGGTAAAAGTACAGCTTCTAGACAAGAGACTGCATCTGGCTAATTTACAGCCATCTTTAACATAGAACATTAGTAGTAGCCATTTGGACTGGGTGCATGTGTGCCCCAGTTAGACAGCTCATAGATAGGGGAAAGATGAATGTTAACTGGCCAGATGAGCTCCTCTGTCAAGACATGGTTTCAATGTGCCAGTATGTGTTGCTGAGCCACATTTACATTTGTAGAGGACAGCCAGGAATCTAAGTAAGACAAGACTTTCAGTTGTAGTGTTGTTTTTTCTTCCTTTCTATTTTTTTTTTCTTGAATCAAAAAGTTTCCATTGAAATTCTTAGTAAATGTACCCTTGTGTACATACATGTATTTTGTCTACTAGTATAAAAACCTTGTAGCTTTCTACTGAGTGCTAAACTAAGAAGGGTTTCAAAGACTCAATTTCGAGTGAGGTGAAAAAGACACATTTTTGCTCACCATATGTGATGCGCTCAATGCCCCTTGTATCAATCTCCTGGTACAGCCTGTCCGACTCCTCTCTTTCCATCCCGAATGCATTGTCTAGAATCTGGAAAAGATCTTCTGGGCTGATATACTCCTTGTCTCCCCCGAACATCTGTAAGTGAGAAGGATTCAATTCAATTCACTTCAATTCATTTATTTTTCCTCTTTCAATTTTTCATATTTACAATGATGGTACATTTTTACATATTCACATATTAATATACCGGTACATATAGATCAATGTGCACAATACAATACATTAAAAAAACATGAAATTGAAAGGGAAGGAGGGCCGACTAAAAAGCAGAGCTTGTAGGGTGTAGCCCCCCCCCCCCCTGTAAAAGTAATGATTATGAATTATCATTTTATGAGAAAAAACTACAACAATAAAAAATAACTGATTCAGAAATACAAAAATAATTTTTAAACACAAAACAATGATATAAGAATAATGGTCACGCTCACTGGATTGGTGAAAATTTGCGCCTTCTTCAGTCTTGTTCTAACATGGCCTGGTAAGTTGCCTTAAATAACCATGGCATATAAAAGTAGCAGGTATGGACACATTCTATACATGCTATTTGTGAGCCATACTCACATATCTGTATCTTCTAACACAAATATAAGAGAATACATTTTGTAAGGACCTTTGTTTATAGGTACAGGTACCCAAATATGCCATTCATGTACATGTATGAACAAAATTGGGGTGGTTTACTCAATAAGATATGAACGAGCCCTAAAAGTCTATCTTTAGTTCTGATAATGAAGCTGTGTTTTCGAGATACACTGGCCTGAGATGATTCTAAATGATTCTTTATACACTAAGTTGGATTTTCACAAACAACCAAAATTTCAGATTCACTGCAAATTATCACAATAAACATATACACACACCAGGACCATGTGTTGGTCAACAAAAATCAGTCTGGACAACTAGCTCTTTCCAAAGGAATCTTGACTTTTGAACATACCACACCACAATGCTCAAGATAATCTGGACAACCTGAAAGAAAACATTGCCTTTGACATCTTTTTGTTATTGGCAGGACAGTGTAAAATTTCTGATACACCTTCTGAAAAAGCTCTTTCCTTGATATCACTGAAATTATTGATATGCCTTTAGTTACATCCTAACCTTCATATTAACTTTTTCTACATCAAGTAACACATAATCTATACTTTAAACTCATCACTCACATTAAATCTCCACTGCACTACTTATAGCTACTTGCGCTCTTTATATAGCAAACAATGCCTAATCGGTGTCCATTGGTCCCCCATGATCCTCTTTTTCTTATGTTAATTGAGAGCTGATTTGATGAGATAACCATCTGTCAGAGACCTTGCAAGGAGGTCTAATCCCCCTAGCCAAACTAGTATAGACAGGCTTTAAATCATCCCTCACCTTAAATGCCATCTGAAACGTGTCTTCTGTGTTCGCTGGTTGACTGACCAAAGCGCATCCAATCACGTACTCTCTGAAATCTATCTTCCCACTGCCATCCTGTAGCAAAGCAAGGACACCAATACAATCGTTTTATTGATCTTGCTTTCAAATAGGTACAAGTGAAATACCAAACAATCCCTACTGTCCTTTCAGCCTTTCAATTTGAAGTTTGTTATAACCAAAGAAAACAGAAATATAGAGATTTAAGAAAATTAAAACTTTATGTAGATTATGAAATCGATATTGATATTGGCATTGCAATTTGTTGATGCACATTTAATTTTTTTTTTGTAATGAATTTTCTACTTAATTAAGGAATCCTTTTGAAGATAAATTTGTATTGCAATGGAATAGGAGGCTCTTTCCTCCTTGGCAAGAATGTATACTCTGTTCTGTGTCACCATGTCTTAAAGTTTAAATAAATTAAAATGCAAGATCTTAAGAGACTAATCCATGAAACTGCAATTGATATGGATTGACATTCCTGCCATTCTGATTGCTTCAAGTTATATGAAAATCTGTCAAAATGGCAGAGCAAATCCCCCACCCCCTCGTACCCCTTTTCCTTATTAAAGGTATCATTTAACAATGTTAAATCTGAGAGGCATGGCCCTATGTGTTACCAGTGTCTGTGATATGGTGTAATATTGAAGCCCTAAAAAAATTGATCAAAATGATCATGAAGTGCCTCAAAAAAGTAAAAATATTTGAGTGACTGGATCACCATACTCATTTCCCCCAATAGACTGCAGTGTTATGAAAACCGTTAGGAAAATACAAAATTTGATTCAGATTTACAATCATAAATATCTTGATAATCAGACAGGCGATCGGCTTGTAAAAGTCATGTGGTTCCTGACTGACCTAAAGGTTTATAATTATCATTGTAGGGTCTAGCATGAGCTAAATCCAGAATTTTGTTTCAGAATCTGAGACAAAGTTACCCAATTAAATCCCTTTAAACGCTTTGTACTATTTTTCTCACCCTGTCATATACATCAAAGACTTCTTGGAGGGCGGGTGAGACAGGCACGTTGAGATACTTGGCAAAGTCTTCTATTTTGATGTAGCCTCCTGAGCTAGCTATGTCTGCATATTTAGTCAGGTGAGTGCGCAGACCCTCGAGTTTAAACCTGCAGGCATTGTGTTGAAAATGGTCAAATGAAAATAAAAATAAATTTTAAAGAGAGTGTGTCATGACGAGATTATGTGTCTTTCCCGTGGCCCTACCCGGGGCTAATCGGTATAATACGACTACGGACGTCGCAACCGCAGCATTTATGTGCGTGCAACATACGCGAAACCGAAGCGTGAAGAGAACTTTGGCCTGTTTCATGAACGCTAGCACGCGCTGACCCAGTTAATCAAGTCCATTCGTTTACGTGCAGCTGTCCTAAAGAAGACGTAGATGGTGTTACCGTATTTTCCGGCGTAAAGGCCGCAGTATTTTCGGGTGAGAAAAAATCAAAAAGTCAGGGTGCGGCGTATACGCAACAACAACAAAATTCAGCGGTCAAAACATGACGTCCATTTGCACGTATGGGACTATAGGAACGGTAGCATGACTAGACAACGGTACAGGACAATTCTAAAATAACTCCACACAACTTACCGACAAGTTTATGTTGCATAGTTGACATGAAGACGAAAAAATTTATTTTTCTAATAAAATCTGCCGATAGATCTAGATCTAAGTCCATACCATTGCATTGCCAAAAAGTAAACAAAGGGACAGGCCGTTACTTACGGAGCTAGCTGCCGCGCTACGCAACTGCGCAGGTCGAAAAATGCTATTTCGGATTACACCGCACATCGAGGAAGGGGTATTGTAGGATACCAAATCTGCGTACGATACAGTACTAGCTTAAAAGTCGATGAAGATCTGCTAAATTATGATCATTTTTGAGGTTAACTTCTTGTTGATTTATAAGAATATTGATGAATTTGGTATAGTTTGTAAAATAAAAAGAGTGTTCTACAAGAAAATTACGATCATTTTGTTTGGTCCGTTTTTTTTTGTTTTTTTTGTTTTTTTTTGTAGTTTTTTTGTAGTTTTTTTTTTTCCTCTACGAAATGTCAAAGTTGGGGGTGCGGCCTATACGGCGGTGCGGCCTTTACGCCGGCAAATACGGTAACCAGTATTTGCCAAGGTTAGAACTGCAGGCGACAACAATGAAATATAGTGTGTATTACAAATATCCATTGTTTTGACTACACAAATGAATATACAAGAAATATAAAATTGTTACTGACTTGGCTTAAAACAGAGTGTTGTATTATCACTTTTGCTTTAAACTACCATACACGTACCTGGGTGAAGGGTAGCAAATGAAGACAAATGTCTTTTCAAAAGAAGGTTTAATTGTTGCAGCTACATGTAGACTTCAATCTTAGACCAATTATTCATTACCCTCATACACCTTTTCCAGTCCCTGACACCTCATTATACAAGTTTTCAAAATCAATATTAGATCATTTGAGAGCAAGAAAGACTTTATCTTTTGGTTTAAGAAGTTATTTTCCATTTGGTTCTAAGCAGATGACATGTAGAACTTTATTCTTTGGAGCCAGAAGGCCATTAACTCTGTGTTAAAGTAAATGAGTTAAGGCCCTTCTTGCTCCAGAAAATACTGACAACTGAATCTAAAGACCTACCTTGTGAAGGAAATATATGATTAACTCTCATGAACATACTAGTTGTCATTTTGATGTCTTACTGAATCAGTAATTTGCATTTGTCATTTGATTCCTTGATTTAATATTAGTTTGTCAACTTTAATTTGTTTATTGTTTGTATTTGAAATGTTAGTAGTGAATCTTTTTGTGCACCATGAGCCTGTGCCATTATAGGCAGATACGTGTGCTGCTATACAAATGTTGAATTATTATTATTATTGTATTATTTAATCCTTTGTATAGAACTCACCCCAGCTTGGAGAGCAACTTGTGGAATTCTACCACGCCCACTTCACAAGGCAGTCCCATAGCTTTGGCTTCCTCCATCAGACGAGTGTCTTCATACGTATGGTCTGTCACTGGGACCTTGTAAGCCCTAGAGATAAGGGGAAAATTGTGAAGAACAGAGCAGTGAAGGTTTGAGAAAAAACAGACAATAAAAAAGAGAGTTATGGATTTTCTAAATCAATAACTTTTCATGAAATATTTCAAATCTGTGAGTCAAATTGGCAACACCGTCTCTAAATATAATGTCAGCCCCTCACTTTTTATCCTTTGTTGAATGAAAGAAATGTCATTAAATTCCATTTTGATAAAAAGATATATTTTCTTCATGCCTATCTCGATCATATATCACAGATAACATGTTTTTTCATGCGCCCCCATATAAGATAGGTCTACTTTTCAATTAACATTCAGAGAAATGGAGATTTTGGGTCATTCTGTCATTCAGATTAGTGGTGAATTGTGAGGGGAGGAAATCACAATTTGTCTCAAAGATTCCATGATTTTCATGATTTTGAAAGATTCATAACTTTCTTATTTGTTGTCCAATTTCTCTCAAACTTTCACAAAATTGTTCCTCTATTTTTTCTGCTTCTATCGATTAAAAGCAATTCAATATTAGGGTGGACTTCCCCTTTAATGCTTGACCATTCTAACCTAAACTGATTGAAATTCACTTCCTTGAAACACCTGAAACTACACTGTACATGTGAAACAACATCAAAACAATTCAGGGTCTTGCATGATGACACTGATTTGTTAGGATACAAGTTGAGAGTGTTTCCCTGACAAGAGATTTCAGCACATCTGTCTGAAACCTACAGAATACATAGAAAATTTCAAGAAAGGAAACCATAGGTAAAGTCACTACCGGTAATCTCAATACAGCAATGGGTGCAAACACATACCGGTATGCATTGGTTAAGGATCCCCAAACCCAAGGTCATGATTGAAAATCAGATGAATGAACACTACATAATGCAATGAAGCCTGCTTCAGCAACCAGCTGTATAGAAAGATCACCTGTGTGTGTAATCATATTTTCTGTTTCCCTTGAATAGTGTCATCATTGAAATGTGTAATAAAAGATTCTGTACATATTACAGACCACATGCATAAAAAGACCATTAGTCTCGTCTCTTTAAAGCAATCTTTTTCATACTCGTTTCATTGTACTAGATTCCAGAAGCCCCATGTACACGAAGAGGTATGAACATTAAAGTGACTCGGTAACATTGCCTCAGATTCTGAAACAAAATCCTTTAATTAGAAACCTTTAAGTCAGTCAGGAATACCCATGACTTTTACAAGCCGATCGCCTGTCTGATTATCCCGATATTTATGATCGGAAATTGAAATTTCATTTTGCGTTTTCCTTATGTTTTTTAATAACACTACAGTCTATTGGGGAAAAGGAGTACAGTAAAACCAGTCACTCAAAGATTTTTACTGTTTTGAGGCTCTTCTTGATCATTTTGAAAAGGATTTTTTTTTGGACTTCAATATTACACCATATCACAGACACTGATAACACGTAGGGCCATGCATCTCAGATTTAACATTGTTAAACGATGCCTTTAATTAGCATACTTTGCCATTACAGCTCGGACATTGCGAGCATAAAGCTTCGGATCATGCTTCTCCTCCTCACTTGGCCTGTAGACCGGCAGGAATTCCAGTTCTAGGTTGTTTGAGAGGTTACAGAGAGTGAGCCAGAAGACGGAGAAGGCTCCAGGTCCATCCCAAGTCCAAGGGAATGTGTTGAGCGCGTTGTTGTAACGCAGGAGGACGGGCTGGACAGGAACGCCAGGAAAGAAGGCACCTGTGAAAAATATAAGGGCTGGATTGTAGATTCCACTATGTAGCAGCCTAGGAGTAAAACTCTGGAATTGTACATGTACTGTATTAATCATCATACCCTCCCATAGCACGAGGAGAGGAAAGGCAAGCATAATGATAGAGGGAGATAGTCGTTAATTTTCATGTGCATTTCTAACTCAAACAAGCATAAAACTTTCAAAAGTCTCTTTTTTTAATTAGTTATAGCTTAAAAATCGTTCTATGCATTATTTTATATTAATTCTATTATTTTAAATCCACATCTCCCCTTTACTGAACACATAAGCATTTGGTAATAAAAGTTCAAACATCCTTTATCAATTTTTGAAAGGAAATCTCTACAATAATGTATACCTCCTTTGAATGTGATGAAGCACTGTCCATTGGTTGTGGTGCCTTCTGGGAAGATGACGATCTGAGGCCACAGGCTGCCCGGTTGAGCCCTTCGCTTGATCTCAGCTATGGTCTTCTGTCTAGAGTCAGGGTCTTTCCTCGATACTAACACCGGCTGCAGAATCTTCGCCAATGCTATGGTGAAAATAGAGGGACATTAAAGGGATAGTTGAGTACTTGTTTTAGACAGCAAAAAGTTCAAAGTGCATGGTTATTGATCTTCTTCTTATTTATGACATTCATAGTGCTCTTTTAGGACCTAAATTTGCTATGAAGGTAATTTTAGACCACAAAATGTGTGAAATTTAGCCAATACGATCATACCAATTCATTTTCTCACAAAAATTGTATTTTGTGTAGCGCCCTCTGCAACAAAACTCAATTATCCGTTTAAGGTACTAGAGCTGGTACAAGCAACATAACTTGGAGGTGATGTAGTACAATGGTTCAATCACTGGACTCTCAATCAATTTGTTTTCTCTTATTCTTCTTCTTCCACTTCTTTTTCGTCTTCCTTTTCTTCCTCTTTCTTCCCTTCTTCACCTTCTCCTACTTATCACTATTATATTATTGTCTTTACTCTTTATTTCTATTTTTCATTTCTTCTCAAATTCACTCTCCTTGTACATCTCTAGAATCTCATACTATACTACTCCGATTTCACCTCCTAATACCTTTAAAATCCAGACCTACTATATTGTGTTACTCAGTACGGGAGCCTATTCACATTCAAGCTATGCTTTTTACTTAGGCTCTCCACATCTTACATTGTTCTACCCAGCCTGTTATATACACATATTTCGAAATTTCATACTTATTTTCCGTACATTATATTTGATTTGAAATCTCGATAATTTTTTTTCTTTCTTGTGTGAAATCTATTCTTATAATAATATACGCCTGTATAATAAAGAAAAGAATATAAACTGTTTTTCTTTGTAAAATGTGGAATAAATAAAACTTCAAAAACTTCAAAAGGTTGAGGGTTCAAATCCCCACCAGCAACATGTCTGCTTCCCTGGGTAAACAAATATTGCTTTCCTGTACAATAGGCAATACTGGTAAATTGGATGGGTGTTGAGATTACCATACTGGCAGCATTATCAACACTATTAAAGGTGAAATCCACCTTAATATTAAGTCGGTTTTAATAGTAACAAAAAAATAGAGAAACAAGTCAATGGAAGTTTAAAGAAAACCTTGAGACAATATTTAAAAAATTATGAATATTCATATTTGTAATTTATACAATGCAAATTGGCAACTCCATAAGGTACCTTTCATGGACTAAGAACCTCTCCCATTTGTTTTGTAAAGAAAACCATTATCACTGTCTCCAACATCACATCAACCTAGTCACACCTGTTGCCTAGTCAACAACTCATGTATATGACTATACTTACTTCCTAAGATGGGTGGTTCAACATTTTCCTGTCTGGACACACCACTAGGGAGACCCGTTACAAAGAAAATAAAGACGTCAAAGAAGGAGACGTGAGGGGCTAAAGCCAGAATGCTTGCCTCATCCCGCGTCACCTGTTGACCTTTGATCTTCACTTGGTGAAATCCCATGCAAAATACCTGGAGCCTGCCAAGGAGTAATATAGGTCCCCGCAATGCCCTGTGGATTAATAGGCGATAAAAGAACATCAAAGAGAGTTTACTCTGGGCCCTAAAAGTGTCAACTTAAAGTGTACAAATCTTCTTCTTTTTTTTTGGGGGGGGGGGGGGCTTCTGATATAGCACACAATGTGTTGTGCGTCACATCGTTACGTTCCTGGCACTCCCGAATTTAATACCCCAGCCATAGGCCGGTGGCCAACTTTGTATCACTCTGGCATATCGGAATCCATTTACACCTGGGTGGAGAGTGGCAAATGTGGATTAACCTGTTGCCAAAGGACGTTAGTACCAGGTTGAGATTTGAACCCTCAACCCTTGGATTGAGAGTCAAGTGAAGGAACCATTATACCACGACATCCCCAGTAATATTGATTTCATAATAAAAAACTGAAGAGAAGTTTGAGTTGTGGTACAGGTGGAAGAAATTGTTTGCTTTTCTCTTTATTTATATTTTTAAGTGGAAAAGACATCGCATAAGCCTCGTCCATTGCCTTAATATTCCAAAAAAGTAATGCTTTGAGCAGGACCCAACACTAACAGGCACCCCAGAAAAATGGTGAAATGGGCACCCAAAATTTAAGTCTAGACCCCCCCCCCCCCCCTCCCCCCCAAACAAAAAATGAAATTTTTACCGGTATGTAGGGCTCATGCATCTTTTATGTTCTTTCACTTCTTTGCACAGAACTCCTCAAACATTTATGTTTGTACTTTCAAGGAGGATTCTCAACCTAGCCATGGGCCTCATAAAGATAATGAACATGTCAAAAAACCTATGTTTTTGTTGGATTTACATGTACAACAGGATGTCTAATCTAGCCATGAATTCATCAAAATAAAACAAGCATGTGGTTTAACATTGCACAATGCAAATGTTCATGTATATTATTGTGTACAATTGATATACATTGTACACATGTACGTGCATCACATCAAAATGATCAAGGTATAAAATTCAAAATCTTGTACTTCAGTTGATATCTCATCATTGGCTTTTATCAGCATAAAAGAAACAAAGGCCACTTCAGGACTACAGTGCTCTGTTATTGATAAGTTAGGATGACTGATACCACTATTCTTTTTATCAAATGTACATGTATGCGGTTTGATTAAAATGACATGACAATCTGACACATATGTTTATTAAGTAAATATCACAGTGTTTCTTATCAGTCAATGACCTAATGAATGCTGATTTTGAACAGTTTTCAAGCCTAATTTCTATTGATTGTTGATTTTCCAAGACATAATTTTGTTTCACCATGGTTTTTTACTTTTTTTTTCTGTTTCTGTACGTACACTGGTTAAGTTCTCTTCATCTGCAAGAAATGAAGTTATGTGTAATTTCAGGAAATATCCAAGCTCATACATGTAACTCAACAATTGTCAAAATACAAGGGCCAATTATTCACTAAGATTGAATTTTCCTAATCTTGCTTCATCTTGGTGATGTTGGAAAATGAACCTTTGGAATAACAAGCAGTCAATAAAAACATCACCCCATATTACTTTCTGGTTATAGAAACTGAGCAATATGTAATATCAAAAAAATGTTCATGCTGATTTATCACTCAACAATTATGAAAATCCTAGGGCGGTTTATTCACTAAGATAAATCATTCCCAAGGTTGCTGTATCTTGGTGATGTTGGAAAATGAAACTTTGGAATAACAAGCAGTATAATTAAACACATCATCCCAGATCCCCTTGGCTAGGATTGCCATCCTATAGTCAAGTGTCAACTGAATATGATATCGGTCTCTTGCACTTTTCCACGGATAGTTAGAATTTATACTTTAAATTCATGCTACCATATATAGAAATTGTCATTATATCTATATGTTAAATAAGTTTTGACATGAACTTCATGAAGTTATCATTGTTTGTATATTTGTAATTGCGTATTTTAAATACACCTTACGTTTACATGTTCTATGTTATCCTGGTTTTGAACAATGAAAAAAGCAGAAATCAAACCAAATCAAACCAAATCAATTCAAATCTTACTTTCTCCATCCTGTTAGTGGATTTTCTTTCTCCTCCCTCTTTATCCCAGCCAGTGCTACAGCACACAGTAGCCAGACAGGCACGAGAAGTAGGGTGAATGCCAGCACACGAAGTGGTGCTACCGTGACAGACATAATGCCAATCTAAGACAAGAAAAAATATATCTATATTATTGTTGATTAGATTTTCCATGACCCTTATATAAAAATTATCCATATTTTCAATCGTTAGGCCTAAAATCGATTTAAAGCCCTAAAATATGTACCAAATGCAAAGAAGGAAGAGCAAACATTTCTGCTATGCAGTGGCATATTTCACCAGAATGCCACAACAAAACTTGCCATGGACCATTTTCGTAATGTATTCATGTGTGCAAAAGTTGTCGTTAAGTACAGAGTTAAATAATATTTCATTCATCTGTAATTGTTACAAATAATTTGTATTTCAATTAATAATAGATATAGTCAGAAGTGTCAGAATGTGAATTGCATGTACATCAATTGTTGCTACATACATGTACAAGTGTAGGTTGCCGCGTTACTACAGTGTAGTTACTAGTCTATAATGTATAGGAGTATATAGCACTAGGTCTAGCCCTCTAGGCCTATAATTTATAAAGGCTACATGTATAGTTACTGACCAGGTGATACTGATACTATTTCATTTGATTTAGATTAGACCAACATTTTTCTCTTCGTTCGTTAGCCTCTGATAATTTGGGTAGGGTTGGCTATGGTTGGCTTCGACTACTAATTAGTATGGTGGTGTGACCAAAGTTTGAGCGTGACGTAAGTTCGCTATCTCAAAAAATCAGTAAGATTTCAAAAATCTGATATACCCGGTAGGTCTATCACCAATGGAAAGAGGAACATAAAATTACCCAGATAAGAAATTTTCTTTGGAATTGGGTACAAAATTGTGAAAATATGAACAAAAGATCGGCCATTTTGCAATCTTTTGCTTTCGTTCCGAAAAATTATCAACTTACCGATAAAGGGCCTGAAAATCTTCAATTTGAGAGCAGATTTCCTCAAAATTGTAAGTAAAAAGTGGTACCAACTGTGACTTGCCTTGCAAATTATTATATAGTCTACCTTATTTTTGATGGATCGCATTTTTTAATAAATCAACTATAGACCTAAACCCTCGTTCGTAAAATTAGGTCTCATTGTTTTTATGACTTTTTTAGATGCAGCGCGCAAGCACGATCCGACATCAAATTTTTAGATCGGATATCTCCAGAATCGACAAATTTTCTAGTTGAACCAATCTGTAGTAAAAAACTTTGCTGTCCATTTGGAAATAGACCCTAATTGAAATAAATAAATTTGTGTAGAATATGAGAAATCATAGATCAAATAGATCTAGATCTAGTCTAGACCGAATTTTCCGTCTCTTTCGTTCGTTAGCCTCTTATTGGGGTAGGGTCGGCCGGCTCTCTCTCTAGAGAGAGCCGGCCGACCCTACCCCACTAAGAGGCTAGAGAGAGAGCCGGCCGACCCTACCCCAATAAGAGGCTAACGAACGAAAGAGACGGAAAATTCGGTCTAGATCTAGTCTAGACTAAATAGCTATCACATTTTGTAATAATATTATTCTAAAATCTGTGAACTTTGGTCACCCCTTCATATTCATCTAAACTAAAGTCAACACAGAATGTATGCAATTTGTATTCTGAGTTTCTGACTAATGAAATACAATGGAATTGACTATTCATAACACATCTATATTCAGTGAACCCTGACTGTGCGAGAGAATGTTCATTACAAATACAATAACACAACAACAACATAACAACAACAACAACATAATACAAAATAGTTACATACCCTTATGTAGTCCCATGTATTCATTTTTAAGACATGCACGAATGGATTCGGTATTTCAGCCACCATGAACGACTGTGCACGCTCTAGTCTCGGTCTTCCCACCGACATCTTTAATGTCACGTCCTTATTTGTCTATGATGGATAATGAAATAACGCTTTTCATTTAAACTTCTTGGAGAAATTCAAAACTTGAAAATGCATCGATCGTCCTGTCACTGTGTGTGGATACGGATATTGATCAGACCGTACAGATAATACGTCGGGCCGGTGGGTGGGAGGCCGAGGGTCAACGCACTTTTACATAGACTAATACTCGTTCGTTCGTGTCTCCTTAGATCTTGATCTTCGGAGTAGTTGCTACAACCGGCCTGCGAATTTTTTTTCCGTACTCGAGAGGGCAAATACCCCATGTGCGCATGCGCGTGGACTTGTGATTTCTCTGCTACTTCCCATACGAAATGTACATGTATTCGCATGTACTGTGCACAATTCGCGTTCTACGAGTAAACGATGGCATAGTAGTCTTCAAACACAGACTCTGATTTGCCAGTTTGACAAAGCAATTACGCATATATCGTGCGTAGCAATAGTACTAGTATTCAAGTCTGAGTAGTTGTATGATTCAGACATTTTAGTGCTTACAGAAATGCATCCCAAATTGAATAGCATGGTATAGTAGTCTGCAAGCACAGACGCTAATCGGACAGTTTGACAACATAGTGTCTTGAGTAGTGCTTTATATTCAAATATGTGTACTGTCAGATTAGCGTCTGTGCTTGCAGACTACTATACCATTCTATACAAGTTGCAATGTATTTCCAAATGCACTACTGGGTCTGAATCATACAACTACACAGACTTGAATAAGCACATCGCGACACATACGCATATTGATTTGTCAAACTGGCAAATCAGAGTCTGTGTTTGAAGACTACTATGCCATCGTTTACTCGTAGAACGCGAATCGTGCACAGTACATGCGAATACATGTACATTTCGTATGGGAAGTAGCAGAGAAATCATAAGTCCACGCGCATGCGCACATGGGATTTTTGCTCTCTCGAGTACGGAAAAAAAATTCGCAACCGGCCTAGACTGAATAGAGCCGACCCTACCCCAATAAGAGGCTAACGAACGAAAGAGACGGAAAATTCGGTCTACAACCGGCCGTGTCAGACACGTTGCCCCGGGGTGCGAGATAGGACTCTTGTAGCGTGCCCCCATTTAAAACAATTATACAATAACAGTTAACATTACATTTAATAATAGTATGAAACTATTAAAATTACTTTCATGTTACGGGAAAAATATTGCATATATATTATGATTTGGTCGATCCAGTTCGATGGCACAAACACGGCACTACTGGACAGAGATCCTAATAATAGACTAATACTGATATATGAAATACTGATAACGACATCAACTACATAACATTTTGACGATCTCTGTAAAAATTGATAAAGGAATTATCTGTCATTTTTGTCTCGCCTGCGTAGCAAAAAGCGAGACATAAAGGCGCCGCTTTTCCGTGGGGAAAAGATATTGTGGGGTTATATTTAGTGAACTCCTTGATATTGAATTATCGATATGAATTCAATCTTCAACAGTTTTAAAGTCTTGTTATTGTTTTTGTGTCGTCTTAGAGTTTCATTAAAAGACATAAACATGCAAATGAAATCGTCCTTGTTTTATGTTCATGTTATGAACAAGACCCATTCTCCCTATTTTGTCATAATGGACGCACCCAGCGATCTGTGCTACGCGCCAGTGCACACTGCGGGACTTGGTACGAAGCTCTGTGCAGAGTTGACCGAGCCGGTGAGCAATCCATTTTATGAACGAATTCGCCCCAAAGTTTTCCATATGCATCGACATCGTTTCTTTGTATGAAGACCACGCCATCTTTCTGTTTGACAGTATACAAACCCCAGTTTGTATATTTACACCATCGATTTCCGTTATTTGTTTGAAGGTCAGGATTTACGCTTACCTTCCACATCGTCAGAAACTTGGGTCTTCTTTTCCACATCGTCAAATCTTGTTTCTTCGAGATCATCAGAAACTCTACCTTTGTCGTCATCGACAGAATAGACCCTAATTGTTTCTTTGACATCGTCGGTTCATCATCATTGACAATAACATCAACGCATTTGACAAGTTTGATGATAATGTAGTGTAATTTGAAAAGCGGCAGTCGTTCGCTTTATAAATAGACTACCTTAATTGTTAACATGTGACTGTTATTGAAATATTTCCCGGCTAGATTTTAGCACGGATTTGAATAAACGCTCATGGTTTAACCCCCGATGATATATCTTGTGTCCACTATTTTTTATTATAGCTGTCTGGTCTCTTGTGAATCACAGTAGAAAGAAAAGGAATAATTAAATTAGGAATTAATTGGGATGTTGACCAAGTTACGATCATCGATCATGGTCATTCAACTCCTAATCCAGTTCTTGCCAAAACTCTATATGCAGCAACATCATTTCAAAAAGCCACAAACATGCTCTGAAGCACTCATTTTTTATGGTAATTTGATCTTGTTTGATTGTGTTTGTTACAAGGACACGTCTGTATAATTTCTGAACGTTTTTTTTTTTGATCCCCTCCTTTTCTTCCTTTCTTCTCTTTTCTCCCTTCTTTTTATTCTCTTTCTTCTCTTGTCTCCCTTCTTTTTATTCTCTTTCTGTCTATTTTTCTTCTTCTCTTTCTTCTCCTACCCCTTTTCCTCTCTCATTCTTTTTTTTTCTTCTTCTCCTTCTGCTTCCTATCATTCCTCTTGGTCCTGTTTCTTGTTGCTTAATTCATCATTCATACTTGTTCTACAGCTTTTGTATGAATGTAGAGTTCAGATAAAATCAATTTGTTTTCTCTCTCTATAATGTAATTTACACATATCAGTCACATCATATTGTTTCTAAATTATATTTATTCATTTTGAATGCATGTAACATTGTCTGTTTGGAGCAACAGTGGCATTGATCTGTATTACTTTGACATGGAGTCGGGGCCCTTGTGACCCTAAACAGACGATATGTTAAACGTGTCTGATAATATTTGTCTACATTATGCATCACGAATTCCATTATGAATAATATGAAGTATTAGCCCTGCATTGTTAATAATAAAACATGACCTGGGCTTCTTCTCTTTTCTACTTGTAGTATCTATACAAGTGTATGTACTATAATCATGATTGTTAATAAAGTGATATTGAAACAAAAACTGCTGCAAAATTTAAGAACCTGAAATTGGGGTTTTCTGCCTACAACAGTAAACTCAAATAGGGCATTCTGCCATCAATATTCATCTTCAAACATATTTGTTTTAAAAATATTGGCAGAAATGTGTGTTAATTTTTGCCACAAAATTTGGGCTGCTAACACTTTACATTTCTTGAAACCTCTCAAAAACTGATTACACTTGAAACGTGTAGTGTTTGTTGACACATGAAGTAATAACCAACACCAAACATGATTATAGTAACATTTGTTAGGTTATTTTAATATAAACTGTATAAACAAGTATGAACATAGGAAAATAGATCTGTAGTTGATACACACAGCTTTTGTAATAGATTTTCAAGAACATTTTAAAAATGTGCTTAAAACGCCCATCTATTCAGTGTGAAAGACAAAACAGAAGAAGTACATTTAATAACATAATTGGCGGTAATGCTTATTTGCAGGGGCGGCGATTTCTTTTCATGACCGGGGGGTGGGGGGGGGGACGAAATGCGAGGGACGGGGGAGAAGTGGCGTATTTTGAACAAAAACGTTGGGGGGGGGGGGGAATCCGCATCCCCACTTTAACATTGTACATGCAGGCCTCGCGGAACGTTTTTCATAGAGGGGGAGGCTAAAGTATTTTATTAGGTAGAGCAAAGCGAGCATAGCAAGTGGAGCGTAAATTGGCGTGTGGTCCAGGGGCGTAGGCCCATGAAGCTCAGGGGTTTTAGGCATTTAATAACGGTCAGATGAGCATCCAGGGGCTCGTCTTAGAGCCCCTGGTGGGGTCCAGAGGGCAGAACCCCCGGAAGCTCAAGGAAAAACCATGCCATTTCAGCAACATTTGTAAATCACTGGTATCGATTTAGAAATAAATCAAGTTTGAATTTTATTAGGGGGCAACTGCCCCCAAGCCCCCCCCCTCATCATTACGCCAAGGCGAGGGAGCAAAGTGAACGAGAGGGGTAGAGGTTACGGAAGTGACTATCCCCTCACAGGTTTTTGAAGTTTTGTTGTATTAACAAATTACATGTACATACTTTAATTAGCAAAAGAATAGTATAAAACCTTTTTCACACTTCACTTTTCTAGAATATTTACTGTACACTTCAAAGAATATTATGCGGGGGAGCGTAGCTTCGGAGCGAGAAGATTTTTGCATTTTTATTTGTCTAAATGCTGCACTCTAGGGCCCTCCAGAGCCTAAAGTTTGTTGCAGTCTTTAGTCAGTATTTGCTATACACTTTTTTTATCACTTTTTCAATTTTCAGGGGGGGGGGGGACGATCCCCCCTAAAAAAATTGAGGGGGGGGGGGGGGGACGTGTTCCCCCTCGTCCCCAAGGGATCGCCGCCCCTGCTTATTTGAGAATGGAAAATTGCAAACATATGAGTATCTTATATGGCATCAAATGACCATTTGCTTCAGCAATGTGAGAGCTGAACAATTGCTAAACAATTTACATGTATAAATAGTGGAGAGAAAACTTTGGAATGAATGCAAATATTTTTTCCCCTTAACCCTTACTGTACTGGGCTATTTTGAGCACCCTCTGACTGGGGGGGGGGGGGGGGGGGGGGGGGGCCTGGGAGGCCCCCCCCCTATGATCTCGGCCGTCGATTGTCCGATGAACACGAAAATTTGCATGTTTGTAGATATTTACGTAAGGAACAAGATGGTATAATTAGTTTTTTTCCGAATATGCAAATTTTTGTCGTTAGCCTAATTAATTATGCAAAATGCGCTAATTTTATGCATTTTACAGAAAACGTGTCAAACTCCACTTTTTGAATGTTGAAACTCATTATTCATATGAAACTTCTTTTCTAACACAAACAAAATTATTTTAATGTAATTAATAATGATAATTTATGCAAATTTTGATGCGATTTTTAATTTTTTTTTTTTTTTTTTTAAGACATGCGCATACTAATTGTTATGTAACGCCTTACAGGTATATCCGATTTCGCCGAAAATGGTATCAAAATGTGCGTGAGACTTGAGGGAAAAAAGTCATGAAACGACAATTCAAAATTCCAAGCGGTTGCGGCGCAATCTCCGAAAATG